ATCGCCAGTAACGTTGCTAAGGCTCATCGCGTTGGAGTAACCAGCGTCGTATCCGAACTGATTGAATTCACCCTCAATAAAGAGGTTGGGAAAGCGACGGGGTGGTTTATATTGCCATTGAGAGTCTCCATGCTGCCAGTGATCGCTACTCCCGGTGAGCTTGCTCCAGTATTGGGCTATGATGTGCTCTCCATCCCACGCTTGCTTCGCAGTCCCAGTCCAGTTTTTACCCGGGATGGACGTATTGAACCCGGTATATGTCATCCAGGGACTGAAATTAGCCCCGAAGTCGAGCGAGTAGCGCCACATATCTGCACCTGGAGCCTGTGGCCTGACTGACAAGGGTTCTGCTGCGGGCGATGGGGTGTCAAAAAGTAAAGTCCGGCTGTAGTTGGCCAGCTGCGGCCAGACCATGGGGTTGTTCGTCTCTCCGATGCGAAACATGAAATGATCCACGGACTACTCGAAAAAATACTTAGCATCCCAGCTGAATGCAGCTGCATGGGGGAGAATATACTTACGTTGGTGGATAGGTTCCCCTCTGCAGTAGTCACGTTGCTAACAGTGATCCTGTGAATTCCGGGATAGACATTGGTCAGATTCACCTGGTAGCCGAAGACACTGGTGAGGGCGCCAGGCCATGTCGCTACTTGTTTCTCAGTAAATGAACTACAAGAGACTGAAGTTGTGTCGATCTGAGCACTCTCATCATTGAGGGCTTTAGACGTGACCGTCAGCGAGTCGGTGATTTGGCTGCAATTCATCTCCTGAGAGAACTCGAAACCAATCTGGATAGTCTCCCCGTCGTTTCCCTGAGAGATAAACCGAGCATCGTGCCCCGGGCTGAAGCGTGTTATATACGGCGATGGCTTCACGAATTTAGCCTTGGGTACAAAGGCTTTGAAGCCCCAAGCCGGCATCGTCAACTGGGGATAGCATCCATTGGGGAGCTCTGATCCTTCAAATCTACTCATAGTCAGTGAAATTAATCTCTAAGTTTGGGGTGGTAAAATCATACCCAAGGGTCACCGAGCTGTTAATCAGCGTGTACTCGTCAAACGGATAGAAGAGGTTCTTCACCGTGGTTCCAGCAGGAAATGGCGAGATCAGCGCGTCTTTGCTACTGCAGTTGAACTGGTGATCAACCGTCTTGTTGTCGTTCGAATAGACCAGCCACACACTCTGGTTACCCTGACCCTGACCATCGAAGTTTTGTAGATCTGTAAACCGGGACCTCATCACACTCCACATTCCTGTCTCAGTTGGGGTCCCATTACTGCCGGGAAGGTAGATGTCGAAGGTATGGTTTGACAATTGTTGGAGGTACCAGCCATCATTTAAAACAGGGTAGTTCTGTCGCATTTCAAACATCATCTTGTAGAGACCACGCACAGGGTGAGAAGGATCGCGATGATCAAGGCTAATGGAATCATCACCACACCCGGTCAGGGCGCGGTCAAGGGGGAAGTTGACGTATTTGGACGCCCCGAGCTTGTAGCATCCGTGAAGCTGCCACGCTTGAGCGGATGACATGGGGCCGCGACCGAAAACTATAGAACGTCAGAACTGGAACAAGGGATGGAAACTCGAATTGCATACTATAATTATCAGCCTGGTTGTCCAAGATGTAGAAATCCTGTTCCTCGCCCCAGGAGAGGATCGGGATCCCTGGCATGAGTAAAGTTGCGATGTACAGTCCCAGATTCTGCTTATGAGTACCGTTGGCGATGGCTGGCCACCGAAAAACGTCCTGGTTCGTGACACCAAACAGGTGGCGCGGGTCGAACTTTCCAGTATGGATGTTGATCATGTCGTTAGTCTCCACGAGGCCATTCCAGGTCTCGACGAAGTTGACTGGTGGATCACCCTCGGCGGCGTAGATACCATCCAGGCTGAAGGTGGTCACATTAGTATGGATGAAGGAGTTAGTCAGGGGGTAAGCGGGAGAACTAACCCTAGAAACCGACTCAGTGCTCGGTACAGCGTGTAGTGAAACGCAGCTCCGTCCAAGGCGGATTGCGATGTGGGTCTGAGGAAAAGATCCTCGGTGGCCTTGTCGGTCTTGTTTGTGAACATGAAGGCCTCCGTGAGGTTGGAGATGGTCTGATTCGTCTGGTGGCCGCGACCAATATACAGCGACCCAAAGGCGTTCCCTGAGACAATCTCTCCTGGGATGTAGAAGTTGTCTTTGCCCACTTGCTGAGCGCAATCCCGCACTGACTCAGACCACTCACCCAGTTGATCCAAGGTCACTTGAAGTGCCTTATCGACGCGGAACCCATCGATGTCAAGCATGGTGATGGTCAGACAGGAGAAGTGTTTAATCTTCGCCAGGACATCAGGCCGCCATGAGCGCAGACGATCTTGCACAAAGGCGAATTTGGCAATCTGCCCTTCCCATTCGGTATAATTTCCAAAGGCAGCAACTTCTCCATACTAGATTAAATAGTCAGCGGTAGCCATCGCGAATAATAGGGTAGACGCCTACTTGATCGAATTCACTGTCACGGCATGAAGCGCCGAGAGTGGTGGTGGTCAAGCCAGTCCCGTCATCGTCCCAGAACCGAGGATACTCCCAGGGACACTGAGATTCGATTTGATTTCCTGGTTGGAAATCCCAGTATTGACGATCGTATTTCCATACATAGTCGTACTCGTTGGGGTTGATCGGCGCGGACCTGTTCAAGTAGCCCTGGAAACCAATAAGATCGCCCATTCTGTTCTTCCGCTGTCAGTATTCCACGCTCCAATATGGGGCACAGGTATTCACACATACGTCCCAAAGGTGTTATCAAACAGAACGTATATTCCCCTTCGATGGGCCTCGGATATCATTATGCGCCAGTCGTCGATCGTACCATAGTGGTGGTCCATCAGGGTTAGGTCAAGCGGGGAGTATCCGTCGGCACCCCAGGGAAAGTTGATGTACGGCGTTCCGGCGAGATAGACACCCTAGCGAAGGTGAATAAGTCAGTATTTGGTGCCAGGGCTACCAACGCGAGGCAGCAAACTCACCTTGATTCCCATGCCTTGGAGGTAATCGAAGGTATCAACCAAGCCAAGAACATCACCGCCATGACGAAATTGATTGGAGGTCAGGATGTGTTCCCACTGTGTCCCGTTGGCATCATCGTTGCTGGGATCGCCGTTGACAAATCTATCGAGGAATATTGTGTAGAATGGGAAACGCCAGTTATCCGGAGAAGGGGTGTATGAATGGCCATCCCACTGACCCGAATAGTCGAGAGGGTTTGTCGCGGTCTCATTCTGATTGAGATTCCAGTTTACCTCCTCTGGAAGGTGTGGCAGGGATTGTGCAATGCGGCTCAATAATGCGATAGTGAAAAGATAACGAAAGAAAATAATGAACAGCTTCATTCTGCACAAGTGAATGCCACTATAGTGACATCCACCAAGCGCGCTGGGGGGGCCTCAACTGCAGAAAGAAAAAAGAGGAAGTCAAACAAGCAGCAACAAACAGCAGAACAGTGCATGCCTAGAAAGAAAGGATATCCCATGAACCCAGAAACTGCGGAGAGATTCATAGGGTATCACCGATGGGCAGGGAAAGCATGTCATAGATTAGTGCATTACCCCGGCGTGATAACGCAAAGTCCCGTACAGCCTCCTCTGTGCACTGACACTGAGTGAGGCGGTCGAACAGGCCTAAATTTGGCCGATAGTTCTTGGGGCTGACACACACGCCACATTTGGTGGGCATGGAGGGTGTAGGTATCCCGAGCAGCAAGTCTATTTGAGTCGATTGAAAGCCAATTCAGCTTGTAACACGCCACGCCACCTTGCTCGGGCCTCAAGACGAGGTTCCAGGCCCAACACTGGCAGACTCATGTCTCATCCGGAACCAGTCTGACATGCATTGATATGGGTTTTCCGGAGTGGTTGAGAGGCTGAGCGAGCAGCCAAAGTGGGTCATGATGATGGCTTCTCAACGGTGGTGGGGGTTAAGTCCACCGGACAGCTCACACAGAACCAAGAACCCATGGGGGTGGAAGGATCCGTCGTGGTGTTGGGGAGGAGAAAAGTGGAGGTAAGTCCATGGTTTACTATGGATAGTAGCAGTTCGACCTGGCATATGCGGTGTCCTGATGTTTCTCATCAGCTCGGGAACCTCCTGCAAGGACGAGCTTTGAAGAGCCAGTGATATATCCCGGGCCACGGGGATCGGAGATAGACGAATCCCATCGACCCGGTAGTGACATATGCCCGATGGGGCGAGCAGGACTTGCAGATTCCGTGAACTCAGAACGAAGGAAAGAGCAGAGACACGTCATCGCTAAGGGAGATGACCTATCCGAGATAGTGGAAGCGAGCCAAGGAGAAAAAGGTGAGTGGGATAGACTATCTTTTCGGGATACGAAGGCCGATAAGGGAGAGAAGTGGAGCACAGAAAAGGTCCGACGGGAAATAGGGAAGAAAAAAGAAGAAAAAGAAAAATAGCGGGAACTTTTAAGGTTTGGCTCGCGCTTTTTCTGATAGTCTGATAGTCTGTCTCTCACTGTCTCGGACCAGCAAAGCCTGCCGATCGGGTGGAAGTGACAGGAACTAAGAAACCAACCACCTGGCGAACGGGCCGTGAGTTTGATGTCAGATTTACTAGTTAGTAAGTAGTAATAGTTAACTAGATAGATGTCTGTCAGTTGGTTCGGGGTCCAGAAGTACCAATACCCAATTCCCACTTTACCCAATGGTCGAATAATACACAATACCCAATACCCAATACACAATTCCCGATGCCGGTGTCACGTAAGTTTCCATACGGTCCGGAAACATCGGTATCATCTCTGCTGAATTGTTGTTCACTGGTCGGTATCAGCCTTCTTGCCCTGAACAGACACAAAGGATGTATGTGTCCGCTTCGTATATGAACATGCTCAACAGGAGGTTACGCAGGTCATAACCATCAAGACATTTTTTCTCACCTCTTTCCAGCTAATAATCCCACCATTGAACTACTCTCCTTGCCTTCCTTTCATCTGCGCATGCAAACGCCACCAACCATGGACGACGGGTGGTGGATCATCTCGTTGCTGGTGGTAACTCTGGGAATCCCCACGGTTAATGCGGCTTCCAAAGACCAATGGATCGGTCGCTCTATCTATCAAATCGTGACCGATCGCTTTGCTCGATCGGATAACTCAACCACCGCTGCTTGTGATGCAGCACTAGGTAACTACTGCGGAGGCTCTTTCCAGGGCATCATCAATAAGCTGGACTACATCCAGGAGCTCGGATTTGATGCGGTAGGTTTACCACCATCATCCTCCCTCTCGCTCTCTGCCACTCTTTCTCATATCTGAAACACCAGATATGGATCTCTCCCGCACAAAGCCAAATTTCCGCCCGAACAGCAGATCTCTCAGGTATGGCACTTTCAAAATCTTCACAACCCATCTGCAACGCTGTACATCGTTATATATATGATATACTATGTAGTTTGGTAGGTAGAAAAATTCAACATGTTAACGGTTCATAGCATACCATGGATATTGGCCCAATGATCTGTATTCCATCAACTCTCATTTCGGCACCCCCAAGGAGCTGGAAGCCTTGTCCTCTGCCCTGCACGATCGTGGCATGGTGAGTCGCTCTGCCATGTTCCCTAAAGATGACACTAACCGCGCGAAACCCAGTACTTGATGCTCGACATCGTGGTTGGCGATATGGCCTGGGCGGGAAATCACAGCACCGTCGATTACAGCACCTTTAATCCTTTCAATGATCAGAAGTATTTCCATGACTTCAAGCTCCTGTCCAGTGACCCCACAAATGAAACTTGTGTCCTGGATGTAAGTGTGTATCGTGAAATATGGCCCGTGGAATTTTGCTAACCCCATATTAAGTGCTGGATGGGAGACACCGTCGTATCACTTCCCGATCTGCGAAATGAGGACCAGCAAGTTCAGAATATTCTGGGTACCTGGATCTCGGAGTTGGTTTCGAACTACTCAAGTAAGACTTCTTCCTTGGCGGTTATGGAAAATTAATTGACCTGTTTCTGTTTTGTAGTTGACGGACTGCGTATCGACAGCGTCCTAAATATCGCCCCGGACTTCTTCTCCAACTTTACCAAGTCATCAGGGGTTTTCACTGTCGGTGAAGGTGCCACGGCCGATGCGGCTGATGTTTGCCCTCTGCAGCCAAGCTTGAATGGGCTTTTGAATTATCCATTGTAAGTACAGCATCGTGGTGAGTAAAGTCAGTCGTGTTGACTTTCACAGGTACTATATTCTTACCAACGCCTTCAACACGACCAACGGGAACCTGAGCACCATTACCGAGTCCATAAGCTACACCAAAGGACAATGCGAGGTAGGACATCCTTTCAAATGGGATTATACGGGCGAACTAATCATATACAGGATGTCTTGGCCCTGGGGACGTTTACTGCAAACCAGGATGTTCCGCGCTTCGGTTCATACACGTCGGATATATCGGTAAGTTCAGTCGGTAGTCCTATCTTGATACTGAACAATGTTTGACTTTTCTGAATGTGAGCAGCTGGCTCGCAATATCCTGACCAGCAGTATGCTGACAGACGGCATCCCCATCCGTATGTTCCGATCCCCGCCTCCCCTATGATTAAGCAAGATTTCTCAGACACCACTGATGATCAAAATACAGTCTATTACGGCGAGGAGCAGCATTTGACAGGATCCTACAATCCCGTCAACCGTGAGGCTCTGTGGCTGACCAACTACTCGATGCGCTCGACCTCCCTCCCCACCCTCGTCCAGTCCCTGAACCGCCTTCGATCTTATGCTAGCGGGGACGGTGAGCAGTACACGCAAAAGTCGCAATCCGGAAGCGATTACCTCTCGTACCTGTCAGCACCCATTTACAATTCTACGCACATTCTGGCCACGCGCAAGGGGTTTGCGGGCAATCAGGTCGTGAGTGTCGTATCCAATTTGGGAGCCAAGCCAGCCAGCAAAGCCACCACGAAAATCACGTTGGGTTCAGACGAGACTGGATTCCAATCCAAGCAGAATGTGACCGAGATCTTATCTTGCAAGACGTATGTCACGGATTCCAGCGGGAATCTGGCAGTGGATCTGAGCTCGGACGGGGGTCCGCGCGTGTACTATCCCACGGACAGCCTGAAGGACAGCACTGATATCTGTGGTGATAAGACCAAATCGGCGACCCCGAGTAGCTCCGCAGCCTCATCCGTGAGCTCGATCCAGTCCAAGGGTTCAGAGACTTGTTTGTTTGGGGTACCGTTGGGGATAAGCACATTGGTGGTCACAGTTGCGATGGCCACGTCCTACGTGTTCTAGTCTCCTTAAGCCTCTACACCTTCTGTTTGTCGCCCTGTCTTTCCCTGTTTCGCATTACCCCTATGATTATTGTTTGCTCATAACGCTCTTTTGAATGTTTTGAAACTGTGGCTTTACTTGAAACCCTATACCACCCCACTGGCTGCACTGATACATTACTAAGTATAGAATGTGGCGTCTTGTCTTTTACTAGTCACCCTAGCATCACGGTAAAATAAATGTGTTGTTTCCGTCTGAGTCTCTTGAGATCCTTTGTAGCCCGGGGGAAAGAAAAATTGTCAGGGTCTCCTTCTGGCACGAATGGCATAGGCAAAGCAGTATACAGGGAGGTAAAATCGTTCGGGTTTCCCGACTGTTACGGGCTTTCTTTTCTTTGATGGGTCGCCCTGACGGTCGGGCGCACAGGAACCGGCTCGGCTTCGGTTACCCTTGGAAGAACAACAACAACCACCACAAGCGGCCTGCCAGCTTGCAGGATGACCGCAGGTTCCAGATACACTCGGCCAGCCAATCTGGGGAGGATGGGCCATCTTACCGTCATATACCGGTATGGAATTATAGCCAAATACTGCCCACCAAAATAGAAGTACGGATCTTTGACAGCCTCGATCACCCAAAGCCTTATCGGCTCTTCCGTATCGCAGCCAATCCCTCCTGGCGCCAACCTTGCGCTGACACGAGATGGCTTCAACTTGCTTTCACAGCTCGCGTCTTTATCTGTCAGGGAAAGAACACCGACAGCCAATCGTATCGGAGCATCTCATTGGCCCGGTATTGTGATATATCCAGCACACCATGACAGATCACTGCTTCAGAGACATACATCCCGGTCATGCCCGATTGCTGTCACTCTACGTGGAAAATGTCTCGGATTACACTTTGAGGACCCTTTTTTTTCCTCCTCCCGGGAGAGGTTCAGCTCATACAGATGATCATCTCGTATTGCTGCTTCAGTGAGCGGTCTAGACAATCGGCCTGGTCCCGATCGGTTGGGCTTCAGCTAAACGCTGCTGAGTGATTCAGTACAGAAGAGTATACGGTTTGTCGGTTTACGATCCCGTCAAAGAGACCCCTTCTCAAGGACGATGTGTATATATAGCAGGTTAATTTCCCGGTAGAATACTTGACACTACTCCCTAGATATCCTCATCAGTAGCAATCCCAATCGTATCAACATGCGCTTCGCAATCACCGCCGCCTCGCTAAGCCTCATCTCTTCGGCTTTGGCCATCACCATCACCCAGCCCACCTCAGGCACCGAGTGGGATTTCTCCACTCCAAAGACTATCAAGTTCACCAGCGATGCGAATGATCCGTCAGTGATCAGCATCATCTTGCGCACTCAGGATGGATCCTTCCAGACCAAGCTGGCGGACAACGTAAAGACTTCCACGGGGGAATACACTACCCAGCCCAACCCTAGCATTTCCAACGGGTACGTACCCTGGATCTTAGTGGACTCACCGATAGTTGAAAGGGGGAACGCTACTAACTTTGTGTTTCTGATCCTAGGTCTGACTATGAAATCGAGATCATCGACTCTTCGGGCGAGCTCGCCGTGAGCCCGACTTTTACCGTCGAAAAGGGTGCTTCGACCGATGGTACTACTTCCTCCTCATCAGCTTCTTCCACATCCACTACATCTTCTTCCTCTTCCTCTTCTTCTTCCTCCACCACCACTTCCTCCTCTTCGACATCCAGTGAGACCGAATCCACCACAGTCACCTCTACGACTGCGGTGTCTTCGACATCTACCTTGTTGAGCAGTCCTCTGTCTTCATCTTCAGGCAAGATGTCATTTCGTCATTGTGGCACGGCGACCTCACTGACCGAAGCTTGATTTTTCTACAGGATCGGCCACCTCTACCTCCACGTCTTCGTCGTCTTCTACGGGCACTACGCTCGCCACATCCGCGTCTTCTACCTCGAGCTCAAACAGCACTGCCACCACATCCACCGCTCAGCTATCCACCGGCGCGGCTTCGTCTACATTTAACGCTCCCCAGGGAGTTGTGGCTCTGCTTGGTGCTGCTTTGGCGCTTCTCTACGTTTGATCATCAAAGTTTATCTCGGGGTCATGTATATGTTCCTTTTATTCTATGAGTAATGAGAATTGAAACCAAAAATGTCATGTTTTCTTAGAAATTTCTCCTACTATGTAGTAGTTTTTTTCCGTAGTTCTGAGGCATAGTAATTAGCGTCGACCTAGGACTCTTCGCAAACTTCTTTGACAGGATGGCGCGCTAGAAAGTGAGAGATTAGACCCCCATCGAACCCATGAGCCGCAAGCGTATGTCGATCTGGCGGGGCGCGAATTGACAACAACGGATCAACAATCGATCATCTCCACAGTTCCCAGCCGATCGAACTATTTTTTTTTTCTTTTGCTGGTATGTCTATCCTGCCGCTGGTATGACCGGGTAGCCCTTGGTCAGATCTCCATCATATTCTGGTCGTTGAAAGGTTTCAAGATGAAACAGTTATTTGTGCTCTTCAGTTGTCTTCCTCTTGCCGGAGATATATGTCCGGGACTTTGTTGACTTTCCGGATATACTCCGAATAACCATTTCCACACGGCATCTTACTTTCGGGTATTGTCCTTTGTGACGTACTAACCCTTCTGATGGACACGTCACAGACAGATCGCCGCGCCAAGCAGCAGGAGATGCAGGGATGCTGACGGGGAGATCTTTGTCCAGTCGGATCTTAGGGCCAGCCCACGCTGACACAACAGCATGGCGCCATAACTAGGTTGCAACTACCGGTGAGGTATTACGTGACGGTATCCATACCGAAAATATTACCAGCGAAAACCTTTACTCTCCTGAGCAGTCAAAAGCATACATAATCTAATAAGGGACGGACATATTCTGTATGCTTAGACCCTTCCTATTAACTCTATCACACACACACACACCATGACTAGTATTCGTGCCCCACTCCAAGCAGCGAGCCGAGAAACATTCAAGGGCAAGTCCAATACCGTGGGGGTGATACTCCGTACGATTCCGTCTTACTACTATGTACTTACTTCTTATCTATCAGCTCCTGCTCAACTGTCTGGGTCCATCCAATCACTGCGTGAACAGTTCACAGCATGTTAACTTAGGTAAGCTTTCCGAACAGGAAGAGAACTTGCGATGCTGGAATGTGACATCTCATCTCCAATAACATGGCAATCTTCACACCGCCGGAAGTCGCGTATGCATGTCGGGCTGCACGAGATAAGGCTGTGCCCTCCCCTTGCGTAGATCGCATCCGCAGCAGTGGCTTTCTTGTTTACCTGCTGTGTAACTAGCTTTTTTGAATCTCGCGAAGTGATGCAACTTCCCACGGCGAATATCTATTCATAGTCATCCTGCTTCTCGTTTGCAGCTCGTTCGTGCAGCCTCCTTCCTGTCCAGAATATACCAACGCGCAATCCATAGTGGATTCCAGAATACAGGTGTATACCCGAAAGGTCATTTTGTATCCTCAACCTAAAGCATCTTGGTAATCATACTTTAATCGACATATCCAACATATCCAAGGAGTCATCTAGGACATGAAAGGTACCACCAGTGTGGCGAATCCCACCCAAAGGTCCAGGCCGGTCCACGCGGTATAGTATGCTTTGAGCAAGGGAGATCCCACCAGCCACACGGCGCGCCCTTCTCCCATCGGATCCTCAAGGGGCTCCGTGGGGCTGTTAAAACTGCTTGACAGTTTTCTGGCTGCCCCGGATACTCGCCTAAGTTGAGCAAATTTCGAGGGAGGGTGATACTTTGGCTATCTGTGCCGATGGTGAAGGTCAGCTCCGGAGCGACCGCATCCAGCAGAGGGCATGGAGCCCCCCACGCACCAGCTGAGTCGATCATCGTAATGAACGGCAAAATTTGCCTGTAGAGATCCTCCGTTAACTCTTTATCAGGAATCTGGAGGATCGCTGTTCCTGTACCAAGAGCAGTCAGTCCAGCAACAAACAGTGCAGGCGGACCACCCGCGATCCCCGTGCTGTAGTTGCCAATCGTGAGAGCAGGCCGCTTGTTGATGTCGAGACCCACGAAGCCAAAGTGTAGGCCTCAGAGAGAATGTTCGCATTGCGATTGAGGTCGGTCCAGATAAGAACACCAATGAATTTGGACTTATCCACTCCACCCAGGGTCAGCTCAGCCCGGTACTCTGAGCCCGGGACGAAGCAGAAGGGACAAACAGGCTCGGGCCAGCTTTCCGCTATGATACAACGACCAGAATGTAGGAATCCCATCATCGGTAGACCGTGGAGCAACTCCCATCCCCATGATGCCTTCCATGGGTGTATCTCGGAACGCCTCTGGAAAATTGGTGCAGAAGACGATTCAACGTCTCGATGAGGTGAGTTCCCGGAGACGGACGGTGTCACTGTTGACCGTGCAATTGACTACTTCTGACTTGCGCAAAGAAACGGTCGTTGCACCAGCGCTGTTAACCCCACGAGCTTCACATCGGATATCCGGGAGAAGGTTCGAGATCCGGCGGGTTCAAAGAGGGTATGACTGCCCCAGTCCACGCAGTACCTCATTGGTAGGACTAGGTCTGTCGATCCTGTATCATACATCACCGTGCAATAGGAAGTACTGGTCCTAAGCACGGGGTCCGCTGAAGTTGAAGGGAAGGCTACTGACAAGTTCTGTGGCGGATAGGATTACGAGCGGACAGCCGCGTCAGAAATATGTTTTCTCTCTGTCCTGGCTGGACGACAAGACTAAAGCCGTCTTCCATTCTATCTGTCCTGGAGAGGCTACAAGTACTTGGCCACCCTATAGGCCCAGCTGGCCCCTCGCGTCATCCGACATGGAGATTGAACTATCAGAATGTTTCTATGACAGATGGACCCAATGTAGTACATTGTGTATTTTAATATGGCAATAGTACACGCTAGCTAAGGAGGCGCTTCGAGTGACTGTTAGCTGCCATGATGACCACTCCCAGAGTAGCCGAATAGAATTTCAAAATATCCCTCACCCCACACACTCGACAATCCATCAAAGGATTATCTATGTTTCTCTTGTCATCAAACCACCATATCCACTTAAGCCCCCTCCCAGTTCAGAGCCACAACCCGGGTGTCGTTGTACACCTTGTGCAGGAACTGGTTAGGGTTCTGCTTGCCATCCTCGATGAAGTCACCAGACCAAACCATCCAGTAAGCCCAGTTGACGTTCTCACTAGCCTGCTTATCGGGGTCCGGAATGGGACCGACTTCTGCCATAGCCAAAACTCTCTCGTTGTTGGTAAGGGTCTGGAGCTTCTTGTACTGGTCGGCCGCGACTCCGTGGTCACCAACGGCGGGATAGTGATCGATGGTGGCAATGTCGCACTTGTCGTTTCCGGGATACCAGGCCGGATCAGCAGTGTTGCAAACCCAGACCATGTTGTGGAGGTTGTGGTAGCGAGTGATGCGGTCGTAGAGGATATCCCACAGCTTCTTGAAGGGAGCAGGACCCTGGGCACCCCACCAGAACCAGCCACCCTCGGGCTCGTGGAGCGGGCGGAAGAGAATGGGCACTTTGGCCTGATCCAGACGCTTGATCTGAGCAGCGATGGCGTCGATATCACGCAGCAGAAGCTTGTAGTTGGTGCCGTTGCCATGGTCGTTGACGGCTTCAGACACGTTGAAGCAGGTGGCTTCGGTGTAGAACCCCTTGTACCACGGCTCCTTGGCGGTATCGAGCAGGCAGGTGGGAGCGTACCAATGCCACACCAGGGCATTGATTCCATTGCGGCCGGCGTGCTGGATCACATCCTCGACGGCGTGAGACTTGCCGCCGTGAGCAACGGCCGAAGGCGAGTAGTAGGTGAAGTCGCTGCCGAGAATCGCAGGGGCCACACCAATGTTCTTCTCGACCCAGTTCCAGCTGTCAATGTCCTGCTGGCCGGAGATGTAGTGCGAGCCGTACTGAAGCTGGATGTACTTTAGCAGCGCCCTGGCTTCGGGGGTGGCCGACTTGTCAATGTTGCCATAGGACAGAGTCTGGTTGGAAGCGCCCAGCGCAGCAGAGCTGAAAAGAAGAGAAAGGAGGGACAATTTGGCGAACATTTTCAAAATGTACCAAATACTGAATGAATGAATAGCGAGCGAATGACTTAGACAGTTAGTTGGATTGTTAACTGCTGCAACTGGGACATGGCGTGTTCTTTATAGATTCAGACCTCGACGATCATTGTCTCTTTCAATGTTAGAAGTCTCCCAACCCACAGAGGTGGAATCATACTTGGCTCATGACGATCCATGGATAACGCAACTTCTCCGCTCTGTCTTCCATCATTTCCTCCGTAGCTGACTCTAGGTACCAGCTGCCCCTAAGCGCCCTCACCACCTTTTGCCAGTGAAGGACCTCCCCAAACAAAATGGACGGCACATATATTGATGTCTCAAAGCTAGAGTTCTGCTGACGCGTTTCAGTCTGGTCTTGACAGCTTCATCTAACTGTAGGCACGCAATATAGGTAGATTTGGGCGTGGCTTGCGAGATGGACCAGGCGTGGCTTCCATACTTGATGTGGACTGTGCCATATGGAATAGGGTCCAGGGACTGTTCGGCTTCCCGTCCGTCTCCACAAGCACGGCACCATCACATTCAGATCTCTTTCCCGGGCGGGTTTGGCATCAGGCCCTGAGTTGCGGGGATTCCCCGAGTATTCACCGACTACATTTAGAATCGAATTAGCGATTACGTTTCGTCCCACTCTCTCTTAATATTTCCCTAATTTGGGCTAGGGAACGCACTCGCTTAGGGTATGAAAATTTCCAGATAGTCAGATCAGGTTCAGATACTACCTTGTTGGGCAAGGGAAACGGCCCGTTCCCAAAGGAGATGGCCGAACGACTGCCTGCTTCGCCGTGTTTCATGATGAGACAGGCTTCTCGGCAGTTGTAAATCCCCTATCAAGTTCAATCTCATATAGTAATAGTTCGCATCTTGAGTACGCGTCGTGGGAGATGAGCATTTAGTCAATCCTGTTTAGACGCGGAACTGATGATGCTACGAAGCTAGGGAGGCGGACTTACCCCTACGGCTCCCTGGCCCTGAATCAGACCAAAGAAGATCAATCTAACGATTCACCGTTCACTGAATAGGCGATCTCGGCGTAGGACTCGGCATGTGTGCACGTCTAAGCATTGACCGCATATCGCCAACGTCAGGACTGCATGGCCATATAGAAGGGCAAAGCCGTACGTATGGCACAGCATCATACAAGGATTCTCTTCCTTCAACTCAACGTTTCCACTCCACTATCGTACGATGCAGGCGGGATGTTGCCCATGACTCGAGGTCTAGGTGGGCTTTGTAATTGCTAACGAGCACAGAGGCATGTGGTCGCCAATATACTGCGGGGTCCTTCGGGTACCACTATTTCAGTCGCGTCGAATATGATTCAATAAGCTACTTCCAGAAACGACTTGATCCGTACTTAGTATATTCCGACGATGCCCTCCAATGGGGCTCCATGCTTTAGTCATCTGCGTACATATATAGTTAGTTATAGAGGCAGTGTTTCCTTCATCCCGACCGAGATGCACGGAGTCGGCTGTGGCACTCGCGGGCCGTCCTTATCACGTAGACCAAGCCAATCAAATATATCCATCAGCATAGCCGAATCTGCTCCGTCGCACAACCGTCTGACATCCGACTCAATAGCTCTAGAGTTGGGGAAGAATGGCCAATCAAGGCTGCCGGAATAACCAACAACCCTGGACTTCCCGATTGGGATGATGACACAGTGAGTCCTCGGGCCGGTGGTAATGGCACTAAACCCAGTTTGGGTATGCTCGGCCCGCCAACGGAGATAATCAGAAGAGGGAAGAACGAAGCCCGACCATGCTGACAGTTAATCACTCACTCACTATCTTCTGCTCTGTCTCTCCCTTGGAGGGTTGTTGACCTAATCATAGTACTCCGTAGCTAGTTACCTCTCACCTCAGCTGCTGCAGGATTGTCTCCCCGATGCTTACTCTTCGGAGAATGGGTGTCTAGCCGATCAGCATGCCACCCCAACGCGTGCCCCAGTCCCCCTTCCCGCGCCATCGCAGTAAACGGATTGCCTGTAAGCAATGTCGCCAGTCAAAGGTCAGTGATAATACTAGCTCGCCTCTGGTGTTCTCCGTAGCTGACGATATGGCATAGCTTCGATGTGAGGTATCCACAGGCGGTGCTATTCCCTGCTCCCGATGTCGCCGGCTGGGCTACGACTGCCGACTCGATGCGGCGTATCAACGCGTCAACGGGCGAGAGTATACCTCACTGGCCATGAAGGCACTACTGCCTGGCTTTCAATGTGCACATTCTGATACCTTATAGGCGACTAGAGGAGCTGGAGAAGGAAGTCCAGCATCTACGCTCATCCGTCTCCACTCATCCTCCCGCTGCCGCGCCACAGTCCCTCCAAGGCATCCTTCTGACCCCCAGCGAATCGTACCATGCCGATGCCTCCTCCATCGTCGGTCAGGAATCCTCGGGGTCGCGGGTAGATCTGGTGGCTTCCCAAGTGCCATCTTTGTCAGTAGTACCTACGACTCCCGTTCATTCCTTGTCATCCCAGCCACCAAGTCAACCCTCGCCTCTACTTTCCGACACGACGTCTCCAACCTTGTCCAGGTCGCTCGACTTTGTTCATCTTCATGGGCATCAAGTAAATGCTCTGTTCAATATGTAAGGTCTGTCAAATCTGTTACCTATCCATAAGCTAATGCTGGCAGCTTCTTCACTCACTATCATCCCTACGTACCCTTGTTGGATCCAACCATCTCCCCGGACCAATACTATGCTCGGTCTGCAGTGTTATTCTGGTCCATCATCCTACTAGCCTCTCGTCGATATACGGAAGAGCCAGGCTTGTTTGTCAGTCTCACGGCTCCGGTCAAGAAGCTCATATGGGATACCATCGCCAACCCCCCGCACACCTGGCATGTCGTGCAGGCTATTATCCTAGTTTGTCTGTGGCCATTTCCCACTTCATCTCTTTCGTCCGATATTACTTCCATCCTCCTATCCACTGCGCAGACAATCTCCCTCCGCATCGGGTTGCATCGCCCGGAAGCCATCCAAGATTTCTCGCGAACCAAAAGACGTTTGATGCCGGATGAGATGGCCGAAGTAGCGCGAACATGGGCGACCTGCTATATCACCGCTCAAACGTAGGTGACGTCCAGCTGTATCCATAATTTATCGTAGCTATCTAACCTAAATATCCCTGACAGAATCGTAACCATAGACGGACAAGTATGGGTCTCGTCAGACTGGATGATCGATCGGCTCTGTGACCGGGACAGCACGATGATCCCCATGTCCCTCAAGCATCAACTCCTATTATCGCGTTTCTCGGCCCGCGTCGGTCAATTCATGTCCAGCCATTCGCAAGGGCCAACGGATCTTCCTCGTCCGGGGGAGTTCATCTCCCTGCTGGCCCTGCTAGAGCGAGAATACACTGAGCTGGCATCCAGTTTAACCAGCTACATATCTGGTCCGTCACACCCCCCCACACACAACATCTCACCCATGCCATCATTACTAACCCCTGCTTGCAGAAGAAAATAAAGTCCTACTCAACGGCATTGGCCTGCAACTCTACGTCTTTTACCTACTCGAGGAATCCGACTCCGACACGCGCAAACGCGGGCTCCTCCGCGCCTACAGCATAGCCATCTCCACCATAACCATCATCAACCAACTCGAAGCCCTCACCGACGCCATGGCCTACGGGCCCGTGTCCTATTTCCGCATCATCTCCATCGCAGCCATGTTCATCATGAAGTTGAGTTACTCGAACCTCGGCCCGTTTGTAGACCTAGAGACCGGTAAACGCTCATTCAACTCCGCCATTGCTCTTACCCGCCGAACATCTATCGAGGATAACGATCTGCCGGGGCGAATGTCGAAGATTCTCACCCAATTATGGAGTGCTCAAGTCGTTCATCGTGGGCAGCGGGACAAGCCGCCTGGTTTACGGCTGAAAACACGCTTGGCTGCCAGTTTGGTCCATGATTCCATATGGATGTGGAGGGAGCAGTTTGGTGGACAGCCCCGTAGTGGAACGAATACACCTCTCGCGAGTCGGGGATATTTCGCCGATAATAGGGCTATGGAGCAGCAGCACGGGGGACTAAGCGCACGGGGGACAGGCTCGGCGGGTCAGGAGGCTGCTACTAGTTTTCCGGTTGGGATAGAAGATGCTTGTCCGGATGGATTGACGCTGGAGGATGTTGTCGATGCAGAGTTGCTTGCTTTGTTGCCTTTCAGCTTGGATGGGGAAATATTCACTGCTCCTGGAGGCTGTTGACACAGCTACGTGGTGTGCCACTGCTTTCAGTTACTGATTTCTGTCTATCAAAAGCAGTTCGATCATGCATAACGAATATCATAATAGTAAAGCTACGTCTTGTTTTACTAAAGACTATCTTCACGATACTAAGTAGGCTACTACCACTGCAATCCTGCATGCGGACCAGCACTCTCCCCACTTCCACGCAGCGCAAGGGACTTGGCACCCCCCAGATTCTTCGGTCTGGTCATCTGCTCGAACAGCCGGTTTCCAAATTTCTGGAATGCCGACGCGATTCCGCCATGCTGAAAGAGTTCCCGCTCCATCTGACTCAACTGGAAAGCGTATTGCTTCCCATCCACGTTGATCACCTTGGTCTTGAAGTCGATGGAAATCTCGTTGCCGTCTTGAGCCGCGTCGTAAAACTCCTCGTCGGTCAGTGTGATGCCCAAAAGACCAAGACTGGGCATGTTGCGCTGGAAGATGAATGAGTATGACTTGGCAATCACACATTGGACGCCGCAGCCTAAATTATGCTTTTGTTAGCACGAAATTGACTACGAGAGTGTGGGATAGGTGTACCTAACAGCGCCATGACCGCTTGTTCGCGGGACGATCCACATCCGAATGCTTTGCCTGCCACGACGATGTTGAAGCCGTCTTTCACGCGCTGCCGAAACTCGGGGTGGGTGTGCTCGAGGCAGTGCTCGCCTGCGATCTTATTGTTTGACATGCCGATGAGAAACTGGGCTGGGGCCAACTGGTACTGATTAGCTGCCGTTTCAGGCGCAAGGGTGGAGGGATCAGCATACAGCATCGGTATCAATAAAATCGCCCAGTCGCTGAACTTTGCCTGTCATGACGTCGGACGAAGAGCTATCTGCTGTCTCTGAAGTATCCGCCTCTGTTACCTTGACGTCTGGTGAGTCAACAGCTTTTGCCTCCGCAGTCGCGGAGCCACTAGGTTCCATATAGGAGATGTGTTCTTGTGTGGAGTCTGTTGCAGACACAGAAACACCGCGGAGGGTATGCCATCTGTCGAGATCGATGGCTGCGAGGTATTCATGTGGATCTTTCAGCTTCATCTCGAAAGACGATGCCGCAACTGTGGCAGCTGACGCAAGATTTCCGATAGAGCCTTGTATTGCAGTTAGATAAATGCCGTAATCTTTGCTCACGGGGTTAGCGACCTACCTTTGCCCATACGGTTCTCAAAGTTGCGGTTCTGGGAAGAAATCCAGACTTCTCCAGGTCCAGCCTGATCAGCTGACATTCCGACACAGTAGCTGCATCCCGGAATGCCGATCTCAAATCCAGCATCCTCGTAGATCTGCGCAAGCCCAAGCTCACGGAGTCTGTGAAGGATGGGCACTGAGCCCGGAACAACTTTTCTCTTTCCGCGAGAAACTGGCTTCAAGCCATTCTTGAGCCCTTGTTCCAGCACGAGAGCACCGAGAATCAGATCCTCTTCGGCAGTGGTGCAAGCACCAATAAAGCATCCATCTAGATGCATGCCTTCCTGCTCGGTGACAGGAACGACATCGTCAGGGTTGGGGTATTTGGCCAGGAAAGATCGCACCTCGCCAAGGTCTATCTCATGGGTCTCGGCGTACTCGGCGTCATCATCGGGTTTGAAGTAGACGCTGGTGTTTTTGTGTCGGGGCAGACGTCGCTTCTGGATGAATTCTTCTGTAATTTGATCAGGCACAAAAACACCGGTAATTCCGCCAAATTCCTATGATCGTTAGTACATTCCCGCCTTCATATGGTATTATAGACAGACTGTAGTCATGTTGCTAATGGCAAACCGAGCATCGCATGAAAGATGTTTCACACCTGGGCCGGTGAACTCGACAATCCGGTCTGCGGCCACGGTGTTTCGCTTCAGTTGTTGCAGGATGTACAAGATCGTGTCCTTGCCTCCAATTCCAGGCTTGGGAGCACCGACGAGACGAATGTTGACCGATTCGGGCACTTTGAACCAGGTCTCTCCGGTGACCAACGGAAGGGTCACATCGGCTGCGCCCAACCCGATGGCCAAGCAGCCTAATGCTCCGGACGAGCAGGTGTGGGAATCGGAGCCCACGACCACCATACCCGGCTGGGCTCGCTCGCGGTAGAACTCGGTATGAAGAATAGTATACTACAGTGAGTGAGTACAGGCTATGCAGTCTCGCAACTCTGGAACGGACGTACGTTCATGCCCTGATAGTCGGTCATTTTGAAGACACGCTTGGCCCTCTCACTGGCGTCAATCAATGCCTTAACTTTGGGGACCTCATTCACACGAGGGTCCACAACATGATCTCCCGCCAGCCAGAACCGGTCATTCCGGTAGATTCCAGGTTTTCCGAGAGTCTCATACGTTCGTTCCATGCCCTATGGATCTTTCAGTAACCATCTGGATATGTAGCTACACGTCGAATGGGAATACGTACCTGCCATGATGCCTCAGAAGCTATAACCCAGTCGACGTCCACCCGGATCAACTCCCCAGGCGCCACGGATCCCTTCCGGCCAAGGTCGTGAAGCGCAAAGATCTTCTCACTCAGCGTCATGCCACGTCGACCGGGGGGTCGGACCGCGAGCGGAACGGGCGGTGCCCTGGCGCGATCGGCTGAGTTCAAAGCTTCGAGCCATGCCGTCACCAGGAAGGTGATTTCAGCTTCCTGCTCGGGTGTCAGAGTGTCCGCTTCGGATAGACCGAGTCCTCCCATCTCCGTGGGTTGTTGGCTGATCGCGAGGACATCGGTGAGGGCATTGGCCTCCCGGGGGTGGTCCTGCGCTCGAAGTGCATCGACCACTCGCACCAGCTGGGTAAGCAGATTTCCTAGGGTCGGCAATGCGTATGCTTCGCCACGTTAGTGAATCCATCGCCGTGTGATTCTTTGGTGTTCCAGACGTACTGTCTGCCTCGGAGAGGACGACATCCCGGGTTTGCTGCAATACTAGCAGCAGCGAAGGGGAATTTGGTTCGCTGGCGTCACCCATGATGAGAATGTGATGCTGAAGAGGCTTAGTGAGCGAGCTTCTCTGAGCGGGGTTTCTCAAGCAAGCTTACGACCGCGTCTTAATATATGTAGTGGGATGCAGACAGCCTTGCATCCTGCATTGCCGGACTCGGCCCGCTTGCGGCCCGGAGGATTTACAAGTGAGATATAACATCATCACATGGCTCCATCGAGTACTGCTGGCTGCAACCCCTCAATTGTGCCCGAACTACGCCCCAATTGATTCACTGCATACATTACAATGGCCACTGCTCCTGCGGTTACCAAGCTTCGCCAGCTCTTGGCGGACGAGAGCAAGATTATCGTCTGTCCGGGCGTCTACGATGGCTTTACCGCCCGAATCGCCCTGCAGGAAGGGTTCGATGCATTGTACATGGTAGGCACTACACCAAATACTGCTAGTTGGGATAATCGCTCTGCTCACACTGGTTGTCAGACAGGAGCAGGCACCACGGCCTCGCGACTGGGGCAACCGGACCTGGGGGTTGTCACGCTGAACGAAATGCGAGGGAATGCTGAAATGATCGCCAACCTGGACCCGACAGTGCCGTTGATTGCTGACGCTGACACGGGCTTCGGAGGTACTGTCCCGCCACCAATGACAGAATCCAGTGGCTGACCAGGCACACTACTACTACTACTAGGATCCCTCATGGTCCACCGCACTGTCACCGAATACATCCGCGCCGGAGTCGCCGCCCTGCACCTGGAAGACCAGCCTACGAGTAAACGCTGCGGTCATTTACGCAACAAGCAACTCGTTCCCGAGGACGAGTATTTGGACCGCATCCAAGCCGCCGTGAATGCTCGCGCCCGGTCTCATGGCGATATTGTTCTGATAGCTCGGACGGATGCCCTCCAGTCGCTAGGCTATGAGGCGGCCATTTCCCGACTCAAGGGAGCCATCGCCCTGGGGGCAGACGTGGCCTTCTTAGAAGGCATCACGTCGACGGACCAAGCTCGACAGGTCTGTGAAGAGCTCAAGCCCACCCCCGTTCTCTTCAATAACGTTCCTGGGGGTGTATCCCCAGATCTCTCGGTTCAGCAGGCGCAGGAGCTCGGATTCCGGCTGATCATCTTCCCTGGGTTGGCATTGGGAGCAGTCTACTCGGCGGTTCGTGGGGCGGTACAGCAGTTGAAGGAAACGGGCACGCAGGCTGTGCAACCGGGGGTAAGTCCGCGGGACGTGTTCAATGTGGTGGGACTGCAGGAGGCAGTGGCGCTGGATTTGGCATCGGGCGGAAGGTTATATGACAAGGGGGTTTGAAAGAGGGGCGATGCGCATTGCTGTCTGTAGATACTAGACAAATCAAGTCAACAACAGAGATGTAAGGAGCCATGGACGATGACACTTCGGCAGAGCCCCAGGCACCGGTTATGGGCCGGGCGGTGAGGATTTGTGCCTGCCTTTCTAATCAGGCAGGCGGAGAGCCGAACACTTTCTTAGGTGATGACTAAAATCACGTGCTTTCATCCGGATACGAACTGAGTTACTAAGGGAATCGAATGAATTTTGGTAGTAATCACAGTTATTCAATTGTTTAAGATGAAAGCTTTCTTGAAAGGTAGAGTTACTCGCAGTCATTGAGACTACATCTGAATGAGTAAGCTGTCTCTTCTATCAGTGCTTTTGAGAGGAGTTGAAACACGGTGAGTTCATACTACGCTAGTTAAGATAAATGTATATATTGTTCATTCGGCACCCATGACACTCCGTATGATCAGTATAGATTCTTCAACACTACACCTGAGATGTGTGACACCAACATTCCAGACTATACAGCAATAGTAAACAAGGAATTCACCATTTTCTCTCAGAATCTATCAATTCAAACCAGTATAACATCATATACTGTATGCCAGCCTGTGTCACGTATTTCTACCGCATCTGATTGGCTGTTCGTGCTCGGGCTATTCGCCCTCCGAGCATCCGGAATGCCGAGAAGGACACAACATGGAGATTCATCTTTAGCGTTACTACTATTCTTCATCCATCTCCTCATTTTATTCAAGCATTGAAAACCATGGCTGAACACCCTTCTTTTACTCTGGCTTGCCTGCGTAAGCTCACACCTCTCTAACTGCATCAAAGACCGGACATAGGCTAAATAATCGATAACCCAACAGTGCCGGTGGGTGGCATCGCCGGCTACATGCGGACGCGTTCCGCCCCGTCCCTGATCGCAGGTGTCGGCCTGGGTCTTTCCTACGCCTACGCAGGTACGTAGCAATTCCATACAACTTAGAGAATATGGACTGATTACAAGCTTGCAGGCTATTTGATCAAGGAGAACAAGGACTACGGCACGGAATTGGCCCTGGGAAACAGTGTGGTCCTCCTCGTCTCCGGTGTCATGCGCTCTATCAAAACCCGTGCTAGAGCCCCAATCCCTCTGGCCCTGGGTGCTACCGGTCTGTTGGCATCTTTCTACTATCAGAAGAAGGTGCGCGAGTTCAGGTTTGGGGTGTAAAAATGATTGGCTTTGGCCAACATCTTGAATGGGTGCTAGCCATAGCTTTAAATTGTACTATATTATGTATCCTAAATGCATTGTAAAAGTCAATTTGCCTCTGCCCCACGCAGCCTAACGTTATAGCGGTATCTAGTCGTTGTGTAGGCGGGATTGCGTTAGATTACTAAAGACACCTCGCTGGTAGTCATGCACTAATGGGGTATATGGCTGAAGCTCGGATTCCCGCGTCCTTAGTTACCAATGATTTGCTGTTCTTTTACAATTTGGACAGTCAGAACCTTAACAGGCATACATGTTCTTTAGAAGGCGTACGTAATATTTAATTCGCGCTAAGGGATACGATAATCCAACGTTGGTTCAATTAAATCAACTCAAGGCAAACTATAACATAAAAAAGACGAAATACAAACATTTCAAATATTGGCTTTTCAGGAGTACCAAGAGAGAACTAGCCCCGGGCCAAAAGACCAATCTCTCGTTTCCATCACTCATCTCACCATCGCCATCGGCATACATCCATCGAGGCATCAACAGTCCCGAACCTCATACATCCAATGTCTTAGACATACTTGACAATGACCTCGCTGTCAGTGACGGAGACCGAGGTCAGCACCTCGTTCTGCTCAATGTCGATGATGGTAGCATCCTCAGGACCAACCGAGGAACCATCCGTGGTAGCGGAGCAGCTGGTGAAAGTCACGGTGCCAAAGTTGGCAAAGGGAACGAGGGAGTCATCCTCCTCGAAGTCCTCGACGATCCACTCAGCGTTGTACTCACACAGATCACCATCAACACCGCCCGTGAAGCTGTGGGTGACCGTGGTACCAGTGCTCACGTTCTCAATCGTGGCAGTACCGGTGGTGTCGCTGCTGGCATCGACGGTGACCTTGATGGTATCACCGGCCGAGATGGAGATGCCGCTGAAGTCGTAGGCGTAGTCGGGGTACCACTCGTACCAGGCATCGAAGCTCACCTCGCTGCCCTGGACACAAAAGTCCACACCGGTCTGGAGGATAGCAGTGTCACAGGTGTCACCGTCAATGCCCACCCAGGCGGAGGCACAGTACTCCTCGCGGCTCGAGCCACCGGAGGGCACGGAGGGGGTGGGCACGACGAACTCGGCGGTCACGGCAGTGTAGCCAGTGCCAATCAGGACGGCACCGGCCCAGTTGGAGCTGTACTCCACGTTCTTGGTGCCGTTAAGGGTGAGGACCTCGTTGGTGCCAGGCTTGAAGGGAGGGTTGCTCTGGCGGTTCGTGGAGCGCTTGGCCCGAGCAGCCTGGCGCTTGGCCGTCAGAGGAGCGGCCATAGCAGTGGTGGCCAGCAGGCCGGCGGTCAAGAGAGCAGTGGTCTTCATCTTGATGGGATGATGTTTGGAAGGTAATGAATTGAAGAGGGACTGGGAGCTGCTTGGAATCTGAGTGGAAGATGCTTTTGATGCTGCTGGATGAGGGCTATCTGGTAGGGAATTGGACGTGGTTTTATACCATTTCAGCGTCTCCCCTCCCCCCTCCTTGAAGCTGAATTTTCTCTACATCCGCCAATCCCGATTCCTGCTCTGCCGGTGCAATATCGAGCAGATAACACTACCCGGATACGCAATTGACGCGTTCCCCTATTGACCAGGGCGATGATGATAGGACCGACGGTGGCTGATGGTGCCAAGGCGCCAAAGCGATGGTGTCTCCTGTCTGCAGCATTGAGGGAAAGCTCATCTCGCTTAGTTCGGGACTGGCCAGGCGGGGGGATCTTGGACAAAAGCTTCAAGGTTACAAGCATTCTTGGAAACGGGAGGATCGCAGTATGTCTTTTCAAGCACCCGGCGTGGATCTTCGGCTCCCATATGGAAACGAACGACATCTGCTTTACAACATTAAGAGTGACGGCAAAAGGGACGATCACTCTGGTACCAAAGCGGTAGAGAACATTCACCTTGACGATAATAGCACTCGAGTTCCCCTGTCCAACTGCAGACCTGCAGAACACTAGCTAACCGCGTGACATTGGGGCACACTTTGCCTCAAGCGGAATGGCCATCAGACTATCATCCTCAACGGTGACGACGTGTGGTCATGGCGTGATGATAACGAGAGAAACAATCTATTGGCTCTGCGGGGATCGTCCCGTGTGTGGCAGATAAACTTCATTTAGGATGAAGAATGGGGGTCATTGAATGGCTCGTGCCTTGCCGAACCTGCAAACTCCGGAGAAATCAATTAAATTAGCCTTCACACCATCCACTTGTCTATCGGCAACGAGGTGCAATAAAACACCATGGGAAGTGGGTTCTGGCCCGCTGTAAGGACTTGGGCTGGACGTCAAATGCTGGATATTGGGGAGCAGTAGAACACTGCTTTTATGCGCAAGATGCCACTTATTTCACGCACCTCAGTCTGTCCCCAGGTGAACACGCATTAGCAGTTTGAATTGTATCCCCTGAAGAGGCGTAACTACCGGCATGAGGGGTTAGGCGTGGCTAAAAGGCAACGGGCCGGAGTCCGTCGGGATATCCACTGCATCCCCGGCGCCAACATCTTCAGCCCCGCTTCAAAGCATGGATGACGCTGCCTCGTCACCATCACGGCGGATTAATTCATGCTGCATCTCTTATCATTGTTTCCGCTGTCCGGCTTTTGATATTTCCATCGCAGAGGGCATATGGTTCCAAGACCGGAGAATTCGGGGATCATTCACAACGGCTAAGCGGATATCTGCCCAAATGGGGAACAGATGCCCGCGCACATTCGACATCAGCTCAGTTGGATGGAACCAGGGGGCCCTATACCATTGGAAGGTCGGGTTCGCTCATGATCTTCCAATACAGAAATCCCGCAAGCCTGAATTGTTCGTGGTCCTTGATTATTGAGGGTGACTCAACGCACATGCCTGGGAGCGCCGTCTCCGTGACTTGGCAACTTCCCGTGCGAGGTTCTGTTGACTAGGTATGCGCCGTTAGACATCAATCAGATGAAAGTGTTGTGGGTAGGCCGTATCAGTCCAACTAATTGGGTATGTGGACGAGATCCTTGTCTCTTAAGCACCGAGAACGGGCCATTGCATCTAGCTCATTATTGCGGTGGGATGAATGGCCGAGAGGAGACAGCGGTTCGAACTGCCCAGGAACACGTGGAGAGGCCGCTGAGTTGTGTGGAGTTGCCGCAGATCAGGTTCGATTCGACTGTACGGTTCATACTGCTTTTGAGATGCTAACATGAGCGGCATCAGTAGGATAGGCACCGGATCGACCCACAAGGTCCATAATGAGTGTTGCCAGGTATAGATTGAAGTCAACGGTACCGAAGATCGACCCGACGTCGATCGTTGCTAGAAGAGGCTGGCAGCTTGCCGGTCTGGCGATCACCGTTTACATCTAGGTGCAAACAGTCCATGACAGCGAGACGCGAAGGTCTATTTGTTGAAGTTTCGACTATCGACACATCTCAGCATGTTCTGGTCTGCCTTGTCATGAATCGGCTTGTAAGGCAATAAGTCATTGTTCCCCTGGCTGGTTTCTGATAAAGTAGATCATGTCAGTTCAAGGCAACAGCATGTAGGGACCCGTGATAAATTACGCCAAGTCCTAGGCAAAGGCTTGTTTGTTATTGTGCTGTTGACGTGATCACTGTTATTATTAATCTCATTGCCCATTTTGCATGCCCACGGGTTGATTGTGCTGAAGCCATCGACAATGACCAAGTCCTCAGCCAACCTCTTGCCTAAGACTTATCCCCAGTCTTATCACTCATAAGTGGTAGGCACTCACATCTTATTCGTGAATCATAACAACAAACAATGGAGAACGAAAGGCAGCAAGCCAAAAACGCCATCCCTAAAGGGGCTTCCAGGAAAAGGAGGAGGTAAGGCAAAAGTAATTCCAATCTCTGGAAAGTAGCCGGCACTGCCTGCTACTAAAACATTAAACAACATCTTTATCGAAACCTGTATTGCGCCTTGATAAAGAGAAGTACTCATGGGCTCGCTTACTCAGGGGTAGGATTCGAAAAGCCTCCCAACGCTTTTGTGGAACGACAGCTGACGGATCACAGGCCTTCTCGTATTCAGGTGGATCGGACTGCCATTCTAAAACAACCGGCCTACAACGTGTTTGGATGGCTTGCATAGAATTCACGTGGCTCTAGGCCGGTCCTTTCGTGCCAAGAGAAGCTTATACGCCTCATGATGAATGATCTCGCAGTGTGAATGCATCACTCGCACATACATACTAACTACCCCGGAGGACATGAAGGATCGATTGTGTGACAACCCGTTTAAATACTTGATCCCCAATATGAGAGATGAAGGCTAAGAAATTGCTCACTATTAAGCAGCTTTTGAAATCTCTGCTCTCAGGGCGGTTCATTGCCACTCTGCTAACCGGACCTTCGATATACAGCCTATGCCCCCACTGACTTTTGCCATCGCTTGCAAGTGTATTTACACATCTGCGGAACCGAAGGTTTCACCTGCACCCCACCGGGTTGTTCCTGGACTCCTGGGTCATCGATAGTAGTATGGATGCCGACCCACACTGACTGTTTGCTCTGGTCATCGAAGAACCCCGTCTCTGAAGCAAGGGATGCGATTGGCGCATTGGAGCCGCTGACCTAATCATCTTCACATTCCTGTGTCTAAAATTGGGCAGTTTTTCAAGATAAGATCTTGGCTTCATCAACAATGAGAAGATTTTGTTCGGCGGAGCCCTAGCATTGAAAGTGCGGTTCCACCAGCAGTTCAGCTTCCGCCGCAGAGTTTGCTGCCATGCATCCCGCTCTCCCCAGATAAACCTGCGCTACAAGCATCTTTCATTCTGTTCTCGAGTCAAGACTCTTCGACAAGGGAGTAAATAGAACTGGAGCACTACAAACCTTCTGAGTCGATCGTTGCCGTTTTCTATCGGTGGGCCAGGGTGGGTCGGCAAATTGGTCAGCTGCCATCGAGAATCGAGATAATCTGCTGCTTGACAGTGACAGTGACAGTGACCCCTTGGTTGATCCACCACTGTATCTACTATCTAGTCCCTATCGCTCTACCGGCGATTAGCTTTTTCTAGCTTTTCGCCAGGCGAAGCTTGACCGGATGAGTGCCGACGCGCGTCCATGGCCCTCGCCTGGGGCGTGCCAAGCCTGCCCTACGTATTCCCGACGGGGCGCCTTACGAATGGCTCACTTGCTGAAGCTATTCCCATGTGCAGCGCTGTTTGTCGGAATATTGCATAAACGCGACTCTCGGTCAGCGTAGTGAGGACTGCGCGTTTGACTACCACCGAGTACGATCCCTTCACCGGCATTGGGTCCATCTAAGATGCCTGCCTTCCGTACGTGCCGGAGGCAATCCGTGAATAGTTGATAGCGCTGCTCCACATCCACTCGTGTCTGTTGAATGTCCACAAACATAGAGTATCCTTTCCCATCCTCCCCTGTCCTTCAAAGTTCTCTGTAGAGCATGCGTAACTCCGATGCTTGTGGTAAGCGTCCACTTGACTGACCATCTTGTATTCGTGTTACCATTATGTAGTGTCCAGGATTATGTGCTCGCCCGTCTCAACAACCTGTGCCCTTCGTTGTCGCTAAAAGACGCCAGGAGCCGAGTCAGAAAGAAGTCAATATGTTTTGGTCTGGGTGTGGCTGAAACCTTGGCCTCCTGAAGTACAATCCGCTATCATCACTGATGTGGACCGTTCGACGTATGCTCCTTCATTCCCATGTCACCGGCTTTGCCAGCCTTATGGAACAAATCTTCGAGACCTTTCCCAATTCATACCGTTGAATGCCGATCGCAGAATGAAAGGATGTTTTGAAGGTTCCCTTGATGTTCATCGGGTCTCTTGGTTACCAGCGATGAGAAGTATAAAGCCCATGGATCACAGCTGTGATTTCGAGGTCTCCGTTCTTTAGGTTGTCATTCATTCTCTGTTTCTTTTCTTTCAAGTATAACCCTATTTCTCACATTCATTAGCATCTCTTCTATTTCTCTGCATCACACACTCTCTCCATCTTTTAATTCAATTTTCTAAAACCCCTCCTCTACTCCACTTCACAGGATGAAGTTCCCTTCGTTCCTGGTAGCATTGGCTCTGGCAGCCACTACCTCTGCTGCTGCAGTCCCCCATCCATCTATCAAAACTGACCACACCGAGACCACTTCTTATGATATTCCCGGATTCTTCAGCCGCAACTGCACTCGCGAGAAGATGACTGTCCGCAAGGAATGGCGCCACTTGACCACGCACGAGCAGAACAGTTTCCTGGACTCGGTTCAATGCTTGATGAACAAGCCAGCCGAATCCGGGCTGACAGCAACGACTAGTCGGTTTAGTGACCTCCAGGCCCTTCACCGTGGGATGACCAACACGGCGTATGCGGATATCATCCACCATGTGGTAGGTTAATCTGAATGGCTCGCGATAAGCCTATTGTCTTACTAACAGCCTGGTCAGGGACAATTCCTCCCCTGGCACCGCTACTACATGCACATCTACGAGGCCCTGCTTCGTAACGAGTGTGGATACGACGGTCCTATTCCGTAAGCATTCTTTCCCATTTCCCTGTGGAGCATTCTCGTGGCCCAGGACACTAACAGAAATCGTTCTAGCTGGTGGGATGAGCAAAAGGATGCCGATAGTGGCAACATGTGGCAATCGTCCATGTGGGGAGCCGATGCCTTTGGAGGAAATGGCACCGGGTCCGACAACTGTGTGCGCGATGGTCGGTTTTCCAACCTCACTTTGCACATTGGGCCGGGTGATGAAGACACGGACTACTGCTTGCGCCGCGCATGGAACACCGAGAAGGCGATTGCCAACGCCAACAGCACCGTGCTAGAGATGTGTAATGCTTACAACACCTATGCTCCATGGTGGAATTGCATCTCCAACATTCCCCACAAGGGTGTACACACCTACATTGGTGGTGTGGTATGTGATTCTTTTTTTTTTAGTAAGAATCAAGCCGTATGCAGGACACAGACTGACGAAATGCACAGATGGCGGATATCAAGTCCTCGCCCGGCGACCCAATCTTCTTCATGCACCACATGTACATTGATCGGGTTTGGTGGAAGTGGCAGCAGCAAGATCCCATCAACCGGTTGTACGACATCAGCGGCCCGACTCTGAATCACACAGCCAACGTGGAACCAGCTGGAGGTTGGCAGAACGCTACCCTTCACTACGAACTCTCCTCGTTCAACATCATGCCTAACATCACCATTGCCGAGGTGATGAACACCCAGGGAGGTTACCTGTGCTACGGTTATGACTGAGGCAGGGCCTGTAATGGGGTATGCATTTAACGGGGGGTTCTCTTCTGACCAACTGTTTAGACTTCCGCTATAGACATTTACATTTGATAGAACTGCGAATAGATCGAGATAGATATCTAGGTAGACTGCCATACCATCCGTTTTTATTTTCACCCCGAAGATACCAGGCACTTCCAGGTTGAGCGTCGTATGGGATATTTAAGCCTAATCTGTTATCAATCACACGAGCACGCTTGTTAGACCCAACCGGGCCGATTGACACGCCATTGATTTTCTTTAGAGTACTATGAAAAACCAACCCGTAAAGCCACCAATGAACTTCCCCATCAACTCGAAGTACAATTTCCCCACCACTCCGTATTCCAAACCCTGATTATGGGCCTGTGCATTGACTGCGTAAGGCGTACATATTGTGTTCTAGAAGCTACCTGCGTCAGATATGTGCTTTCATCAAGGTCTTGCGGATTTCCTGATGGCCTGCTACGGGATAAGGATTGCCACCAACAGGGCACGTGGATAACTGATGCCGTATGATGAATCCAACAGCTAGTAGCTCATGAGGGCTCCAGAGGCATTTGGAATGATATCAGTTCTGCAGACAAAGCATATGAATCTATAAGAGTAGAATAACTTAGTATATGGTCATTCTCTTCCCAACTGACCGGAAACTGTCTTTATTTCTCCGGCGTCAAGAATCATCAAAATTCACACACAAATCAGACAATTTAGGTTGTAGTAGCTGGAAGTCATGAGCGATTTTGTTTGAACCAGACAACTTAATTAAGTCCATATCCTGGCTATAACAGTCCTCCATGGTAATTGGGTAGCCACTGAGCGAGTATGCTTCCTCCATGCATCTTGCCATCTTCCACCTTCCCAGCCCTGCAAGATACAATGCAGCCGGTGCCTCGTGGGTCTGCCAACTGTCATCCATCGTTGTCTTACTGACTCAAGATATTTTCGTTCAGCAGAGGTACTAAGTTTGGAAAATTTCCCGTTAAGGCATGTCCAATGCACCAACAAAACTTTGTTCCAAAACAGGATATGATAAAGTACGAACGATGTCTTCAGAAGAACCATGCTGCAATTTAACTTTACTGCTCTTTTGACGTTGTTGCATTTATGCTGACGTCCAACATGATCGATAGAGAGGATAAAATGGCCTTAATGTCCATCACATCATCTGCAAAGAAGTTCGTTATAAATCTAGCCTCCTCCTTTGCCTTCTGCCTCCGTATTTGCACACCTGGTTTTTATTGACACGGACCTCAAGCTTTGACTTCCCACTGCACTGTCTAAACGTTGGTACCCTAATCGTCACTAGCAAAGTCCTCTCCTCATGAGTTTCTCGGCAGTTTTGGCGAGCACAGTGTGTCTGGCCTCGTGTGCCGCTTCTGGCGAGCCATCTCTCTGCACGATCACCATCTTGCCGCTCACTCTCTTGGTGGGTCTGGCTGCCATCGGTCGCATCTTCCAGAGCAATTCGGCGGTTGAAGACATGGTCCAGGATGCGCCCATGGGCAGAAGACGTATGCGCCAAGGGGTCAGCCGTTCAGCACATCCCGCAAGGGAGGCCTGACTGGTAAGTGTCATTGGTGCCCTGCCCTGTGATCTTCCCCAAGTGGAGATGCTGATCTTTCGTGGTTCAGGAAGGTTTTGATCTTCAGCAGCCCACTGAGTCCAGCTTTCCGGTACCGAAGCGATCCGTGCACACTAATTCCTGAACGTTGGCCATGTAGGAACTGTGATGCGATGCGGCGAGACGTGATGTATACAGTGATGCTCTACAATTTTTTCCGGTTTCCCTGACCTTTTTTTCCCAACTACTTCTGTTTCGGCGTTTCCTTGGATCCCTAGCTGCTTGCATATATCAATACAGAGTAACTACCTCCTATGACATATTAAACGTAGTTCACGTGATTGTTCAGCCGAAAACAGACGTATGCAGATAGACAGAGCGGTACAAGCATACCAGATCCACCTTGCTTCTACTCCTTGCGTATCTGATGGCCCTGTAGTGTATGGGGAAGAGGGCTGCCTGATCCATGTGACGTCAACCGGTGGATTCGTACAACACAAGTGAAGTTCAAGCCATTGGCTTTCCCTGTCTTCGCTTTTTTATCAGGATTGATGGTCCTTGAAGCCAACCAGAGTACGACGAGGTGAGCATGACACAACCTCGGGCCTTGCCGCCGAGTCCTACTCGGACAATATCAAGATATTAGGACTCAATAACCCCGTGACGTGGAGCACGGGATAAGGATCGCCCTAATCAAACATGTTACTTTCATGTGTATATGCATGCGACCGTGCTCCCCGTGGCTGCATTCCTTCAAGAACCCGGGAATGGGATTAGGGACCACTTAGGGCCCAGTTGCATCTCGGAAGGATATTGCATCCGCAGGGCGCGTCGGGTGCCCCTCCTAGGCCCAAGCGTGACAGTTCCAGCTCTTGACGGGTGGACCATAGAGTTTTACGCCTATGATATGGAGGTGTAGGCAACGGTCTCCTAAACAATGACGAGTTCTAAATCTGACTTTCAACGGACCTTCTCCGTAGATCCTATCGGCCCTAGGATGGATGTCCAGCTTTGCGAAAGAAAGCTGTGCCAAATAGTCGAACCGTACTTTGTCTCCACCAATAAGCAAAGCAAATGGTTTGTATGATGATCGGTGGATTTGATTTACATGTCTTTCTTGCGTGCTCTCGGGGTTTCTACCTTGTTCGAGAATGACTGGGAACGGCCTGCATCTCAATTGACGAATCATGTCTTATTACAGTGTAGATGCTCACCGCAATGTGTCGATTCCCGCTTCTACAGCGATGTGAGGGCTATTGTTGCGCTTTGACGCGCGCGCTGCAAGACACAAGTACTTTCCTGGGGATTTGGTCCGTTGCAAGACGAACGTTGATCGCGAAGGTAGCCGGTCAGCTCTCCGAAGGCATGAAGGTCGTGACTGATCACCGCAAGATGCCCGCAACCTCGTGGGCATCTACGACCCACACATACGGGCCGCCATCTTCCACGAATGTCTGGCCTGGACTCATGATCTGAGAGACCTTCCTGATCCCGAGCTCCTCGCCACAGCGGCTCCCAGCCGTTTGGGCTTCCTGCCTCGTGGTGAATACCTCCTTCGTGCCCTGAGAGAGAAATTCGACGTCCCAGATACGCCGTGGCAGAGCAAGTCTACGGCTTCACCTGGTGTCCGTCCGACAACACCAAACTTTGTCATGAATGCGTGCACGGGAGCTGCAGTGCCGGCATGTTGGCCCGCTTCCCAAATTATCTTCACTTCCTCGGCGAATTGGCCTGGCAGGTTTACATGGCGCGGTATCAGACCGGGCTGTTGCTGGACAAATTGATGCCTCCGCGCAAGGACAGTCCCGGTGTCGGGGTGGATCCGTACGGCGATGCGGTGCTCAATGCCATGAATCCCATGTTGAAGGCAGTGGGATGCAGCGCCCAGCCGGGGAACTATTCACTGCGAGACCGGTGCCAGAACCCGCAACGCTGCGATGACCTGCTCCAGCGATGCGTGCTTCACTCCTAGGAGTGTTGTCCGAGATGCCGGGGTTACGATGCGATGACCTGGCAGGAGCGGGTGCCGGCCATCGGAGAGGCGTATGGAAGAAGTATACGGGCTGCAGCTGCATGAACATCATCAATGCGTATATGATCCCCACCTCGCCCGATCGGCTGTGGTGGTTGGCGGACCCGACGGCCGAGTGTACTGGGCCTCAGGAGGAGTGGTCGGCACTGCTCTGCTAGAGGTAGGTCTATTTAGGCTATCTCCATGGCGGGTTGAGACAATCCTCTTCAAGATTGCTTTGTCATAGTGTTTCTTTGTTGCTGGCTGCTCTGTCTGAACTGAAACCAGAATGAACATTGGAGTAATGAGTTCTCGATAGTTGAAATGAAAATCCATCCGCTTATGCGATCGTGTTGTGATTGTTCTTGATTGTAGACTGGTCGGTGCTTGCTAATAGTAAATCCAATTACAATCATTCTGCTGGCTGCACCATCTCGTCCAAAGCGTCCATGCTGATGAGATTCTAAATGTCTTCTCGACGATTCCTAAAACCACCATTCCGTTCTACACATTCCGAGCCTAGCTTCATAGGACATGATCCATCTTCACTTCTTTAGACATGCAGTGACTGAAGTGGAGCTGAAGGGTCCAATTCCTAGGCCGGTTCACCAGTTTCTATCGCATTGCTTTTCCAGGCCATTTCATGTAATTGACGAGCTACGATACATGGCCTGCTAGAAGCATGAAGTCCAGAAATCGGCAAGTCATCTGATGTCCATCCGGATCGGCTCCATTCCAAAGGCATCCGTCCGACCTGCAATATGGCAGGACAGGTTTTCAATCTAACCGATCATCTGTAGACACCAGTGTTCCTGCCATGTGACTCCAGTGGAAACGAGAATAGCTTGCATTGTCATCCGTGCCATGGGGCTAGTAATAATGTCGCAGATATGGTATCCCAAACTCCAAACACTTCAAAAAGAATAATCGAGGCATTCAACTATGCAGAATCCCACAAGTTCATTGTACAGTGGCGTCCATCTTCTGCCCCTACGCTTCGTTCAGCTGGCGTTTAAGCTCCTCGGCCTCCTCGGGGAATTCGGCGTAGTAGTCGGCGTACAACTCCAGCAGGGCCGTTGCGTTGCTTCGCTTGGCGATGGGGATGAATTGGACCTAGATAGTTCGGTTTTGTTAGCAACCCCAGGGTAACCCGTATCAGATCCTTCTCAAGGCACATACCTCGTAGGTCGTGAACTTGTCGCCGTTGATACACTTGCCGGGCGGCAGGGCATAGCCGTTGCCGAGACATTTCGATTCCGAAAACGCCGTGAGAACATAGTCGCCAGGGCTACCCTTGAGGGACTTGGAATTGCTCGCTTCCAGGGTCAGACACGTATTTGTTTTTGAGCTAGTGGAATCTGTGGGGTTGGTCCCCTTGCAATCCTTTTCGGAGTAGCCATGAATAGTCTGAGCCTGAGCAAAGGCACTGAAAGCCAGAGCGAGAATAATGGACTTCAACTGCATGGTGGGCGACTGAGATGAAAGAAAAGCAAGACAAAGCGTTGAAACGAGTGTATGCTGGTGGAGGTTGTAGGGACGGACAAAGAGAAGGGCGGAGTGGTCCGGTGGAAGGATAAGCAACGGTCAGGAGAAAGAGCGATGGGCGAGGCAGCGGCGGCGGCGGCGGCGGCGTCGGGAATCAAATCAGCCTGGACTGGACGTGTGGTGGGTCAGGAGAGAGAGAAAAAGGCCAGGAGCAAAAAATAGCAGCTTTGAAACAGGAACCGACCGAGGACCAGTGGGGGCCGGGCTGGGCGAAACGGCGGCTGGATTCGCCGAGGGAAGCCATGGATGGAGTTCGATGGATGGACTAGTGGCCGCTAGCCCGGGGGGAAAGACGCGTCGTTGGCAAATCAAGCCCGTCGGACAGCCACGGCGATTTCCAAGGATCGGGCGCCGTGCAAGTGGCAGTGATTGGCGGTGGGTTTCATGATCTTGATGATCGTCACGAAAGGCTTGACAGGTATGCAGATGCCAATTTGGGTGGATGAAGAATAAGCCGAGAGTTGATTAATCTTGGAGTGCTTGATTCCATGCAGACGGAGCGAGAGAGGTAAAGAGTCTTCATGAGGTTATTCGGAATGGATCGATCAGGTGCGATCAGGTGAGCGGGTGAGGCCAGCAAGGCAGTAAATCAACCCGAACAGGCCTAGTGGCCAGGCACCAACAATCGCCCACAATCTCCGAATTGCCTCTTCATTGCAGCATCCATCAGAGACGACGGGATATTGCACTTTCCTTGTGGATAAAAGCTCGCTTCATGAGATATGATTCTACAGCGAACCACTTGTGATGGCTTCCCAGTTGCAGACAATCTTCGCATCACCCCCCCAACAGCTGGGGATCGGTAAACATCGATGATCCCCAGGACGTATCGACTTACTATAGGGGGATCTATTTTTATCCCTCCCGATATGCCTCTCTAGTGGTCGGTCCAGCGCTTCAACGATAAACTAAAACTGTTAAGCTTCAGTCAAACTAGGTACCACAATCGCTTATCTTGTGCTAGACTAAAAGTGCTGTGAAAGTAGCGATGATGTGTCTGTCCTAGCCAATAGTCTCGCTGCATCTTCCATCCTCCAGATCATCCTTGCGGCCCTCCCAACTTCCCAGGAGGATTGCCAACCCAGCCGCCCCATAAAGTCCACCCACCAGCAAAAAGGGCGCCCCCGTCCACACTCCACCCTGGGCCAATCCCCAGCCATACGCTGTCGCCATCATTGGCCCAGCTACCAATACTCCGATTCCCTGCATCACCGCAATCGCCGTATACAGCGTACCCATGTGATGCGCGTCAACGAGCGAGGTGATAATGCGCCGAGCAAATAGGTGCATTGCCGAACCGAGCGCATACACGACCAGCCCCAAAACTGCGCCCGCCGGATGGCTAGACAGCGCAATCAGCAGACATCCTACGCCCATACAAGCGCTACTCGTCAGAGCCAGTCTAGTGTTCTTGGTGAATGGGGACATGCGCCGTCGCTCTACGAGCCAGCGCGATATGCCTGGCAGGATTACGAGAAGCAGGAGTAGTCTAGTAAACCCTCGTACGGGTATGAGGAAGCTGGCCTAAAAAGAAATGTTAGGTCTGGCCATATCGTTGTTACTTATTTCTAGTCCCACTCACCTGCGCAATTGTCCAATGAAACCGGTCGGCAGCAAAGAGCAGAAGCAGTTTCATAACCTGCATTCCCAGATACGCAATAAAGAACACCACCAGAAATAGTTGCACCGGACGATGTCGCCAAACTACAGCAATTGACCGGCTCAGCTCATCAACTCCAGCTCTGATGCGCCCCCGGAAAGTCTGTCGTTGTGATGTCTGCTCGGAAGACGACGGTTGGCCGGGTGGGGTCCGGGGTAATGTCTCCGGTAAGAGGAGCAAAAGGAGACCACCACCAGCATTGAAAGCCGGTGATAGTAGATACGGTAGCCAGATGTTCTTCGTCATGAGCAGAGCACTAAGCGGGGTGGCCAGAATCTCGCTGACGAGCACCGTGGCTGATACGTAGAGAAATGCCGTGATCCTAAACTATGTGAGCTAGGCAAACATCCACTAGGGCAATGGAGGTCTCGTACTGCTCTTCGTCGCTGAACAAATCAGCGAGTATGACGAACATAATGGAGGTGGCTACTTGTGTGCCGCCACCCAATACTTGAGCTATCGGACCAAGCCAGATCAGTCGCAGCGGGAGCTGATCGGAGAACCAGCCTGGACGGTAATCAACAGCATCAGTTATTGAGACCTAGAATGTTCTAATCTATAGTATCTGCACTCACCGACAGCCTTGGTCCACGTATCGCTCAGCGTGAATCCCACCGCGCATAGAAGCAAGACCGGTCGACGTCCGATCCGGTCAGCCAGCACGCCATATGGGACTGCAAACAGTATACCTAGTATGTATTAGTCGAGCTTCCGGATAACTGAAGAGAATGATCCCCACCCGGGACCTGCTCCAGCGTATCCTTCCAGCCCTGCAGGAGGGCCACCTCCCTCTGCACGCGGTCCATCTGACATTCCGGCCCATCCTGCCCTACAGGACAGAACTTGCGAGTGACAACCTCGAGCCAAATTTCGGTCTGGGGCGCCTGGGAGAGATACTCAGCGAAGTCCTGGATCAGGACAATGAAACAGATCAGAGCCAGAACCCTCCATCGCGATGACCGGTCTTGCGGCCGTGTGGAGGGTTCGAGTAGAGGCGTGTATTCGCTGGCAGCCATAAGGGAGGGAGATGATGAGACATGGAGCCGATTCGGTTCATAGAAAAAAAGGGAAAGAAAGAGGGGGGAGCATGGTTGTCACTTTCGAAGTTGCTATGGCTTGCATATCCCTGGTGCCTGTCAGCCTTTCGAACAGCACAGGATAAGCCCCGATAAGGTCATCCCCGGCGAATCATTGGGCGCATCAGCCGCCCTAACGGTCGTCCGTTGGGAAACACGCTGTACGAATAGATTGGCTCAACCCCTGTCGCCGTAGTCAAGCTGTCCGCTTTTGGGGTCGTACACCGAAGTCAGCTCGGACGTCCGGGTGATCCCTCCGCGGGGGAGCTGAGGCTTATTGCAGCCAGTAACAATGGAAGCATCAGTCTTCGTCCGATTGAAGAGCATAGATGCTTATCTGAGTTTATCGTAGCCAGGGAACTAGCTTGAAACAGCGGGCCGCTGAATGACTTAATCTCAGCCGATTTATTGGTTATTACTACGCCGACGTCGAAATTCCTTGTTCTACCATAACGGGCACACCCATGGTTACATATGGCCGTATGATAGGGTAGGGCCACAACAACAGGATAGTCTGCAATATCTGACCTCATGTGGTCCATCGCCAATTCGGATCCTTCCACCCGCCCACCAGCGACTTGGTCGACACGTCCGCCGCGGTGAGTCTCACCCCCTGCTCGCGATCGCGGCGCCGGTTATCGTAGCGGAAATACGTCCCCATCCCCAGGATCACCAGCACCCCGAAAAGAAGAAACGCGCAGTTGACGATTAGCGCCGGCTTATATCGCGGGGCTGTATCTGCCTTGAATGCCAGACTGGACGGGATGCCAGCACAGTTGGCCGCGCCCACCAGGAATCCCACAGTAGCAGCACGCTGCGACTCGTCGGTGACATTATTAGTGTGCCAACTATGGAAGACGGAGCTGGGCACGAAGGCCCCGGCTGCCAGCAGAAAGCAGGCAAAGTAGGCGACACCCTGGTGCTCTGACGCGTCCACCGCGATCAAGATGATATACCCGACAAAGGTAATCATCAGCGAGCCTGCCAGATGTATGGAACGTTCCCGGAAGTGATCAGATGATAGACAGATGATCCAGAGCACGGCTGTACCCACACAGTACGGCGCCACCGTGTAGAGATTCGTCTTAATGGTGGAATATCCCAGGAGGGCCACCATCTGCGGCAGGAAATTACTAACGGAAGTTTGAGCGACGCCGTAGCAGAAGCAGCTGACAGCCCATGCTAGCACGCGCCAGTCACTGAGCGCGGCCAAGGCCGCGGTAATCGAGAGCTTCTCACCCGTCCGCACTGAACCGTCCTGTAAGAGGCGCATTTGGGCCGCGCGAGCTTCGGCTTCATTGAACCAATGGCACTGAGCGCCGCTGGCAGGGAGCCACCAAAGCGCGAAGGATGCAATGATCAGGGTGGCACCGCCTTCAATGAGGAAGAGGTACTTCCAGCCTGGGAGGTGGTGCTTGATTTGGAAGACGCCAAAGGAGATGAGACCAGAAAAGGCACCTGAGTGGTTAGAAGAATACGCTATTATGCGAGGGGTACTTACCAGCGATGGTGACCATGCCGTAGAAGATGCTCAGTCTGAAGGCAATCTCGTTGCGTTTGTAGAACTGCGTGAGGTAGAAGATCACCCCGGCTGACGCGGTCAGTAAAGCAGACGAGCAACGGGAGGTTCTACCTACCGAAGAATCCTGCTTCGAAGATCCCCATGACTAAACGGCAGACTAACAGGCCTGCAAAGTTGAACACGGCACACTGCAGCAGTGTGATGGAACCCCTGATGCCATGGTTAGCGAAGTCAGACATACTTACTAGAAGGGTAACCCACCATCCTATCATCATCAACGGTAGCATCACCTTTCCGCTGAATTTCTTCAACATCAAGTTGGACGGGAGATCAAATAAGCAGAAGGTGACGTTGAAGACAGCCAAGATGACATTATACTGATTTCCGACCAGGTGGAGATCGTTCTCGAGGCCATCCGTTTTGGCATTCCCCAGGTTGGAGCGGTCAAGGGAGTTGAAGAAGTACATGAGCGAGAGGACGGGAAGCAGTCTGCAGATCAGCATCTCTTTAGCAGGCAAGAGGGTAGAGTAGATACCGAAAGTCCAGCTTGCGCACGACTGACCGCTCTGCTGCGGCGTCGATGGGAACAGAGTCCCCTACTACGACGCCTGCTTCTTCTGCGACAGCGTGTGACTTGTGGTCATCTTTCTGCGTGTCCATGGTTGGCTTTAGTGAATGCTACAATGAGACAGTGGTCAACTATACGCCTCAGACAATTCCCAGGGATTTCCTTCCATCGAAAGAGGGCCACTGGATGGACGACCGGGATCAGCCCGAGCATATATGCTTCACTTCACTATCATCTTCGCTGTTGTGACAAGGATCACATGGCATATCATCACCATCACTTATCGACCCTGATGCCACCATACAGATAAGATGGGAGGTGGGAGGTGGCATCAAACTGGCTGTTCTTCGTATCATTCCGCCGTGAGGAGTAAATCCAACGCATATCAGGGTTGGATTGCCGCAAAGGGAAGCCCAGGCGGGCCAGCCCGATGCCAGCGATGGCGATGATAGATAACCCCTCTCTGGAACACATCATCTTCTTCCTTCTGGCATCATCATCCTCCTCTCCATTGCTTCCAGGAAGGTCCATCCATCCCGTGTCTACTGCAGCCCCGCGTTATCAGTGTGACCAGCAATTAAGAGTGGGGGTGTCCTTCTCCGCACGACCAACTTTATCCTATCAACAGCTTGGCAGCGCCAGTGTCTGAACCAATCTTCAACTATAAATCGCATTGACCCTGATAAGCGTGCAACTTTCGCTGTGTATCTACCGCACATTTACCATGTCTACTCCCCTCGACAAGACCGCCCCGATCGCCATTGTTGGCGCGGGCGTGTTCGGTCTCTCCAGCGCCATCCATCTGGTCCGGAGGGGGTATCGCAACGTCACCGTCTTTGACCGTCAGCCCTACCACGAGACGCTCTATGACTTTGACCGTGGCTGTGATGCTGCATCTGCAGGTATTCTCACTGCACCAAAAGTATGTTCCTATGCTAATTACAATTTGCAGACTGCAACAAGATCATCCGGGCCGCCTACGGCCACGAAACATGGTACCAGAACTTCACGCTCGAAGCAATCAAGGCATGGGAGACATGGAACGAGTCTCTTGCCAAGGGAAGCACTCTTCCCCCGGGAATGACTAGCAAGGAACGCATCTATGTCAACTGCGGCAACTACCATTTCGGCGACCACGGCGACGCAGCCGGCCTGAACCCCTTCGAAAAGGCTTCAGTAGAGAACCTGACCAAAGCAGGCCTCGGACACACTCAGTACCTGTTTGCCTCCAACCCGCAAGAGGTAACCCGAGCCAAAGCGGATGGCTACGGCTACGCTGTCGACCCCTTCCACCTAACGCGCGACGGACAACAACCAAGCGGGTACCTCGACATGATCGGGGGATTCGTCTACGCAGACAAGGCATGTCGCTACGCACTTCATCTAGCGCAGCAACTAGGTGTCAAGCTCGTTTTAGACCGACAAGCCGGTCGCTTCGAGGGTTTGCTCGAATCCAATGGTGAGGTAATCGGGATCCGCACCGCGGATGGCAAACACCACACCGCCGCCCTGACCATCCTCGCCTGCGGCGGATGGACACCTATCCTCGTCCCAGAGATGGACGGGCTCTGCGAAACCACCGCGGGATCCGTGGCGATGATCCAAATCCCAGAGGGCTCTCCACTCCGCCAACGATTCTCGGCATCCAACTTCCCCGTCTTCCAATGGAACGTGCGCAGCGGAGAGAATGGCAACCTGTACGGCTTCCCTCTGGATGACCGGGGGGTGCTGAAGATCGGATACCGCGGAACAAAATACACGCATCCCCAAGTGCAGTTTGATGGACAGGTGCGCAGTGCCCCGATCACGAAGTGGACGGCCCCGTCTGTGTCTGGGTTACCGGAGAAGTCTGTCTCGGTGATTCAGGGGTTCTTGGATCGGTATTTACCTGAGTTGAAAGAGGCGGGGATTGGGATTTCACAGACGCGATTATGCTGGTACACAGATTCGTATGATAATCACTGGGTGATTGATCGGGTGCCAGGGAAGAAGGGGGTGATGGTAGCTACGGGTGGAAGTGGACATGGATTCAAGTTCCTACCGGTGTTGGGACAGTTGGTGGTGGATCGCGTGGAGGGAGTGCAATCGGAGTTATTGGAGCTGGTCAAGTGGCGGAAGTTGGGAGCTGGGGAGAAGGGGTCGAACGAGTTGATGAGAGGGTTCAAGGATGGAAATGCGTTGCAGAAGGTGAAGTTGGTGAGTGAGCCGGGAAGGGAGAGTCGGCTGTAAGCGTTGCTCCCGGAGATTTACCAATGTTCAGCAGAATAAAGATAGGATTGTGAGCTTCAAAGGCATAAAATATGGATCTTCTATGATATCACTCTCAAATATCTGATTGGTATTTACAAGTCACTATTTATTCCACTGCATTTACTTTTCCAGGCATCACTCTTGCCTTTCCTTTGCTTTTTGAGATCATGCAAGTACTCCACCCCCATCAAACCCAATCACTCCACCTCGTATGCCGATAAGCCAGCGGCACCTGCGGCCCTTCGGCCTCGAGCAAATATCCATGCTCGCACCAGCCGAACTGCACCCGTACCTGACGTACATAGAACCCATCGAACGTGTTGTCCAATGCATCCAGCAAGCTATGCACATCCCCGTAAGGATGCAGAGTCCGCCACGGCTGGATGCAGGTATCTCCTTTGCACGATTTGAGCACCATAAGGAGGGCATCGAGACGGGTGGATATTTTGACGGCCGAGTAGGATCCTATTTTGGATGCTGCTAGGTTCGGGTAGAGGTTATGCAGTTGGTAGGGGTCGGTCTATACATCTCGCTGTCAGTGTAGTTAACGGAAAGGAGAGGTGGTAGGAGGGTGGCATACAGTCAAATCGTAGAGTTCATGTTCCCCACTACACCAGACAGAGTAGTAGAGGTTAAAGTCGGGGCTAATCAGCCTCAACGCCTTGTAGGTGTTATTGATGAAGGTAGCCGGTCCACCGTTCTCTATCATACTCCATTAGCACCACTCCTCACAAGCAGTAGTATAAGACAGGGGGGGAAATAAATACTACTCACCGTCCCGTCCAAACGCACCCTCAAACCCAGCCAAGCCCCAATACTCAACATTAACATGTTCATGTCTGTCCCCATCCACATCCGCAGCATGAATCTCCTCTCTCGTCAACGGAATCGCGACTCCGTCCAACTCTCCCTCTGCTTCGCCACCGACAATATCCAGAATAGTCGGCGCCAGGTCAATATGCGTCGTCACCGCGCTCACCTCCACGCCCTTTGGCACCCCAGGCCCTCTCACAAACATCGGCACCCGAATATCCTCATCGAAGCCACACTCCTTACCGGGATGTAACCGATGCTGACCAATATGGTACCCATTATCGGAGGTATAAAAGATATACGTGTTATCCAGAATACCCGCATCATCTAGTCGGAGGACTATCTCCTCCACGAGTTCATCCACACCCTGCAACGCACGCAGTCTCTCGCGATAGAACTCATCATTGTAGGCGACGCTCTCGGCATCTTGTTGCGGCAGGGATCTTACCCAGCTGACTCCGCTGGGATGGTCAGGGTTGAAGTTAGGGGTTCGGGGGATCTTAGCATCCCGAAACAAATGTTTATGTTTGTCTAGTGGGATGGGAGGAGAGAAGCGGAATGTGGTGGTGTCGGACTCGTCTGTCATGTTGAGGTTGGAGTGCGGTGCCACTGGGGCGACGGTTAGGAAGAATGGGTCATTGCTGGAGAGAGCGTCGTCGAGGAATCCCAGGGCCTTTTGGGAGAGGATTTCGAGGGTATGATGGCCCTCGTAGCTGGTTGGGGGGTCCTGGTTCCGTTGGTAGTGAGGCCGGAGGTACTGGTATGTATACGGGTCGAGGAGGAAGTCGGAGGCGTTGAAGCCCGTCACGAAGGGGGCGTTGTAGTTGTCGACGGTGTGGGCGTTGAAGAGTTTCCCTGTGTAGTAGGTAGAATAGCCGGCTGCTTGGAGCCAGAGGGGAAGCCAGTTCTCGTTGTGGCCTTCGGCGACGAATTTAGGGTATCCCCCTATAGCATATTGTTAGTATCTCCGGATTTTGGCAATTGGTAGGGTGGGTACCGTATGGGGGATAGATTTCAGTCACGTTGGTGTTGTGGGCTTGCTTGCCTGTCCAAAGACTCACTCGTGAGGGACAGCACAAGGCAGTGGTGACAAAGTGATTGCGGTAGAAGGCGCCCTGGTTGGCGAGGTAATGGTTGATTCGTGGGGTGTAGTGGAGGGAGTCCATTTGCAGGTCTTGGTCGTCGACGAGGATGAAGACGATGTTGGGGCGACTGCTGGAGGAGTGGTGGGCTACATGGTGGTCCTGTAGGACATTCTGGGTGTCTGGTTTGTCAATTGCTGCAAAGGAGTCGATGGACGCCTGCGCCAGAGCGGCGAAGGCGAGGAGTGAGAGTCCTTTCATGGTTGTAAGATAATGGTGGTTTATTTACAGTGTAGCGGGGCCGCGAAGGTATGCTTTTTATTTATGTATTCTGTCAAGACACCATCACCCCACTTGAGATGTTATCAATCAGGTCTTCCATTGGACAACGCAATTCGAATTGATGCTGGATGCCGATCTGTCGTGCAAACGAAATGCAAGGGATGGCGTGATTGGCGCTAAATCACCACCACCGCGACGAGCTATATCAGCGGGAGGAATTGCGTGTACCGTTCATCAGAAATGATTATTCGCTTCAATTAGTGAAAAGAGTTGCTATGTACACAATACTCAGTCAGGCGATCTCCCTTGAGCCTGCCTATACCTCCACTGCACCAACCTATGCGATCGTGATGTTCTGACTCAGGGTCTGGAGGTAGGGCTCAAACGAAGCCTAGAACACAACCAAATCAGCAGAGATTCACCGGTTGAAATGGCGATCAACTTACTCCAATCAGGGAAGCATGAGCAACACCCAGCACCGCCTTGCCCGAAGCCGTGCCCTCGGGAATGGTCACGGTGAAGTTTTGATACTGGGGCAAGTACCACTCGTGGTACTCGGGGTCAAACGCGCCATTGTACAGGACCTGGCCCAGGACTTCCGAGGCCGGGTAGCAGGTAGCCGAGGCGCAGGACTGCAGGCCGATGGCGATGGCCATCTCCTCGACGTTGGTGGGGGGAGTCTATTAGCAAAACATCTTGGTTAGTGAAACGACGCATTTCATGTCATTCGGGTTTGTTGAGAGGGTAACAGCGACGCAGGGACTTACGGGACGCTCAATCTGAACAATCACCTTCTGTCCCGCCTGGACCGTCTGGCCGGCCTTGGGGGAGGCGATCTGGACATTCTGAGCCAGTGCTCCAGCAGCGAAGGCAGCGACAGCGGCGACAGTGAATTTCATGATGGAGATGGGTATGAAAGTGATGGAGAAAGATGGAGATGGAATTGCTGTTATGAGGGAAGGAGCATGAAGAGGACAACTCCCACCCGGAGTAGCCTGGGGTTATAAGGCCGACAGCAAGCTGAAGCGTGCATGATGATGGAGGTGTTGGAGTGAGACATGCGGATGCCGGATGATAGAAATAGCAGCTCCAGTTGTGGAAATACGGGGCAGCCGAGGAGGAAGTGATTGGCAGGGTTTCAGCTAGTGAGTGTCGATCGGATGTCAAGTTGATGGATCTAATATTGGGATGCGAAACCTATACTCGTTACGGGAGATGGTGTTGGTATAGGGCTACACTAAGTACATGCAAAGGGGGGTGAGGATAGGACCGAAGAGGTATAGCTACTTGGGATAGATTGCTGGTTGTGGATGGTGGAGAGGAAAAGGAGTCTTTCGTTGGACAGCAGAACAAAAGGAATAGGAGAGAAACTCTTTCATTATTCATGCATTAGTTATGCATTAAGAATAATGACTCAGGAAGTGAGTGCATGTACAGGTCACATGATGGTGATGACTGATTCGGCAACTGGTCGGCAGAAGCACATGACATGGTATGATTCAGTGTGGTGAAGGCCATCATTATCCAAGCTGGGGATAGTGAAAGCTTGACTGGGCGCCTTATATAGCAGGGGAGTAATTATCCATTGGTGGCTAACGAGGTGGCTGGTTAGCACCACTGACATGAATTCATGGTAGTAGTGAGTTCACTGTTACTACGGAGTACAAGTAGTAGATATATCTGTACTCTATTAGACTCTATTAGTAGTATACCACATGATGATCGGGACCAATGAATAGTACCAGACCAGATGCAGTCAGACTGGACGATGGTATTATCCAGTAGCAGAGATGCAAGTGTCACCATCATCATCATGTCGATCTATCACACACTGCAGTCAGCGAAGTAGTAATAAGTTGTGGTATCAGCCCATCTCACCTCAGCGGCGATCACATCCACTACATCATGACATCCTACTTTCGTTAAAGAAGTGGACACTGGGGATGGGACCCCACTGGATCCATCGAACGCAACCTCAGCGGGAACTTGATCCGATGGCGTGCTTATTTCTTCCACTCTTTCTCTGCTCGGCCGGTTCGTTCGGATGGAAGGGGGGATCGTGATTGTGACGTTGCATGTTGCCCGCGGTGGCATGGACCTCCGCCCTCCCCGCGTCATCCGAGCATTGCGCAAACCTTGGACCTTGACTCGATCCAGTGGGCAAGACAACGCCACCACAAGGCTTATCTACATGATACGAGGCTTATCTGTTTGATGATGATAATAATCAAGAATGTAGAACTCTATTGCGAGAGGGGTCTTGATCTATCGCCGAATCAAAACACATGGGAGGTATAGTGCTGATGCAGAGGCGGAACAAATATCAGAGCAAAGATGACAGGAAAAGACCCGCTCGTGTATCAACAGGGCGCTCGTAAATGTATTCACAAATCCAAATCATAAACATCGAGTCATATGTACATCAAATGCAAATGCAGTAGTTGGGGTGGGGGGGTATTTGCAGGGGTGGGGAGAAAGAGAGACTCCGACCGATTCCCACACCAAGGAAGAAAAAGAAAAAGGTGGGCACCGGTCGGAGTCGCCTCCCCATCGAAATAATCACAAAGAAGGCTCTACTCCGGAGCAGCGCAGGTGAACACACCACGCACGGAACCGTTGCGGTAGTTGAGAATCTAGAAAAATAAGAATATTAGCATCATAATCATCGAGATGAATTGAAGATAGGATGGTCTTACAATGTCGTCGACACTGGCGTAGGTACCAGCCCCCAGCGTCACCAGACCAATAATCAGGCAGCACAGGTTCAGTGCCCCCAGCATCAGGTTCTTGGGCGTGTTCCACTTGCCCTCGCGCACCAGCAAGAACCACATCAGCGCGGGGAAGTAGAAGGTGAAGCCCGAGATGAAGAGCGAAGAGGAGATGGACAGCAGATCCGAGAAGAAGGGAATGACCTCGGCGATCACAAACGCCACCCAGGTGATGACGGTGATCAGGGCCAGCCAGGTGATCCAGCCCATCTTGGTGTTGATGAAGCGGATGGTCGAGTTCTTGAAGATGCGCCCATGGATCATGCGGCCCAGCACCACCGTGTTGATCGAACCACTGATGAAGATGACGGGCAGCGCAATCCCAAACGCCACACGCTTCACCATGCTCCCGGCGGACAGCAAGGCGGGGCTCTGCACATCCTGACCAACAAAGGCGTAGATCAGCGCACCTGTCAGCGTATAGATGACGATTTCAATGAGACCCAGCGCCCAGATGGATTTGACGTAGTCCTTGGGGGTGTGCATCTCATCCATGAACGAGAACTGGCACATGGCGAAACTGTAGGCGAAGACAATGTTGGTGACGGCAATGAAGGCGTCCGTGAAGGTGATGCCCTCCTTGGGCCAAGCGGACCAGTTCACCCCGGACAGACCAGCCGGGCTGTCGGAAGCCGTGATTCCCGTGGCAATCATGGTGATCAGAATAGCGGCGATGATGGAGACAAAGTCGACGTAGCCCAGAATAGCCATCTCAGCGAAACTGGGAGGGATGGCGAAGAGCAGCAGGATGATGGCGGAGACGACGGCGAACACGACGGAGCAGACGCCGCTTTCGGTAATGTTAATGAAGGCGATGGTACCCGTCAAGCAGTGGGAGCCCGTCAGGAAGAGCAATTGCAGACCCAGCATCACGTAGACAATCTCGTAACCAACCCGACCGAACATCAGACGTCCCGCCTCGGGGTAGTGGGCGACGTCGGGGAACTTCAGCTTGACCTGACCGACCACGTAACTGGTGTAGATGGCGACAAAACCCAGACCCACGGTCAAGATGACACCGGCAACCATACCAAGCGTAGCGAAACTGCCGGGAATGGACAAACTACCCAGCGCAATGGCCTCGACGATCAGCACAACCGTCAGGCGCTTCCATCCCAGACGGTTGTACTTTTCGATACCGGCCTCGTAGATGTTCCGCTCGCCCTCGCTCATCTTCTCCACCAAGTCACCATCGTACTTCTCACCCCCCATGACATTCTGGGACTTGTTGTCCATGCCGGCGATTTCGTCGCCGTAACCCATGGTGATAATTTTGTTTTTATGTAGACCTAAGTGATAGATGAGGTGTAGGTAGTGTGGGAGGGTGGAGGTATTTAGTTAAGTGGCGGTTGGGTGGAGGAGGGTAGGGTGAGTATAACACACAGTGCCCTGTCACACACCGGTTGCCTTGGGAGTGAGAGTTGGGGGGAGGGGGAGAGGGAGGGAATGAGGAAGAGAGAGAGAGAGAAAGAGAGAGAGGATGAGTCTGGAAGTGCGAGGAACAAGAGGGAAGAGGGAGGGTTTTGAATGGAGCGGGACGGAGATTCACCGCAGGCACTGAACCGTCCGCCCAGAGCACCAAGAGTGAGAGCGCGAAACGAGAGAACACCAGAGGAAGGATCGGATGAATCCGGGCACCGCCGCCGAGTTCCAGCTGATAAACGAAGGCAACAAGAACAGACCAACGAGAATGAGCAGAAAAGACATTTTGACCAGTTTCGTGGTGGCCATCACACGATGGAGAAACCAGAAAGAGACAAAAAAAGTGGAAACGATTTGGTAATGAGATAGAGTGGCGGTTGCTAAGGTTTACCAGTTTATCTGCTCTCCACGTGGGGACCAAGCTCCCGCCACTTGGTCGGTTGAGCCAATCCCATTCCCAGTATTAGTGCCTAGCCCGTCTAGGCAGCCGGAAAGGGACTAGCGCCCACCAGGGGTTAAGCCCCAGGGTGACGTTGGAACTGCAGACCTTGCCTGTTTGGGGTTAGACTGACCCCGACCCTAAGTCCCAATGCGGCCAAGTAACCGGTGGTCAGGCCCAACCGGACTGAAAAGGCTAAAAGGCTATTCAGGTTAACCTGCATTTTCCCCCAGACTCGAGGCCAATGAGACTAATCAGTAGCCCTGGCAGCTGGCCGCGCTTGCAGTAGTGCTCCTCCTCCGCCCTTCCCTCTCCGTCGTTCCCGATCGGCGCCGTCCTCTTACTACGTTCGGCGTGTCCGGCGCGAAGTTTATTTGCACCCGGGTCAGCCGTGAGGCTGAACGGGCTGAACGATGTATGCGTGTGTATGTAAGGGGAGTATTCATAAGCGTTGTACGACTTGATGCACTGTCCCGAGGATGGGGGAACAACAGGGACGCACGAGGGAGGTTGGCAGACACATACAACTCACGGGGGTGGAGGAACATGGAAGGAGGGTCGGGTTCTGACTCGGAGGGAGGCAACGGTGGAAGCGACGCTGACCTGCAACATCAGAAACACCAGAAACACCGGCGTAACCTTTTTCCTGACGAGGTGGAGTTTAGTAATCTTCTAGAAGCCTGACGAATGCGGCAAGTCAGCTCCCACCACCGCCAGGCTTATCAGGATTGATGACCAATTGCTATCGCTCACTGAATCCGGGCGGACGTGTGAGCACCGAACATCATTTACTACGGAGACCTACTAGTGAGGTGGGTTGTTGGAGACCGGCTGCCTGAACTAGTCGAGTTCGAGTCTAGTCTCTCAGGCCCTTGGCTGATCCCGGCGCTTATCTTATCCCGCCCGACCACGCCTCCCTTCCTCCCTCTCTACCACCAAACTCATTAGCTCTCGGTTTTACTCATGGTGACCTGATGGCTGACCCGGGCCGAGAGATACTACTACTATTGTGACTCTCGGGTCTGACCAACATGCCGACCTATCTCTCTATCTCTTCTATCGTAAGTATAGAGTAGTATTTCCATCTGCTGATCTGTCTCAAATCCTCCGCGTCACCCGCGACCATTTCATCCCGACCGGCATTTCCAAACCCTTCCGGCAGTCAGGCAGGGAGTCAGGCGTCCATTCCGCGTTGGAGGTGTCTGTTGTTGTAATTGTTGGAGAATCATCCTCAGGCAGGCACCTTCCCGCGACAAACAGCACAAACAGCCGAGTTAAGTACTTCGCTTACTCCAACTGCTGCTGAATCGCGCTAACCTGCTTCGGGACCAGCTCGGATCCGACGCGAGAACTGCGTCCCGCCCGCCCGGAGTTCCCAACTTTCCGTTCCCTCCACTTTGGCCTCCCTCTCTGTTCTCCCCCAGACTCCGCAATTTGCAATCTATCGCGACTACCTGCTCAAACGTCTCGTTCTTTCTCTCCCTGTCCAGAGATACATGCCATTGTGGAATCTATTACCATAGTGTCCTTTCCCCCCTCCCCATCATGAGCTCCGTCTCTTACGATCGCACCTGCCCTGCGCCCGCCCTTGCCAAGTTGCAATGGTTTCCCCTCGGGCCTCGGGTTCCCCCCAGGTTGAGAGGGCACCCTCTTTTGACAAAGCTTAGCTCAGATCGGCCATTACGTTGAGATGGCATTACTTCATCCTCCGTGAAACGTGCACCTTTACGCTACTACTGTCCGCGATTGCCGGTCGGAGCAGAAAATGGACCATGCTGCTGCCTTCCCATCCCCGCTATTACCTAACAGATATCCTTCTCTATGGGCAAGCCGGGCTCACCTCCAATGCGGGGGCGCCATTTATTCATCCCCCGGATTCTCCTCGTGTGGAGATTTTTACGCTGGGAGTTCGTATCACCATCCTCTCTGGCCTTGGAATTCTCCCCACTGAGTCGATACCCCATACTCTGACGTCGGACGGTTGTCGCAAAGGGCAGGGATGGGCACCGGGCTGAATACTGTTGGGATGTGTGTGGAGCTGGTGTTTGCCCTCCATTACATAAAAGAAAATGCTGTCAGTCTGATGCAGGAGCTCCTCCTTCCTGCTCTGTGGTGGGAAAGTGTACCTCCGCAACGGCAGATGCCCGGTTCATACCCCAGGTCATATGGAGATTGTCGCTCTCCACCCACAATCACTTGTCCCGGCTTCAGGTTCCCTTTGGCCTCAAAACAAGCCTTTGGCGATGAAGGGCCAGCCACCTCGTGCGAGTTACTCCAACTCCATACCCATGAGTGCGCTGCAATAGGTGAACCCCTCCCGTCCCGGCGACTGCCTCGAACGAGCACAGGCAGGTTCTAGACCGTTGTCCCCAGAGCTTTGTGCCGTCCGCCATGGATCTGTTCTATGCGGGAATTCTCCCCTTTTTCGCCATCATGCTGTTTCTGTACCCTTCAAAACCGCTCTGCAGCTCTCATTCACCTTGGATCACCCGCACAGAACAAATGCCTCATTTGTAGAACCTCTCCACTACGGCCTAAGTTGCGCAGTGTTGAAACAAAGCCCCCAGATTCATAGACATCCGAATACCCGGAGACAAGACTCCGATGCCGATCGTAATCTCTGATGCCTGCTATAACTCCAGGGTGTGATTTCACTATCTCCAGGTAGACCCAGTTGTCGAGGCGGTCAAGGCAATGTTGAATTGAAAGTCAACCGTTCCATAGGATGCCCTTACGGATTATCTATCTTTCTCGAGGATACAGGATTGATGCTTAATCGGACCAAGACTAGTGTTATCACATCCTGCTGCTTCGACTCAGCATTTAGGGATGCCGCTTTGAAGCTTTTCGGTGATCCGACCGAGCGGAACGATAGAAGAGCACGAAGTAGAGCGGACTGCAATCTAACTCCAATGCTGCTTGATCGGTCTTATCTGGCTGGCCATCGAACATCAATCTAAATATCCTTCAGGTCCAGACAGACAGACCTCGTTGATTCGACATCCAGTCAATATTTCCACAATGATGCCGGAACAAGTAACGGACAAAGTAGAGGCTATCCCCAGCCGCAAACGAGATCCCAGGATTCTCCGTTAAGACAACCCTGAGTCAGGTACTGTGCAGTTACCTGTCTTCATACCCTGCCATAAAGGATGAGCCGTCCAGGCTACACGGTCATCCCGTGGGAGTAACCAGGTTCAGGCAAGCCACGCCCACCACAGTGGTGAAACTTTGGCTCCCCCGTGGAGCACAGCTAAGGGTCGACTATGATGCGCGACGCATGCAGTAATGGTTGGATCGGAATGCAAGGGATGACACTTTGAGATCGCAACGGATGCAATGCTACTCCACTTCTCCCCCTGGATCGAAACATTCTCATGGGCGGCATCAAGCCACATCCGCGGAGGCCCCGGGTGAGGAACAAGAAAAAACAAAGGTACACATTTAAAAGAAGGTACATGGAGCTAGGCTTGCCATGGACTTAATTAGTGAATTCGTGGATGCACCTGCCGGATAAAGTTTCCGCTCTCTTTATTTTGCTATACCTTCAATTCATCTCAACTCAGCCAAGCAAATCACAATTTTCCGAAAAGAAGGAGGAAAAGGAAAGAATGGGAAGTATGGAAGACCTGCCCGTGGGGGTATTTCCCACGCTGGTACCCCCGAGCTCTAGTGGTCACACAGAATTCCATGCCCGGGAGATTTCCCCGGACATCCTCACAAATCTTCTGCAAAGCAGTATCCGAAAGGAAGTTGATCTGATAGTGCTGTTGCGTAGCATCTGGGCCATTGTTCTCCGCCAGTATGTCGAGTCAGACGGGCTGTGCTTCAAGGCGGGAAGCATGACTTCAGCTTGCTCTGAGTTGGATATGCTGGTCTATCAAGCTGGCATCTCTTCACATGACACCCCAGAAGGTATCTGGAGACAGCAGCAAATAACGACCGGTATCAGTGCGGGAGGTCGGAACTGGGAGGTGAATACTGGTGTTTTTCTACTCAAGCCGTGCAGTGATAGGCAATGGAGAGCCAGAGCAATGGTAAGTGGCTGACAGGCGCATTGCAGAATATGATTATGAATGGTAACACCGTGAGAGTTGTAGCAAGCTGTGGATGCTTGCTTGGTTATGGAAGAAGTGGATGCCAATGCTCCTCGTCTCTATTTCCTGGCGAAAGCGACATTATTATCCAGACAGCAGGTTCAGTATGTTGCAGATACTGTCGCTCATGTCGCCTCAGAGATCCTGCGCAAGCCCAACCAGACACTCAGGGATACGGGTTTCTTTAGTCCCCAACATGCACCAATCCTACACAAGTGGAACCACCGTACCTTCTGGCCTGGCGAGGGCGACATTCCCTCTTCCATCCTGGACGCCATTCGACGACATAGTCAGCGGAGCCCCGACGCGCTCGCTATTGTCGCTTGGGATGGCAGTATTTCCTACGGAGATCTCGAGGCACGCAGCACGTGTCTGGCAGAGTATCTGCGTCGTGTCGGTGTTGGCCCGGGTGTCATGGTGCCCCTGCTTCTAGACCACAGCCAATGGGTCATCATCACCCAATTGGCCGTCCTCAAAGCCGGAGCAGCCTTTGTACCCCTGGAGCCATCGCATCCACAGGAGAGATTGCGATATATAGTGCGCTGTGTGAAAGCCTTCTTGATTGTGGCGTCCGAGGCGCATTGCGCTCGGGCTCGACAGCTGGTTGAGCAAGTCATCCCGATTAACGAGAGCATCATGAATACAGTGCGTAGCGCAATCCTGTCGACGGCGTGCATAACTCCGACTGCAGACGCTCCGGCATATGTCCTTTTCACCTCGGGCAGTACCGGGCAGCCCAAAGGCTGTGTGATCGACCACCGTGCGATGGCCCAACTCCCCCATGATGGTGTAGCAGCGTCAGTGGGACCTGACTCACGTGTGCTGCAATTTGCGACCTATAGCTTCACCATGGCCATCTATGAGATATATTGGTGTTTGAGTAATGGCGGGACACTCTGTATCCCCTCAGACCATGACAGGTTGAACAATCTTCCTACCGTGATCGAGGAGATGCAAGTCACCTGGGCCGTGCTGACTCCGTCAGTACTGCGACGGCTGAGCCACGATAACCCCCCATCGAGTTTGCAGACGCTTGCCCTAGGCGGAGAGCCGTTGGCTGCAGGGGATATGGAGGCCTGGGTGCGAAAGCTGCAAGTGTTTTTCGGTTATGCGTCTAGTGAAGGGACAGCACTGAATTGCCTGACGGAGCTGAGCGAGCAATCACATGCCTTAGAGTATACGCCTACCCCCCGGGTTCGTCACTGGATTGTTGATCCCGACAACCATGATAAACTCGCGGCAATGGGCACAGTTGGGGAGTTGATCGTTGAGAGTCCCGGACTCGCCCGCGAATACCTGGACAATCCAACCGCCACTGCCGCCGCATTCATTCAAAGTCCCGACTGGAGAAGGTCATTTCGATTTTCCCAGGATGGGAGCCAACCGATCCGTATGTATAAAACCGGAGACCTCTTCCGCTATACGGAGAGGGGCAACCTGCAGTACGTTGGCCGGAAGGCCACGCAAGTGAAGATCCGCGGCCAACGTTTGGATCTGGGAGAAGTCGAATACAACGTCAGCCAACAGTGTCCTGCACCCGCCCGAGTGATTGCAGAGACAGGGGTCCCGAGAGATGGGGCAGGGACAATGTTACTAGTCGCGTTTCTTTATTCGGACAACTACACATTAGAGCAATCAGAAACGACGCAGTCAGATGAGGCCTCTCTATTTGCTGTCCCCTCCGATCAGTTCCGCGCCGACATGAAGCATTTAACACAAGCATTAGAACCATTGTTACCGGCCCATATGCTTCCTAGCAACTACATCCCTTTGCGACGCTTCCCATCGACGTTGACGGGAAAAGCCGACCGTCGTCTGTTACGCGAACTGATCCAGCAGCACACTCGCGGCGAGTTGGAGCGTTACCAGTCTGTGACGACTAATACTGTAGCGCCTCCAAGCACTCGCCTGGAGCGAGACCTTCACGGCCTTTTCGCCGAGGTACTGGGGATTAATGCTCAGGACTTCGGGATTCATCACAGCTTCATAAGTCTGGGAGGAGATTCGCTCGCCGCGATGAAGCTGGTCAATTTGAGCCGTAAGCTAGGCCTGCGCTTGACAGTCGCGCAGATTATGGAGAGCAAGACTGTTGCCAAGCTGAGCAACATCACGTTGGTCGACGAGTCTTCAGTTAGCACGATAATCCCTCTGAGGGATGGCCCTCTCGAAGCCAAACTTCCGCTCGACTTTTGGGAAGGTATCGAAGAAGAACATATTGAATTTATTTCCAACTGCTCCACCATCCAGCAGGGCATTCTATTGGGACACATCCGAAACCCAGCCCACTACCATAATCGAATAGTGTGGGAAGTCCTTGACCCCCCTGCAGCACGAGATATCGATCGAATGCGCCGTGCATGGGCGCACGTTTGCCGCCGTCACCCCATGCTACGTACCTTTTTCGTGGAAGCTCCAGCCGGAAACAGCTCCATGGCGCTTCAAATCACGTTGAAAGTGTCCCACTTCGGCCCTGAGGATGTGGATGTGTTGTATGAGGAGCCTGAACAAATGCCCAGCACGAATCCCGCTCTAGCCTCTGACCAGCCCCTACAGTGGATTCCCCGATTACGAATCTATGAGTTTACCGGAAATCGGCTATACTGTGCAATCGATATTCATCATGTTCAGGTGGACATGATCTCCTTGGGGATAATTATCCGAGATCTGAGGCGTTGCTATTTGGATGAGACTGAGTATGTTGCAGCGGGCGACGTGTCTGAACCCAACAGTGTGTCATACACCGACTACGCCCAGTATCTCGTTGCATCCCAGTCAGCGGAGAGTCTCAGTTACTGGAGAATTCGCCTAGCTCACACGGAGCCGTGTATATTTCCCCGCCTGCAGCAGGGCCCGTTTGAGGCCGCTTCGTCAGCCCTTTGCAGTGTAGAGCTCCCTCTGATGCCGATGGCTGACCATCTGCAGTCATTCTGCAAGGATACGGAAGTCACCGTAGCCACGGTGTTCAAGCTTGCCTGGTCACTGGTGCTAAGCGCATATACTGGGTCTCGCTGTGCCTGTTATGGTTCGGTGACGGCAATGAGGGATGTCCCTTTAGCGGGTGTCGAAGACTTGGTCGGGCCACTAATCAACACGCTTCCGTTTTGTGTGGAATTGAACCCCGACGAAAGAGTGATGAATGTGCTTCGACGGGTCCAAAATCAATTCCTCGAAGAACTACCACACCGACAAGTATCCATTGCAGAACTTCAACATTCCCTAAAGAATAGCAGCGGTACTCTCTTCAACACCACAATGAGCTTTGTCGACAGCTTAGACCCTGCAGCAAATTCCCAACACCCTATACGATTGGTCTCCTGGTACGGACCGACTGAATATGACCTCGTAGTTGAAGTAACTCCAGGGCCCCCCGTCTCGTGCTGCATCAGATACTGGAGCCATATGATGTCCGACTGGCAAGCATCCGCTCTCGCAGATACTCTAGCCATGTCGGTTTCGCAGATTCTACGTGGTGCATCTTCAGGCCAGTCCGTCGGAAGCCTCGATCTTTGTACGGCCCGAGATAAGCAGAAGCTCGTTGAATGGAATGGGTCTCCCCCGGAGGCCGTGCGGGTGCGTGTGCACGATTTGATCAAGGCTCGATGCATCGAGCAGCCAGATGCCTTGGCGGTGTGGGCCTGGGATGGTGCTTTGAGCTATCGGGAGCTCGACTGTCTTTCCTCGAACCTAGCTAGAAGGCTTATGGCCCGTGGGGTCGGACCTGAAGCGTTTGTCGGTATTTGTTTTGACCGGTGCAAATGGACGTTGGTATCGGTTCTAGCTGTCGCCAAAGCTGGGGGTGCATTTTGCCTGATGGACTCGTCGCATCCGACATATCGCCTGCGCGAAATCTGTGATGCCTTGGGAGCAAATTTAGTGATCACAACACCAACACATGTCGCAAAGGTATCCAAATGCGAACGTCCCTTGTTGGTAGTAGTGGAGGGTGTGTGTTCTGAAACGGACGATTTGCCAGGTGGATTGGGGTCCGAACATCGTGACACACTTCCTCGAAATGCCTTATATGCAGTCTTCACATCCGGCTCGACGGGAAAGCCCAAAGGCGTCGTTATCACACACGAGAATCTGGCTGCAACAATCAAAAATTGCCCTCAGCGGTTGGACCTACGACCAAGCGATCGGTCTCTTCATTTTGCGTCTTACGCCTTTGACTTCAGTATCATCGAGGTTATAGTTCCCATGGTAGTGGGGGCCTGCGTCTGCATTCCATCGGAGCATGACCGTTTGAATAATTTGCCCAAGGCCATGGCGGACCTTGCGGTAACCTGGGCGATTATGACCCCGACGGTGTCTCGGTTACTAGAACCTGCCAGCCTGCCCACCCTTCGAACTTTAGTCCTTGGAGGAGAGGCAATCATGCCTTATGATTTCACGACCTGGCAGGGTTACACGACCCTCATCAGCGCATATAGTCCGGCTGAATGCACGCCGATTGGACTTTGCACTGTGGTTCAGGCGGATGATCCGAACTGTTTGGGCAAGCCATTCACTTCTATGTCGCCCTGGATCGTTGACCCAGAAAATGTTCAGCGGTTGGTCCCAGTCGGTGCTGTAGGAGAGCTCGTCATAGAAAAAACCGTCGTCGGTCGAGGCTATCTACACGATGCAGAGCACCGTGATATAGCCTCCTCACCGTTCATCCCTCCGACTCGGTGGCTATCCCAATATCGAACTATCGACGTGACTAACCCTTCGCGTTTATATCGTACCGGTGACCTTGTCCAATTTACTGAGGACGGGGCGGTACGATTTATCGGGCGCAAGGACTTGCAGGTCAAGATCCGGGGTCAGCGACTGGAACTGGGCGAAGTAGAATCTCGACTCCGAAGCTACCTCCCTTGGGCTGGCGCAATTGTCGTCGAAGCTGTTGTCTTGAAATCCCCCAGTGGTCGCGCAGTACTGGTCGCCTTTATATCCATTTGCTCCCCAGATGTTACAGACAACGCCGAGACAGTGTGCGAGATAGCCGGATCGTTTGATAATGATGACAATAGTGTATATCAGCGTGACATCGATAAGGCTCTTTCACATCTTGGGGATGAGCTACCGAACTGGATGGTCCCTTCGGTTGTTCTGAAGGTGCAGGGCATCCCAATGACCAAATCCGGAAAAGTTGATCGACGCAGACTGCGACAACTAGCTACCCTGATTCCCCGAGAGACGCTAGGGGCCTCTAATGCCCATAGTTCTCTTCGTCAAGCTCCAGTCACCGAAGAAGAGAGACGGCTACAGATGGCTTTCGCGAACATCTTGCAAATGCGCCCTGAGGAGGTATTCGCTGACAGTCACTTTTTCCAACTTGGGGGTGATTCTGTTGGAGCCATGGAGCTGGTGGCAGCGGCGAGGCTACAGAATATGGGAATCAGTGTCAGTGAGATTTTCCAGCATCCTACATTGAGTGAGCTGGCAGCGGTGGCAACCAAGACCATGGATGAGGAGACTTCTGAGATTCCGCCCTTCAGCCTTCTACCCAGTGACTACGAATCGGATATCATCTCATCCGCTCTAGAGCAATGTGCTCTATCGCTGAATGACTTGGGTGATATCTATCCGTGTACCGCCTTTCAGGAAGGGTTAATGGCCCTTGCCAGTCAAAAAGCTGGCAAGTACGTCTGTCAGTGTCTATTTGAGCTCGGACGTGATGTTGAGATAAATAAATTGAAGACCGCGTGGCAAGCAACAGTGACTGCCAATGATATCCTCCGCACCCGGATTATTCACGTTCACCCGCACGGTACCTTCCAGGTGGTCCTGACGCCAGCCGCAGCTCCGATTTTTTGGCACAGATATGAGACCGTCAATGAATGGCGCAAGAAGGATATGGAACTGAACATGGAACTGGGAACCACATTGGCTCGCTTTAGCATCCTCAGCTCGGCCCAGGGACAGACACTCGTAGGTGTCTCTCTCCATCATGCCATTTACGATGGCGTCTCCCTGCCCCGACTCTTTGACCAGGTGCAAAGGGCATATCAGAATGAACGTCTACCCCTCAATAAATTCACACCCTTTATTCGCTCTCTAATCTTGCAGAATCCTAAGGATGTTGAAGAATTCTGGCGCACCGAGTTCCATGGTCTTCAGACTTCGGTATTCCCAGGTTTGCCCGAGCCTGGATTTGTGCCCAACCCTACAGCGAGCGTGGAAAAGGAGATCAGGTTCCCACGGCCACCGCACCTGCCAAGTGTCACCCTTTCAACAGTAATGAGGCTGGCATGGGCACTGCTGGTATCATATTATACAGATTCTGAGGATGTGGTCTTTGGCGTCACCGTCAGTGGTCGAGCGCGGTCTGTTCCTGGGATAAACCTTCTAACTGGCCCTTCTATGGCCACTGTTCCATTCCGCACGCGAATTTGTCGTGATAGTCTACTTCTGGACGCTCTGCGTGATGCTCAGGACCATTCCATGCGCATGATTCCCTTTGAGCAGGCAGGTCTGCAAAGGATCCGAGAGCTCAGCGATGAAGCTAGCGTTGCCTGCGGATTTCAGTCACAGTTGGTCATTCAACATGGCGAGCATAGCCAGGCCTCCCCTAACATGATGATACTGCGTGATCAGTTTGCGGATCATGCGGCGTTTCTCAACTACGCACTGGTTATATTGTGCACCCCATCAACGGCACATCAAACCGTACGCGTGAACGTTCAGTTCGATCCGCAAATTGTACTGCCGGCGGTCGCAGATCGACTGCTGAGCCAATTTGCCCATATCGTGGATCAGATGTGTGCGCCATCTAGCTACAACGCTAGGCTCGGGGGCCTCGAAACAATAACTCCCCAAGATTGGACCTCGCTGCGGCAATGGAACGGCAGCCTACCAGCCGCATACCCTCATCCGCTTCATCATCTCGTACTGTCGCAGGCGGAGACCACACCCGACAGGCGGGCCGTGGAGTCATGGGATGGAACCTTGACATATGCTGAATTGAATGATCTCTCGGGAAAGCTAGGGCAGCATCTGTTGAACCGTGGACTGAAACAGGGTTCACGGGTGGTTCTCCTTTTTGACCGCTCCCTCATATCGGTTGTGACAATGTTGGCAGTGCTTCGGTCAGGAGGCATATGTGTCAACATTGACCCATCTCTACCGCAGACTCGCATTACCCGGACAATACACCAAGCACGGCCCTCAGTGGCATTGGTATCATCTACATATCAGTCGCGGCTGGCAGATGCATTGCCGGTTCCTGTCCTCACGATTGCACTGCATACCATACCACGAAGCGCAAAGAACATCCCTTGGCCACTTGTGCGCTCTACTGACCTTGCATTCATTCTCTTCACTTCCGGTACCACGGGAAAGCCCAAAGGCATTATGGTAGAACATGGAAATTGCGCTACCGACATTTTTCACTACAGTGCTGTCTTGGCCGTCACCCCGGAAATAAGAACACTACATTTCTGTAGCTATGCATTTGACTTGAGTATCTACGAGGTTCTGACACCCTGGATGCACGGCGGATGTCTGTGCATCCCATCAGAGTCTGCACGGCTTTCAGATTTGCCCGGAGTCATCCAGAAATACCACGTCAACTTCGCAATCCTGACTCCATCCGTGGGGAGTGCGCTACATCCAAGTGACCTTCCCAGCCTGCAAACCCTCATCCTGGGTGGTGAAGTGATGCCTGCGGTGATGTTCGACCGCTGGGCCTCTCACGTACGCTTGATCAACTTGTATGGCCCAGCAGAGGCCACCCAGTGTGCCGCTCTCCACCTGAAACCCACAGACGAGTTTGTGCCAGGACTTCTTGGTGCTATGGTTGGCGCCTCGGGCTGGGTCACGGTCCCTGGCAGTCCAAATTGCCTCACCCCCATTGGTGCGGTGGGCGAGCTCCTGATAGAAGGCCCAGCGGTAACTCGGGGCTATTTTGACGAAATGGAACAGACGCAAGCATCATATATCGATCCGCCAGCCTGGTTGCAGGAGTTTCGCGGGCCTGCTGAGCCTGGCCGCCTCTTCTGCTCTGGAGACCTGGTGCAGTATGTACCTAACCGGCCAGGTTGGCTGCGCTACATTGGACGCAAGGATAAGCAAGTCAAAATCCGTGCACAAAGGGTCGACCTGACGGAAGTCGAGCACCATGTCGATGAGCTACTCCCACCAGGCAGTCAGGCAATTGCCGAGGTCCTGTTCCAGCACTCGTCTCCTCGCCAATCGAGCCAGCTTGCAGTATTCTTGGCCTTTGGTGAACAGTTAACCATCAAAATGGACATCATATGCGCCCTCGATGAGCCATTCAGAAAATTAATAGCTGAAATCCACCCACAGCTTCAGAAAAGTCTCCCTTCTTACATGGTCCCCACCCTCTTCTTTCCGGTATCTCACGTTCCTCAAACACCCACCGGTAAGACCGATCGAAATCGGTTGCGGCAGTTGGTAGAAGGGTGGACGACCGAACAGCTGCTGCCATATCACCCGTTCAGTACAGATTCAGCGCGTGCGCCAGTAGAGACGGCTGAGGAGCGCATCTGGCAGCACATGTGGTGCGAGGTACTCTGCATACGTCCCGAGAATATCGCCAGAACTAGTCATTTCTTTCACCTTGGCGGTGAGTCTGTTAGAGCGATGAGGTTGGCCGGGTTGGCACAACGTGAGGGATGGATCATTTCCGTGCCAGATATTTTCACTCATCCGACACTATCGGAAATGGCGAGTTTCGCCGTACCCTCCCCCAAGGGTGTGCCGGTTCCATCTCCAGACCGTTTCGGCCTGGTAGGAAGCAGAAGGCGGGAATCATATCTGGTTAATATGGCGACTCACCAGTGCAACGTCACCAAAAGTGAGATAGAGGATATATATCCTTGTACCCCGCTCCAAGAGACTCTCATAGCCTCAACGGTACAAAAAGGAGGCTCCTATCAAGCGCTGGAAGCCTTTGATTTGATCGCCGATGTGGATTTGGAACGCTTGGAAATGGCGTGGCAAAAGACAGCGGCCGATCATGCTATCCTCCGCACGCGAATTATGCAAGACTATACCGGCGAACTGTTTCAGGTGGTAGTCAAAGGTCCGTTAGCATGGACCGTGGAACAAGCGGATAAAAACGCTGAGAACGGGTTACTGCATTTCCAGCGTACCATGGGCATTGGGACACCCTTGATTCATCTAGTCCTTCTACAATCTCCCGGATCCACGATACCCGATCGTCTCTTGCTCTCGATACATCACGCATTGTACGATGGATGGTCCCTGCCCCTGTTGCTCGAGGAGGTCAATCAGAAATACATCGGCCCATATCGGGGCCAGGACACAACCGTGCCTTTCAACGTATTTGTCTCGCATGTAATAAAATCTATGGACAGGTGTTGTCATTTTTGGAAACAGGAGTTGGAAACGAAGACAGAAGCTCGACTATTTCCACGTTTGCCGGACGGGGTATACGAGCCACACCCACAGGCTATTTTGCAGGACCAAGTCTCCGTTAGCCCGACGCGGAATGAATCTGGGATAACCCTCGCAACCATGGTCCAGGCATCTTGGGCATTGACAGTGAGTTGCTACTTGAACGCAAGCGATGTAGGGTTTGGGATCACCACCTCTGGACGAGCTGCCCCTGTTCCGGGAATCGATCGACTGTTGGGACCTACGCTGGCTACATTGCCCCGACGCATACATATCCAGAGCACGCTGGATATCAAACTTCTCCTACGGCAACTACAGCAGCGCTTTACGGAGCAGTCCAAGTATGAACACATTGGACTGCAGCAGATTCGCCAGCTAGGGGCATCGGCGGCCAGCGCGTGTCGCTTCCAGACTCTCCTGGTCATTCAGCCCGACCAGCCAAAGCGCCAGCTGGCTTGGGCTGGAAACCACCAGAGTGCGGCCGAATTGACGCAGTTTAGCAATGTTGCGTTAACCTTGATCTGCCAGCTCCCCTCTCCCTCCTCGACGTCCATTGGCCTGACAGCAGTCTACGACCCTCGAGTACTGGCACCCGCACAGATGCAGCGGGTTCTGTCGCAAGTTGGCCATGTCTTCAGAGAGTTACAGGATGCTCCAGACGGTGTTCCCATCGCCTCGCTCAATATGCTGAACCCCAGCGACTCCACAGAATTGCAACAGTGGAATGAGCTCACTGTTCCTACTGGAAAGCATCAAGATCAAGAATTTGTGCATGACATGATACGGCGGAGATGCCAGCTTCAACCAGACGCCGTAGCCGTTGAGGCATGGGACGGAAGCCTCACTTATGGAGAGCTGGATTCCTACACGGAGTACCTGGCTGCGAAACTGCAGCTATGTGGTGTTCGCAACGACCACTTCATTGCTCTCTACTTCGAGAAGTCATGTTGGACCATTGTCGCCCAACTGGCGGTCGTGAAAGCCGGAGGGGCCCTAGTGATGCTAGAGCCTTCTCATCCCGTTGATCGCCGTCGGGATATTTGCCAGACTTTGGATGTCATGTTAATCCTTGGACCTCCTCACCTCACTCATTCGTTGGAACAGGAGCTCAATATCAAGGTACTACCTATCAGCAAGGCTCATCTCATCGTGATGGATGGGGAACATCTATCAGTCAACAGTCATATACAGTCTCATAACCTCATGTATGCCATCGCTACATCCGGGACTACTGGTTGTCCTAAGCTCGCATTGGTTCATCATGGCGGTTTTGTTGCCACTGCAAGGACCTTGGTTGATAGGCTCCTCTTACTGGCATCGTCTCGGGTGCTTCAATTCTCTAGTTACGGGTTCGACGCAAGCTTAGTGGAACAACTGCTTCCGTTAATTGTAGGAGGCTGCGTCTGTGTTCCCACCCCCTTTGACCGTGATAACCGCCTAGCGTTCACGATGGCGACCATGAAGATCAATTGGATGGTTGCACCAGCATCAGTGATTCACCTGCTTTCACCTGATACGGTCCCAACACTACAGACATTAATATCTGCGGGTGAACCATTGCAGCAAAGTATAATCGATGTGTGGGCCACTCGAGTCAACCTCATAAATGCATACGGCCCAGCGGAGTGCAGTATGGTGTGCTCAGTCAACCCAAGCGTAAGGCCGGGAACCGATCCGAACAATATCGGATACCCAATTGGTGGCACCTGTTGGATAGTAGACCCGAATGATATCAACACCCTTTTGCCAATTGGTGCTGAAGGAGAACTCCTGGTGGAAGGGCCGAACGTCGGTGTCGGATATGCGAAAGACCCTCGGCGCACAAGAGTTGCATTTTCATCGTCACCGCCTCACTGGCTCCGCTCCATTCACGGAGATTCAGTCCACACCCGAATATACCGCACAGGAGATATCGCTCGATATAATCCCGACGGATCTGTGCATTACGTGGGCCGTAAGGATTCACAAATCAAATTACATGGGCAGCGGATCGAGCTCGCCGAGGTGGAACATCATGTCAGGCTATGTTTCCCAGGCGCCATCCAGGTAATTGTTGAGATGGTCAAGTTTGACGATTTTGAAACTAGCTCCCTCGTCGCCCTCATCGTCTTGTCTAGCTCAGGCTTTCCAGCGTCTGGATCAAACATCCTGCTCCCAACAACCGCGAATTTCCTCAACAATGTTCAACACGCGGAAGCACTCCTGCAGGATCGTATCCCACCCTATATGATCCCGACGCTGTTCGTACCGGTGGCACAGATCCCCTTCAATACCAATGGCAAGGCAGATCGTGCTCGTCTGAGAACCTTGGTTGCTTCTCTGTCCATCCATGATCGTACAGGCTATCGCTCCACGGCCACAACAAAGCCTAACACAGATCTAGAAATTGTGCTTCATGGAATCTGGTCCCGTGTTTTACGGATCTCACCTCAGAGGCTTGGCATCCATGAAAGCTTCTTTCGGGTAGGCGGCAATTCTATTAGCAGTATGCAACTAGCGGCGCAGTGCAACGAGGCTCTCCTTCCAATATCCGTCCAGGATATCTTCCGTTGCCGAACAATTTCGCGGTTGGCGTCATCATTCAAGGGTCATCCTGTCCAGGCGGACAGATCTTTAGAAGCACATAGCCAGGATGGATCACTGGGCCCAGTGCAGCGGCTGCTGCCTGAAGTAGGGCACCCCAAGGCTCCAGTGGATTCTACTCTTGCCGCCTTCACTGATGGCCAGCTCGAGGAGATAAATAACGGCATCCCGCTTGGATATGAAGGGCAGATACAAGATATCTACCCCTGCTCCCATGCACAGCAGGGCATGCTCATCAGCAATACACGCAACTCCAGCCTCTATCAGCAAGTCTATCGCTTTGAAGTGGTTAGAGGTTTTGATGCGCCCAAGGTTGACTGTCAGCAGTTGGTAAGGGCGTGGCATGCGGTAGTCAAGCGACATGGAGCCCTGCGGACCGTTTTCCTTGATATACCAGGGAGAGGGTTCCACCAGATCGTGCTCGTCAATGCAATAGACAATGTCATAATTGCGGCTGACGGCAACCATAGCAGTACATGTACCCAAAAGAGACCTGGTACACAAGACCTGTATGGTCCTTTACCAACTCTAATTATTCACCAGGAGTATGATGAGCGGCTTTGGATCGAACTGCATATAAGTCATGCTCTTCTAGATGGAGTGTCACTGCGAATCATCGAACAAGACCTCGTGAAAGCATACTACAACAACCTACCCTCTTCATTACCTGACTATCGGGATTACGTCACCTATCTGCGGGCAAAGGGAGATACGGAAATATCATTGAGCTACTGGAAAAAGTACCTGGAGGGTGCGCAGCCCTGCCTCTTTCCTCGCCTCCGTGACTCTACAGCAGCAGTGACAGACGTGTCGGAGCCAAAGGCAACCGTCGACTTCGTGTCGCTTGACTTGGGCCCTTCGAAGTCTCTTGATCAGTTGTGTGAGACTCATTGCCTGAGCCTTACCGCTATCTTGCATGTAGTTTGGGCCGTTGTGCTGCAGCAATATACCGGAACGGACAGCGTGTGCTTTGGATATGCCACATCCGCGCGGCATGTCCCCATCCCTCATGTGGACGAAATAGTTGGTCCAATGATCAACACGCTGCCCAGTCAAATCCAACTCTCTAGGGATGCATCAGTACTGTCCACTTTACAAAAGTACACCGTTCATTTCATGTCCTGCATGGAGCATGCCTACGTTTCACTTGGACAGATATTACACTCGGCTATGTCCAGTACACAATCACCTTTCAACACAATGATAACTATTGTTGAGACTGGAGATCGTAGAGACGACGCTGATGGATCCTGCTTATCGTTGGTTGGTATGGATGGACATGGGGAGACAGAGGTATGCATCCCCGTATTCCTACACGGCGAACCTGACGACTGACTGCTCCCTTCACATCCCTCAGTATGCGTTGGCCTTGACCGTTTCCAAAGCATCGAGCCGCATGGATTTGCACCTTTCATACCAAACATCCATGGTCAATACTTCTCAGGCCCATGATGTGTGCCTGATGTTTCAAAAAGTCCTGTGCGAGGTCTTGGAGCGGCCCACAGCCAAGACTGGTGCCATCGATGCCCTGAATATGGGCCAGAGACAGCGCATGGAATCGAGGCAGCCTACCCCACCGGCTGCAGCAAATACATTGATATACGAAACCATTAATCGGCGATGCGCAGAGCAACCATCATCATCGGCCGTCTGTGCCTGGGATGGTGAATTCACCTACGGGGAAATTGATCAGCTCTCATCAGTATTGGCGGGAGAGATCCTTGCCCATGGAGTTAAACCGGAGGACCCGGTTTTGGTATGCCTTGAAAAGAGCCGCTGGGTTCCGGTGGTTATGCTGGCAGTCTGGAAAGCCGGGGCATGCTTAGTTCTTCTGGATGTCACCCATCCAACTACTCGATTGCATATGATTGCCAAGCAATCTGCCGCATCGCTGGCAATTGCAAATAGAAGTACGCGCTCCAAAGCAAACATCCTGTGCTCACGAGTATTGCAAATCGATGATGACCGCTTGTGGACTCGACATGTTAACTCCTCGCGGGCTGAGATGGTTCATGTTGACGGACACAGCGCTGCATACATTATATTCACATCTGGCTCGACTGGAACACCCAAAGGGGCTGTGATTGAACATGCTTCCCTTTCCATTGCGTGGGAGACCCTCATTACTCGACTCCAGTTAAACCCGACATCGCGTGTTCTACAGTTTGCCTCCCATTCCTGGGATGCGACAATCATCGATGTTATGGCCGCATTGATGTCAGGAGGTTGTCTCTGTGTACCCTCGGAAAACGAACGTATGGGGCATTTGGCCTTAGCTGCGAATCGTATGCGAGCCAATTGGATGCTACTGACCCCAACTGTCGCCCGTCAGCTTACTCCTAGCGAGTTTCTTTACCTTGAAACGCTAGTCCTTGGCGGGGAACGGGTCAATACAACGGACATTGAAGTCTGGCATGATAAAGTCTGTCTCCTGAGCGCATATGGCCCAGCAGAGTGCACGCAAACCACGAGCGTGACGAGGCCGTTAGATATGACCTGTGATGCGCGGAACATCGGTGTCCCAAACGCCAGTGCTGGATGGGTTGTACGTCCGGACGACCCTGAACAGCTCGTCCCCGACGGGGCTATTGGAGAGTTACTTATTGAGGGACCCATTGTGGGCCAGGGCTATTTGAATGAACCTCAGCGTACCTATCAAGCCTTCATTGAGGCCCCCAGTTGGTTGCAGGCCATTCGCTCACCCGGTATCGTTCGGGTCTATAGAACTGGGGACTTGGTTCGGTTCGCAGCTGACGGGTCACTCATCTTTATTGGACGCATGGATGACCAGGTGAAGCTACACGGCCAGCGGTTAGAGCTGGGTGAGGTTGAACATCACGTTCAGCAGGCTTTCGCTGGATCGCTTACGGTGATTGATCTCATCCAACCCGGAGAGGAGCAACAAATGGGTCCGTTTCTCGCAGCATGTATCTTCTCTCCCGGCCATGCTTGTAAATCACCATTTCATGCCGGCATTTGGGAGCCCCCTTCGGATACCTTTCGAAAGAAAGTTCAAGAGGCTAGAACAGCATTGTATCAGAGCCTGCCTTCATACATGGTGCCTTCCGTGTTTCTCCCATTGGCATGCCTGCCCAAAGCAACGACAGGAAAAATTGATCGAAAGCGTCTCCGGAACTACATCCTTAACATGTCCCAAGAGGAACTCCTTACTTATAGCTCTCCCGATGTTAACTGGGCGGCCTCTGTTTTAACCCTCATGGAGACGCGCTTGCAGGATCATATTTCCAGTATCCTGCATAAACAACCTTGGCAGGTTTCACCCGATCAAGATCTCTTTCAGCTGGGAATGGATTCAGTGCTAGCCATGGCCCTAATTGCAAGGCTGTACAAGGACGGTCTCAAGCTAACGGTCAGGGATATCTTTGAGCAACCTCAGCTGCGTAACCTGGCTCTTGTGGTGCGAGAGACGTTGCGGCCAGATCAAGAAGGTGTCAGGAAAGCACACAGCCGCAGCCCCCTTCTGCACTATGCGAGGGAGATTGCTGATGAGTGGAAGATGGCTTTAACCTCCATTGAGCACATTTTGCCAACTACCCATTTCCAGCGAGAGAGCTTGGAGGCGCGACACAAAGTGTACTTCATTTTCCATTTTCATGGCAAGATCGACTGTCAGCGTCTTCAGCATGCTGTGCAGGCTGCTGTAGACAAATACGCCATACTGCGAACGGTCTTCATTCCTTGGGACGAGTCTACAGTTCAAATAACTTTAGGTGACGCCACTGTACCGGTGGAAATCACGACGACCGATCTGAATCCAGTAGAAATAGCAGGATCCATTTGCCGCGAGGATTCATCAGCACCCGTTGCCTCCGGCAAACTACACACCCAGCTTCGCTTGATCATGGGGTCCAACCGTGATTCAATGGCCCTTCGGTTGGCCCATGCTCAGTATGACGGCATCAGCATGCCTCGTCTGTTCACGGACATCGCCCGGGCATATCAGGGGATAACTTTAAGTCCTGCTAAGGTGGACTTTCCGGAATACCTGCACAGCCGCATCTATGATATTCCTTCACAAGCATACAAGTTCTGGCGCGACTTGCTCCGAGGTTCCAGCATGACCTATCTACGTTCTGAATCTTCATCAGGATCTCCGCCTTCCCATAATCGGGGAAGCCTTATAACGAGCACCACAGAGGTCTCATACCCGCCAGCCCCCGCTGGAACCACGATGGCCACCGTCGCCAAGGCAGCTTGGGCCCTCTGCCTAGCACACATGGCTGGCACTCACGACATCGTATTCGGTCAGCTCGTCAACGGCCGAAACCTGGAGCTGCCAGAAGCCGAAACGGTTGTGGGTGCCTGTGTCAATTACGTCCCAGTCCGTGTGACTCTCCAGGCTGACTGGACCGTGTCAAGCCTCCTCCATGCGGTTCATCAGCAGCAAACCCGCAGCATGTCTTTCGAAACTCTCGAATACGACGAGCTGGTGGCGCAGTGTACCTCCTGGCCGGCAGACACGGATCCGGGTACCGGGATTCACTACGTGAACATCCCCGATGCATTTGCTGGTAGCGGCCTGCCTGGGGTCGGGTCGGACTATGAGACCTATGTATCCCGCTTGCCTTATTATCATCCCCGTGTGACCTGTAGTCCCCTCTCGAAGGGAACACTTGAGCTTACGCTTTACGTCTCGGATCAGCTGTGGGATCAGAATCAGGCGGATCAGACTCTGCATCTGTTTGGGCAGACTGTGGTACGCATTCTGGAGAACCCAACAGGGCTTGCTCTTGATGTTTTAAAGCGCTAGTGTAGCTTCCTCCCACAGTGTATAGTAATGGGTTGACCCAGACAGAGGGTCGACAGTAATGTAATGTTTAATAATTACAGCCGGATGTTCTCAATCAATTGATGTTGTAGACTAGACACAATCTTGTTACTTTTACTAGTTATGCTATGCTTGACACTGCTAAAAGACTGGCTCCTGATCCTAGCAATCATGGTATCTACTACGGCTGTTCACTGTACGACTATTCCCGTCTCCGCACTTTCCTCTTCGAACCATTTTGTTTTATCCCCAATGTCGTCTCTTGCCTCCGAGTCATCATGTTTCCCACCTAGATACTTCTTAAGCGCGGCCCTTCACTAAAATTAGTCATCCATGTGAGTTAGTGACCCTCATTGTCGCTACCATCAGAGTTTCGAAAGTCCGGACATATATGGAGGATGGTTGTTATCTATGCTGATGAATTCGCAAGGATGGAGCAGTTCTCCTTCCATGAAATCGATATTCCCCCTGAGAGGGTCCACAGGAGAGCAGAGGTAAATTATGCTCAAGACTAGAATACTGTCCTTCCTCGGAGTATGTCAGATCTAGCGGGAGAGTTCAGTCAATCAAGGTGAGACCTGCATCCGTAGACGGTGCGCAGCATTGTGTTACTCTGCATGGCCGATCATCTCTCGGGTATGCGTCATACCTTTGTCATTGGACATCGTGCAGATGAGTTAACAGGTGTACTTTGCAGATTCATGGAAGTTGTCGAGAAAGGCGGTCAATGGACATATGTGAAATAGGTAGGTTAAATTTATTGGCATGCAAAATAGCCTTGGAGCTACTAAGAGTCCGGATCTTGCGGGCCATTGATGATGGTGGCGTTTCATACGACATGACACGTCCCGCCACATGAAAGTCAATCCCATCGGGTTAGAGCGAGATGCAAAGAACAAGTTTCGAGTTCTGACAAAAGCAACCCTTGGCAGAACTCGATGATATCAGGATATGATTCATTGTTTACCTGTAGGTTGCTCTCTTCGGGCCATTCAGTTTGATCTAAGAGCGGTATATATCCACTCATCCAGTGACGACTCTGTGCAACATGCTGCTATGGTAGACCGCTGGCTACTACCGGAGTCGAAGATCTTATGGTACTTGTGGGTCATTCATTGGTCCACCCGGGGTCAGCATCAGTCGATCGATCGCTGTGGGCCGGGTATCTCCGGGTCGATCGTTGGTCAGTGGGAGTCATCTGCAACGATCAAAGGATTGTTCGGGAGCCAAAATGAAGATGGGGAGGGAGGACAGCCTGGGACGAGCGAGAGGGCCTCCCTCGAGACGGAGTCAGCGATAGCTCCGCCAGCCGGCGCGGAATGGGTTCCATCCAGGATCCACCCGTGCCGGGAAAGTCAACATTGTCTTCACCGGCAGAGAGGCGCCGAATTCTTCACGCGACTGAGACAACTCTCCTGTATGAATGGTCATAGTGCTACTCTCTCTGCAGTTTGGAACCAATTAGATGCTCCATCACAACTTCTGAACTGTTGGAAGGATCGGGGATGACAGCACATGAGGGAGCCGGAGTTGGGCGGCCACGGTTTAGCGAGCGGGATCGACCGGCGAGTGGCCCTGATGGATCACAATCCACAAGTCATGAAAGGCCATTGCCGGCAGTGCACTGTCCCACGTGCAAGGCTTGAGTAGCAACCAGCCCAATCACACTTTGCTGGTGAAATCGTGCCGAACTCCATTCGCAGCAAGGGGAGGAGGTGGTGGTGGTGGTGTTGCTCAGGGGAAAACCTTGTTGGAAAGGTAACTCGGAGAAGATTCGCCTTGTGGGGGCGGTTTTGCTGGTCCTGCATATCCACCGATATATAAGGGGCAGGATATCCGGATTGTGAGCGATTCTTCTCCCTACCCTTTGCACAGTCAATACAATCAACTTAAAATGTACACCAAGTTGTCCCTGTCTTTCGGCCTCCTGGCCACGGCAACACTCGCTCTGGCCGAGCCGACCGTCTACCTGATTCGCCACGGCGAGAAGCCCAGCAACGGGAGCACCGGCCTCAATGCTGTGGGTTTTGAGCGGGCCGACTGCTTGAAGACTGTATTCGGCCCGGATTCCAACTATGACATTGGATATATCATTGCAGAACAACCCAAGTCAGGTGCGTCGATTCTTCAGTTTGCTTTTCGGTGTTCCATTCCGTCAGGGATTGACAGACTCGCAGATGGGAAACGCGACCGCCCGTACGAGACGGTTCTTCCTCTCGCCGAGGAACTGGGGCTCACTGTCGATACGGCCTGCTCGAAGAAGGACACCAAGTGTGTCAAGGACCTGGTGAAGGACTACACCGGCAGCGGCAACATCTTGATCTGCTGGGAGCACAAGGAGTTGGCCAAGATCGCTGAGAAGCTGGGTGACGATGATGCGCCCACCTACCCAGATGACCGGTGAGTCTATGCTGAAAAAAGCTGCACAGGTGTGCTGTAGTCAACAAGACTAATCTTGGATGTATCACAGGTTTGATCTCATCTGGACGGATCCTTATCCTTATACCAACATCACTGACATCACGAGCGAGAACTGCCCGGGTCTGGACAGCTGAAGGAAAAGCCGAAGAAAAGAAAAGGCACTTTCCAAGTCGGAACACTTGGCCTTGTGCCACTGTAACCGACGGCCATCCAGGTTATCGGCCCCCTTTCAAGGAAGCGACGTAGTGCAGAGTCTTGGTGGTCCGAGTGTGGCCATAGAATAGTCTTTGGGAATGTGTGTTGGATACATTAATTCTAGCAGCTCACGATTCATGACACAATATGAACCAGAACCACTGCACGGTCTAGACACATCCTCATCAGTCATCAACATTATTGTATGGCCAACATTTCCCGGTCGCAACTCACTCCTGTTCCCTGAAGATGCATATAAGGCCACTCGAGGAAGACGAACTCCCTCAAGCTCCCTTCTAGCAGGCCCACAATCTCGCCACGAACCTGTGGCCGAGCCTGGGCCATGCGTCTGATAAGGCGACAGAATGCCAAGACACCATGCCATGCTTGATATTGTTGAGAATGTAACTTCCCATACTTAGAATCCTCCATCAGCGTTAAGGCCTCCACTAGATGCGACGGAGGGATGATACGGGCAAATGAGATGCAGCGGGAGGAAAGCTTTGCCGTGGTGGCTGACTCCTGGCTGAGTTTTCCCCACGCACCACGAACCCCTGCCAAGTTGGACAAAGTCAAGACTGGCCTGCCAATAAACTGCCAGATAAGGCCAATCCAGCAATTTCTGGATGGCGCCAAGCTTCCAGGTAGGTTTCGGCGGTGGTCTTAGCTGATGCTTGCACAGACGGGAGGCCACCTCCTCAGCCAGGATGTTCTGGGGAAGCTAGTAATACGAGACTAGCTTTGGCCGGGAAATTAACTTCCGCTCATCTATATCACTGGTCTGTTTGGCTTTCAGTCTGCTGGACCTTAGGCTGCTTTCTCGGGCGATGGTGACCACCCCTCGTAGGTTCAATGAGTATGGACGCCTCTGCGAGCCAGTGTTTTCAACACCAACCATTCTTCCATCATGAGGAGCCTCTGACATATAAAATGAATAGTGAAAATTTTAAAACTCCGATCAGAAGATGCAGGTCATTACCATCCCGCATTTCGATAGTGATGGGGTAACCCTCCAGCCAACGGTCGGATATGATAAGGTCACCCGACACGAACAGAAAGGGAAATGATCAAAGATGCGTCAAGCAGGGGAGGAGTCCAAACAAATGGCATCACTACTGATTATCTTGACCCCATCCACTGGCAATGATATTAATATCGATACCTCGATCTGGTTGGTCGGTTCCGATGGCGCAAAGGACGGCCGAATCGTTATCATCGGGCGTTGATTCGAATCAGCGATGCCGAGTGGGACAGTCTAGGGCTGGTAGACATCCCCTAAGGCACGGATCCCTGCTAGTGGAATACTCCACCTAAATAGCCCAACTGATAGCAAAGACGGGTGTTACATTGCGCGATATGCCCGTCCAGGCATTCGCCCCCTGCAATGGCATCGTTTGGGGCTACTTAACCCGTTGTTCGACGGCCGCCGGAGGTCCGTCCGACCTTGCTAGCAGCCATGCTATAAAAGTCGGAAGCTGTGCATGCGTTTCATTCGACTCAGGAGCTGGCAGTTTAATCACTTTTACTAGATTTCCCTGGCGTCTCAACGCCCAATCAACGGAATATGGGTAGGTGTGACAAGATGCATACCTAGGTACCCTGGACTGACAATAGTGGATCATTCTAGCTGCCTCGACCAGCGAGACTAGGGTCGCCGACGCCATTATTGCCAGTGAAGCCACCAACGAGGTAGGCGAAGTACAGACGAAGTCCGATCCCGAGAAGAATATCTATGAGGTGGATACTCAAGCGCTTGAGAACGAGGAGTACCCGCCACCTACAGAGGAAGAGCTCAGCAGCCTTCGCAAGGTCCCGGCCTATCTCCCCATCATCGCATACTCCCTTTGTCTGGTGGAGTTCGCCGAACGAGCATCTTACTACGGCGCCCAGACCGTCTTCTCCAACTTCATTGAGTTCCCTCTTCCGAAAGGTGCTCTTCAGACCCAACAACCCCTGGTCTACACAACGCTGACCGGCTGCTTGTAGGAGGAAATGGTGCGGGTGCACCTCCGCGAGGGACGCAAGAGACGGCTGGTGCGCTGGGAATGGGACTCCAGGCGAGTGACGGATTGGTCTTGCTATTCCAGTTCCTTGCCTATGTCATTCCTATCTTCGGTGGATGGTGAGCCAAAATAAAATCCCCAAAACGGACACATGTGCGTGCAGTGCTCACAATATCAGGTGGGCCGACGTATATGTCGGTCGGTACTGGGCCATTTGTGTCGGAGTCGCTATCTGTGGTATTGCCCACATCATTCAGATCATTGGCGCAATTCCTTCAGTACTGCAAGCTGGCACGGCGCACGCAGCGCCGCCATTCATCATCGGGCTGCTGCTGTTGGCCCTCGGTGCCGGCATCTTCAAGCCCAATATCGCACCCACAGTCCTGGACCAATACCGCCATCAAAAGCAGTACACCAAGGTTTTGAAGACTGGGGAGAAGGTCATTGTGGATCCCGAGATGACGGCTACTCGAACGATGCTCATCTTCTACGGAGTGATCAACGTCGGAGCATTCTACATGCTGGCCACCACATATGCGGAGAAATATGTGGGTTACTGGCTGGCTTTCCTGCTGGCCGGAATCATCTATTTCATTTTGCCGGTGGTGCTGGCGGCGGCCTACAAGAAGACGTACAGAACGCCGCCGAGTGGGATCTCGGATCTCGCCAAGGCGATCAAGATCACCATAACTGCTTTGCGCCAAAACAAGTGGCAGGTCTGGCGGAAGAACTTCTTCGATGCGGCGAAACCGAGTGTCCTGGCAGCCAAGGGGATCCAGGTCGACTGGAGCGACAAGCTGGTGGATGATGTGCGCAGAACTCTCGTGGCAACGGAGATCTTCTTCTATTTCCCCATCTACAACCTCAATGACGGTGGTATCGGGTCTGTCTCGACTAACCAGGGTGCATCGATGACGACCAATGGCGCCCCTAACGACCTTCTGAGCAACTTCAATGCCTTGACCATCATTGTTGCCGTGCCAATCGTCGATTACTTTATCTACCCCTTGCTATATCGGTACAATATTCCGTTCAAGCGAATCACTCGTATCACATTCGGGTTCACCCTGGCCGCACTCTCCGGTCTGTGCGGTGCCCTGGTCCAGTGGCGCGTATACAAAACTTCGCCGTGCGGCTACTATGCCTCCTCCTGTTCCGAAGTCAGCCCCATCAGCATCTGGTGGCAGCTGCCAAACACCATTTTGGGGGCCCTCTCGGAAATCTTCTGCAACGTGACGGCGTATGAACTGGCGTATGCCCGGTCGCCCGCGAGTATGAGGGGTCTAGTCATGGCGATCTTCCTCTTCATGACTGCTTTGTCCAGTGCGCTGGGAGAGATCCTTCTACCAGTCACCGAGGATCCCGACTTGATCTGGATCTGGGGTGCCCCCGCTGTTGCCCTCGCTCTCCAGACCATTTTCTTCTGGTACCGCTTCAGTTACCTGAACAACGACGAATTTATGACCGACGAAGCCAACTATGCCAACAGTGATGCGGAGGAGACCCCTATTCAGCCCACTGAAGTGGAAAAGGCGGTTGAGAAGTAGAGGTCGAGGCCGAATCATTACGGTCCGAATAACGTTAGCCACATCTTGAATGGGCTATTTCATCAATACATATATCACGTTCAATTTAAACCGGGTTTGAGGAAAGCCGAGTCTATGATTTTTATTTCAGTATTGTATATGTAGTCTCTTCTGTGAAAAAATATGGTGATGGTATGATCTATTTTGAGTTGAGAGACGCTGCAAATTTGCAAGTGCGGCTACCTTTTCAGTGTCGGTAGCAGATTGATGGTATGAGAGGCTACGGTCGTGATTTCATGTCGAAATTAGTTTCCGATCAATGGCCCATGAAGTCCGGTTTCGGTAAAAATCATGAGCGAATACTCCTCTGACTGGTGAGAGTGATCAGTGGATGGTTCATTGTGCCATGCACTAGATCTCATAAGCGAACGGAATGCTCTGCATCGCACCCTTCCTCTGGACACACCCTGCGGCGGCCACGTTCGCCTTCCGAACGGCCGTTTCGATCTGAGCATCGAATTCCGCCAGTGGAGCACCGGTGGCAACGAACTTAGCAAAGGCAGTAGCGAAGTAACCGACAAATGTGTCTCCGGCGGCAGTGGTGTCTACAACCTTCTCCACCGCGGCGCTGGGAGCAAAGCCCTGCTTGCCAGTGGCCGTTGAGTAAAAGGCACCCTTAGCTCCAAGTGTAATTAGAACGATCTGAACCTGAGCATGTTTGTGGAATAGAGGTGCAAGCTCTTCGGGCTTTAGGTCCTGCTCCTGCTGGGCAGGGGTGAGATGCTCCTTGACCGCCTGGGTCATGAGGACAGCTTCGGTCTCATTCATGGCCAGCACACTCGTGCCGGCAAGTGCAGCGAGGGGGATTCCTTCTGTGAAGACCGGCGCAGGATTAAACACCAGGTGAGAAGGGCAGGAAGGGTCGTTGAAGTGCTTCATCAGCTCCAAGGTAGTCGACCTCGGGATCTCGCCCTGCATCACGACGACGCCTTGTTCTAGATGGATATTCCGGGTGGTAGCGAGGACCGCATCTACATTATCCATTCCCGAGTAGTTAGCGCCGGGGACAAACAAGATCCGATTCTCTCCTCCGGCTCCTTCATCCACGATGATTGTAGCAGAGCCCGTTTGGCTGTCCGTCTTTTCCTGGATTCCCGTTGTGCTAACGCCGGAACCCTCCAGTGTTGGGCGCAGGAGCGCCGAGTAGTAAGGATCTCCCGCTCCGACCGCTCCGATCATATACACCGATGCATCTTGGTTGTCTTTGGAAACAAAGGAGGCGCGACCGCACGCGACCGCCTGGTTGGCACCTTTCCCGCCGGCGCTGATGGCGAGGGAATTGGCTGTCAGGGTTTCGCCAGCATCGGGGCAACGGGGGGTGTAGGTGACGAAATCAATATTCAGGGAGCCAATCACACAGATCTGAGGAGGCGCCATATTGTTCGTTCCTGGAGTTGCAAGAAGACGAGTCAGTTATCCCAGTGACGGATATATGGTCAGATCACCAATGCGGGGAAGAAGCACAGGTGGAGACTTACTTATAACGGTCGGTTAGTGATGACAAGTCAATTGATAGAAGCTTGAAAAGAACAGAAATGCCACAGGTAGCCGCTATGCAGAATATTGCAGGAAATGACTTTCAATTGATGACTGCAGGCGAGAAGAACAATGGGATGAGTGAGAGTAACAACGAGGGACTTCTTTGGGCGGCGGGGTGATAAGGATTAGGTAAGTGAAATGGTCACATGATGATGACGTTGGAGAGGTTCCCGAGGTAATTCGTAGTACTCTATACAATGAATATCAGATAGACAAACCGTTTGAGTGTTCCTGCTGTCATAATTCTGGTTCTAGAATTATTCACCTTGACAAAGTTCAATATAAGTAAATATGACATGCTATCCCCATATTCGAGGGGGACGATGAGGTACTAGAGGCTTAGCTGAGTCCCAGAGTTATGGGTACCTCATAACACATGTACTAGACGACATATGTTGGTGACATGTCAAAGCAAACACAGTTTTGGTTCGCAAAAGCTTATCCTCCACTAAAAATACCTGAAGATCATTGAAACTTCTTTTGTTCAAGGTTGAGTGGAGGAGGTCCATGTCCTTCTGTCTGGATTTGGCCGTAATCCTCAATCTGAAAGATCGGATGTATTGCGCAAGGGATGACGGCAAGATGGTAGTTGCAGGAGCAAGCATGGAATTATGACTGTGTGCTTGAAAAAAAGGGAAAACAAAAAAAAGGAAAAAAGATAAAAGAAAAAAAAAGCAAGAAGCGGTCAACTTTCATGGAGCCACTGGCTGGTTGATATATTTATGATTTATTGCTTAATTGAAGATTTATTGCATTTTACCTAATAGCTATTACTATCAACTCTACCGCATTTAGCATAACTTGTTCTGGACAGGAAGTACTTACTTATCTCGTAAGTGTCTATCGCCGCTATTATTCTGGCACACATGGCTTCGAGCACCTTTGGCAACATGCGATATTCGAGTCCTGGGATCTCATACATACAATAACCAAAGTCCAACCTACCTTCCCAAACACACTGTGGGATACTGTTTTCACACGGTCACTTGTCGGCTGACTTACACTACGCTTCCTTTGCTTGACCATGGCAACCATAACTAATACGACAACCACGGCTATCACGGCCATTGGCAGTCCAACTCTGACCTTCCGACCCCTTCACCCCACATTAGGTGCCGAGTGTGAGGGCGTGGATTTCTCGAAACCAGTCCCGGACGCTGTCATCGAACAGCTTCGTGCCGCAATGGCTAAATATGGCATCCTGGTCTTTCGTGCCACCGGACTTGACGATGCACGCCACACTGCCTTTGCGCGCCAATTAGGCGAACCGATGGTGGATAGCGCAGTCGGGAAACCGGGAGTGCCAAACCGACTCGATCCTAAAGGTGAGCTGATGGACATTGGGAATGTGGACGGCGACGGTCGGATCCTGTCGACAACGTCGTGGCGGTCGCAGCTGCTCCGGGGCACACGCCTCTTCCACGTAGATGGCTCCTACTTCCCACGCCGAGCGGGATATAGCCTTCTCCATGCACATCAACTGCCCCCAAGGGGAACCGGCGGCGCAACGGCGTTTGCCGACACCAGGACTGCTTATGCCGACCTAGCGGAGGAGACCAAGAACGAAGTTCAGAATCATGTGCTATGGCATTCGCTCATGCAGAGTCGATGTTTGGGAGCCCCGGAGAATTGGCTCATCAGGTTATTGGTTTTCGTCTCCGACTTGGATGACCTCCGTCGTCTTCCATATCTAATGGCCGTGGTATGTTCACGATGTGGTCCGCGGAGAAAGCGACCACCCCAGTAGGGCAGCGCATTATGTTGGCTAAACTGATTTATAAATCGCAGGGTCTGATAGCTCGTGTACTGGAGATTTGGGTCCAGATTGTGGACATCAGCCTGCTCTTAGTGTTCTGTTACGCTTTGATGCGGATCCTTGTGCTGAGGTTGCTGCCTGAGGCTGCAACATCGCGTGGACGTCATCAACTGGTACAGCTGCACAAGCCCAGCAATCGAATGAATCTGTACTTGGGATCACATGCGTACCAGATAGACGGATGGAGCAGGGCAGACAGCAAACCTGTGATTGAGGCACTGATGCGGCATGCTAGTCAGGATAAATATGTCCTCACTGTGGACTGGCAGAACAACGGAGACATGATTATGTGGGTATGTATACCATTTGATTCCGTCCGTGGAAGTCGGAAGCAATGCTAACGCCGTTAGGACAACACTTGTGTGATGCACCGATCATGTGGTGGCTCATATCAAGGACGGTATGTGCGTGACATGCGGAGGGCCACAATCTTCGACTCCGCGTAGCCGCTGGAGTCAGCTTGTGCGGAGAATGAAGAGTGTTAATTCAAGCAACACAAGCCGAAAGAACGAAAACAGGTATATTTCCGAATGTTATAACCTGTTTGCACCTTTCAGGGGAAGAAGCAGAACCCAGACTGGAACCTCATGAAGAAGATGAAGGATGCTGGCCCCTGCACTAGTCCCCATTTAGTTGGTTTCATTGGAGTGGGTACCTGACCGTTGAAGTGTCATGTCAGGCATCCAGACTTTGAAGATGTTTCCAGACCATAGTATCAATGGCAATTCAGTTCTCCTTTAAGACAGACATATCCCTCTGTACAAAATGATCTCTACTTCTCTGTAATCACTATCACGTAGATACTGTACTGCGGCAGCACCATGCCTAGACTCTATCTTCCCTGCATTCTGCCCAAAACGTCATTTTAGAAGCCCTGATGCAATCCCTCAAGTGGATCTGCAGGATCCCCCCAGCCCCTATCCCTTCACATCCAATGTCCGAGAATTCTGCCGAGCAGAAAGAGGGGAAGGAATCCTTAGTATCTAGTTAGCAGCGAAGCATGAATCATGCATGTGCATCACTGCGGAGGATCACCTCTACTCGGAGCATTCTCCGTAGCGGACAATATCACGCCTGCCTATAGGAAGGGGAAGAATAGTCACAGGTACGAGTGACTGATTAATCCCCGACCAAGTTAATGTCAATTAAGGTAGTACTACCTCCTCTTCCTCCTTCACTAGAGAGGAGGTACCCCGTAGGCAACTTCATATTTAACATAGTGTCGTCCCCTCACTCATCCTAGAGCCTGCAGTAACGTGTGTTACTTGGAGATACCTCTCTCAGTCAAAACGAAGTGCAGCTTTCCATTATTTATCACTTTTTAAAATTCTCCTCACAGAGATCAACCATCTAAGATGATCTCCCTCTCTACCCTCCTCCTAACTCTAACTCTGACTCTCACCGCAACCGCCCATCCCTCCGCAACCCACCAAAAACGCAGCGTGACATGCCTCAAGGTCGGCGCCGCCGCAACAGCCACCTGGACCAACAGTGCCGATCAAACCTGCACCTATGTGGGCGTCGTAGGCAGTAATTATGGCGAGAATAGTGATGGCGATGGGGAGTATGTGTATTATTTCTTTTCCATCCTCTTGGATACCTTTCTTTCCCTATAACCAAAACCAACGCCAAATGAAAGAAGCGGAAAGAAGAGCTAATCACAGCACACGAAACATCTAGTTACTCCTGCAATGGACGTTGTGGATCAGGATGTACCGGGGTCGCACTGGGCAATGTCTATACCCAGGATTGCTTTTCACATGATATCTGCTCGTATTTCGAGGATGCTAGTGGGGGAGCGAGGTGAGTAAATTTCCAGTTACATTCAATATCATGTAAAACATGATCTTCATATGATGTGTGAGGAACGCTAACATTGTTTACTAGTGACCCCAACTGCGGAGCAGCATTCAAGGCCGCAGAGGATGATTACTTGCTGGGATTGGTGGATGGGTGCTCGCAGACGAATCCCACTAATGCGGTGGTGAAGCCGACGGCGAGTCCGGTTTGCACTTGATGTGTACAATCTTTTTGTTTAGGGATGTTGGTGATATAGGGAGGATCAATACGAGTGATCCGTACCTTGACATTCGTTGTATGCATAAAAAGACAATATCTTCATATCTGCACACAATATGACATCTGATGTAAGTACAGTCTAACCAGTCGCCTGGCCGTATCAAGCATATTTACATGCTAAAAAGAAAAAGAAAATGTTCATATCAGCAACACATGATAGCTCAATCATCAATATCAGGAGAAACACTACTTCCGCTCCCCTATTAACTCTCTTGACTCATCACTAGTAGAACTCCCCTGTCGTGCACCCACCATACAAGCACAATGCGCCTCCATCGGTGGACTAAGCGCCTGTTCAATATCATCCTGCAACACGCTCAACCCCGGCTTGCGCCTATTGCTCGACGGTGTGGAGTTGGTGTTGGAAGAAGCCGACGGTCGCGACTGACTGCTATTGCTGCCGGAGTCACCAATCCAGCAGGGTGCATGGAAGCGCAGGAACTGTTTTAGATAGGGGAGACAGGGACATATAATGATGAAGTTGGCTTCGATGATACTAGAAATTCTGTCAACAAGATGTACATGGTGTTGGTCTGTGTTCTATACGCACATGAAGATGACGGCTAGAGCGATTTCGTATGTTTGGTCATCGGACGTTACCAGGGGCATTAGAGTCGCCAGCCGGATGATGCTGGTTATTATGGTTCTTTGATGTGATGAGTTGTTAGAGTTCGATTGACCACAGTGGAGATGTCTAAGCGGAGGGTCACCTACAAACAACCAATTCCGAACATACAGCCGACCCCGAGCTTCTGGACCAGGGGAAGCTTCAGCTTGGCTATGACTGGGATGGGGATTATAATCAATAATACATCGCTAACTGTGTTCGTAATAGCCGTAGCGAGATAGAATCCGACGCGGTTGACACAGTGACCGGTCGTGATGGTCAGGTCCCAGTTCTTGGCTATGGGTTGGCAAGGGAAGATGAGACCTAGGGTGAGAGCGATCGTGTAGCCGGCAATGAAGAAGGTGACGAGGAAGATGATGTTTCTCCAGATGCGGATCATATGCAACAGGCGATAGTAAAGCATCAGCAGAGCGAACTTGGCCGCTGCTAGGGTAGGGACGTAGATAATCGCGGCGGAGAGAATGGTCTATGGCTCTCAGCGACGATGCCAGAATGCAGTAGAAGAAGGATTGGTGACAAACTTTCACATAGATATCGAGAACCGCGGGAGTCAGGTACTCCAGGTGGACACCATAGCCTCCATAGCTGTAACCGTCTAAAGAGAGAGAGAGGGACGTTAGAGATTCTCTGCAACCACTCGCACCGTCAGTATTGCACAAACATACAGAGAATAACAGATTGAGTGCCAATCGAAAGGATCTGTGATAGCACAGGACATGTGAGTGCAAGGATCGAGACGAGGTTATTGCTGCTACACAATTACCCAAGCGAGGATTAAGCAGACTGCTGACTGCATTAGCTACCAGCCACTCACAGTCCAATCCATATAAGCATAAGAAAACGTACCATCATCCCACCAAAACTTCCTCATTATGTGGATCTTGGTGTACATTCGCATGACGAGTAAGATCGTGCAGAAGAAAATCCAAATAGCGCCCAAAATATGATTGGTGGTCCGTAACCATGGGTTGGAGAGAGTCCCCAAAGGAGCGTCACCACCAGCAGCTCTTCCCACCACGTCCATGTTGAGGAGCCGACAAAGAGCGGCAGGTTCCCCCGAAGAACGGGCATTATTAGCCGGTTGACCTGTCGATCGTAACGTAAATTGACTGATGGTGAGGAATGAAAGCCTCGTCGCATTTAAGTAACTGGAGAGGGGTCGAGTATCCCTCGTTTCTTCCCGTCGAGTGGCTGAGTATCAGTAGAGTTTCAGCCACGGCATCATCATCCAGAATTTCCAGCAACGAGCATTGATCGATCGCGCCGCGATCACCCGCAAATGCTCGACCATCTGTTTGGATGCGATGAGGGATCACGGGGTCTGTGCATCGCGAATAACTTTTCACCCCCGGATAGTTTAACATACGCCACCCGAATACTGTACCCAAGGGAAAGTAGGTCGAACAAGCAGAGTCATTACCATAAACCAAAAACCAAAGAGGGGATATCATTACTGCATTTCGTCTATCATAAGGTTGAGAGATCGGTCTAGACCAATTCATCGACCCCTTTCATGTACATATTAGATACAAGAAAAGCCACCCTCGTCAGTTGAAGGTGGCCTAAACGCTAGAAGCCGCATAGAAGGGCGCTTTTAATGGTAGAGCGCAATGAATCAATCCAATGCAAAGCACCGCTCCACCGAGTCAGAGTTATTGCCCCACCAATTTGGCATGGAAATTTGCTTGCCCGAGCCAAAGAAGAGGAAGATCAACAGCATATTCAGGTTGAAACCCGCATCGAAAGCAGCGGCCACCATGTAGCTGTAGCGTTTCCAGACCTCGAACCGATACCGGTAGGCCCAGTACATAACAACATACCCACCGATGATCGCCGATGTGTATCCCGTGCTGATATTACCGTAGAAGACCGCCAAGCCGGAGAAGAAAATGCTAACGTTCCATAGGTCAATGCGTAACCAGCGCGGTAGAGTGCGATGCATAATGTACAGGATCGGGGGCAGCACCGCGCCCACCAGAAACGCCCAGGGTAGAGGTTTCATCTCCTGCTCTTTGAACAGTCGGCTTGGTCCGAGAACTGCATACTGGACACCCAGAGTATTCGAGGACTTCAAGGACTGACCAGACCATTGGTTCAATGGATCCGTCTTCTTGCCCGACAGGTAGTCTCCTTTGGTATTGAGTACCCATCGGATCACGGCGTAGTTCACTGGGATACCGAGGACAGTGCCAAATATCTGAGAGAAAAAGACCGTGCGTGGCGGGATATGCATGTAGTGACCGATCTTCTGGTCCTGCAACATATACTGTGCTCGGTACCAGGCATCGCCGGCAATCGATCCGTAGGTGGACGGCCCACAAGGGTGCCGATGGCTTTTTCCAGCAGGAGTTTCGACCATGTAGCCATACACCAGCTCATTGAAGGATCCCACTGCCAATTGATAGTTCGAAATGGCATACAGGAAGCCAAATGGGACCACCAGCACAGCGGCGCTCGCCAGCGCCACAAACAATGTCCAGATTGGGATCCACAGATAGCCACAGGCAATCGTCACGATTAGAGCCACAAAGCCAGCCATGAAAAGCGCGACGTACCACCAGAGCGGGATCTCCTTGTATGTTCGCTGGAGAACATTGAGCCGATCGTGATACTGGTGGTTGATGCTTTGTCCCTTCTCCTGCGACGCCTTCCGCCGGGACCGAATAACTTTCATCAAATTATCTCGGATCTGGACGAAGCCAAAGGTCAAAATCCACGTAATGGCTGCGGTCACTTTCGCATAGTCAAAGAAGGTCGCCCAGAGGTTTTGAAGACCCATGTACATGTCACCGTATTCCGCGTAGGCGGTCTCATTCAGCTGATAGTCGGAGGTGACCACCTCAAGGGTAGGGTAGGTCGTTCCGTTCACGGTCAGCAGAGAATTCGACATGAGACCGTGCTTGTAAGACCCCAAGTTCCCCCATTTCGCAGCTGGAAGTAGGACCCAACAATTGAAGACGAAGGCCAGGAACAAAACGACCTGCGTCCACCATGGGGTAAGGAGGATCGACGAGCCATTCCAATTGATGTTGGACCAGTCGAGAGACAGGTTCAGCAGACCCATGCCTCCCAACCCAGAGCCCAGGAAGTTGGCCACGGCGTTATGCGGTGCGACCCAGCACAAGAAGGCGAGGGAAGATGTGAACGGAAAGACGTATTCGGGCAAGAACTGCCACAGCGTCATTCCCAGAAAGCAGAGGAAGAAAATCTTCATCTGCCGCCGCGCGAGGGGGGATGAGACATCCTGTTTCCGGAACGTTTCGAACAACGTAGTCTGCATGAGAGCCTGCGGCCAGACGAAGTTGGGGTCATATAGCAGAAGCTGGCGGGCTAGTGCTGCGAAAGCATACCCAATCCAGACAATCGCAAACATGAAGAAAATAGCCACGGCAGCATTGACCCTCTCACCATAGTAGAGCTCCGCCATTGCGATCGGGGTATATCCGAGGTTGTAGGTAGCACCGGACGCCGCCGTCAAGGTGACCAGAACGTGTTCCTTGATGCTCCACGGCCCCGGGTTAAGGCTAAAGGACCAACGAGTAAAGGGCACGCGGATCACCCAGGCTGGAAGGACCCGCGCCAGAAAGTGACCCGCATAGTGGCACGCGATCTGCACAAAGAAAACGGAGTATGGAGCTTCGGTAGTACGGAAGTGGCTCATCATGGACAAGAAGGCACCGGGTACGACGAAAATCACGCAGAGAACGAAGTATCGAAAGGTAATAGTGTACAGGGTTGGGTCGTCAGTAAGGCTGACCAACTGGCGCACCTCAAGGGGCAGCGCGGCGATCTCGGGGTCCTCTTCGGCTGCGGTTTCGACCACATTGGGCTCTTCAGTCTTCTGGCTCTTCTCCAAATCATCCACGGGCTGTTCCTTCACGGACGCCGATTTGGATACGGAGTCGGATGTCTGGTCCTCCCGGTAGCCCGTTGTGGTGGCGACGGGCGACACATCGCCGGCATCAGAAGGCGCTGCATCGTCTCGCTTCCGTCGAAAAATAGTGGATAGGCCCATGGTGAAGAGCCAGGATCTAGCGCGCAGAGGCGGATGGGGTGAAAAGACGCATACCCAGGCAGTTCCTTCCGACGCAGAGAGGGGTGAGGCAGCCCGCAGTTATAGAAAAGTTCCATGATCGAGTGACTCCTCGCCCTCTCCGCATCAGGTAAGGGGGCGATGGCGCAATCGAGCAGCAGCACCGCAGCATTTTCACAGACCCCAGCTGCCAAGTCGGTCGGCTTCACGCCGAATGGCTAGAAAGTTCAACTTGTGCAGGCGGCACGAGCTAGGGCTGACCATCACGGTGAAAGATTGGAGAGAGAAAAAGCACGGTATGAAGCCAAAGTGGATGCCAAAATGGCGTTATCGAATCCTTCTCATTCGTGATGCGCCCTGAGATCCCCGCCCACAGCTTCTCCGAAGAAGCGCCGTGATTCGACAGACGCTGTTTCGAGCTCTTAGCAAGCAACCGGCCCCTGGGCCATCCATGGGTCCGAGGCCCAAGAAGAAATTTTACACAGGAAGGTGGAAGAGCCAGGCTAGTAGAATCGGGCTTGAATACCACGGAGGGCAGACCGAAGAGAAGATTGTGGCCTATCAAAATTCAGCCCTTCCGCCCCTCAGGTCGGTCGCGCCCCAATGGGGTGCTTAATCCGGTTAAGCTTAGATAAGAGAAATCGATGAGCAAGATTCCGCGTGGATAACAGAATCGAGTGTGAGATTTGACCGAGACGGGGCGATAATGAGTTGAGGCAACAGATAACCGAACGAGGTTGTCAGTACCCTTTGAATAGTTAATTGAAAACAAGCGACAGGAAAGATAAGCTGAAAGAACAATGCCCGCGGCCGCGAGACTTCATATATGCATGCATGGCTGCCTATAGGATTTTCAAATAGAAAAGATGAATATGGCTTAGTACTTGCAGACCAGGCGCAGGTTGAGACTACATGTCCTTTGGGCTGTTGACCAAAAAGGCTAAGAAAAGAAAAAAATTTAGACAGAATTGAATCCCCCGAACCATAATCGAACTGGTGACTTTTCGGTTACAATTTTACCATTACAGCCGAACGCCATGAACCAACTAGACCATCGGGGGATTGTTGGACTGACGGCAGGGATCTGGTCATTATACGCCGATAGTAATAGAATATACGACTTCCCGATCGGAAACGTGAAGCAATTGCATTTCGTGGCTGGAAGCAGCGTAGAGTCATACTGCACAATAGACCTTATATATAGTTATGGCTACAAGGTCATTCTCCTCGATATCTAACCCATACACGACGAACTAGGCTACATTCTTGGTGATCTGACACCGTCAATGTACCAGTCATGCAGATCTAGAATCATAGTTTGAGTATCAAAATTCGTACGGGGCCAACTCCGCCTCGGGAATGACGCCGGTGCAAAGCAAATTCCATTCGTCGGACAAAAAATGATAAGAGGATTCATAGACGCAATCAAAAGCTTTATGGCAATAAAGCGGCCCTGGATCCAGTGAAAGCATTTGATTGTCGTCCATGCAAAGTCTACCATAGACTATGAGAGAGAAGTCACCGGGATGAAAAGAAAGGGGAAAAAATTATATATATACATATATATGTATATAAAAGATATAATAAGACTCCCCCGAACCAGAATCGAACTGGTGACTTTTCGGTTACAATCATATCCATTACAGCCGAACGCCATGAACCAACTAGACCATCGGGGGTTCTTGTTGATATCAGCTATCAATTATGAATAGATCAGGCAGGGCTGTATTTTACTTCTCACTCCACTAGGTCGGCTGCGAGCCAGCAAGCCAGCAAGCCATTATTGACTAATATAGAAGAGTAATCTTGCTTAATACAATATATACGTAGAAGAGAGGGGGGGATTGGTTGATAGACACTGAATAACTAGTTCCTGTCTTTATTAAACACCACGAGGCGATCAAGATGCTTCGTTGCATTAGCGGAAGCTCGAAACAGCAGATTTCAGGAGTTTTGGATTACGGGGAGTTGCATAGAAGAAGCAATGGCTATAGGTATGGCCACCTGAGTTGCTAAACCCGCATGGAGGCCCGTCCTTAACGAGCAGTAAGGAGTAAGAATAGTATTGAGCAATCCCGACATGGTACATGCTGTCCTGCAGGTAATCTCATGCCCCTCCAGCGCCAATGGGATGTCCCGTTCGATCTGCGGCACACATGCTGTACCTTGGCTTGATGGTGGCTTGACAGTGGCTTATGACCAATCAACAGCAGTCTTCGTCTTTGCAGCACTTTGGAAGAAGCAGTTCTAATGATAGTCCTTATATATGTCAAGCAAAAACCAAAATATCCCCCGAACCAGAATCGAACTGGTGACTTTTCGGTTACAATTATACTATTACAGCCGAACGCCATGAACCAACTAGACCATCGGGGGATTGTTATGATGATATGTATCAATTTTTTAATTATTAACATATCCGGACAACGAAGCGTCGCGCGGACAACGAGCCGTCGGTGACCCTCACCGCCTTATATCTCCAAGATGTATTTAATCTTACTTAATTCAGTCAAAAATGAAGCTATTTAAATATATAGAGAGTTTTTGTGATAGGATCTACTTGTCAGGGTAGAAAGCCTGTCGACTAGGTAAGGAATCGGCCACTAAACACCATGGATTCGTATAATAATGACAAAGGTAGCCTATATCCACGAAATAGACTGATCCTTGGGGGATCAGTGGTCCAGGCAAGGGAATCGGCACCTTATAGGCGACGGGAGGCTGTAGAATCATTATCGATGACCTCATGACTCCCATAATCGCTATAATACGTCATTCCGGTGGCTTTACTCCCGATGGGTAGGTTATCGTATCACAGTTTTACTAAGACAGAATACTATAACTTATCTATGAAGTCTTTAATTGCGGTTAATTTGCCCCGAAAAAAGATGTATACTGCAGTATTTGATATTAAGATAAGTGATACTCGAAAATACTTAATACTAGCTATTATACTATGGTGATTACAATAAAAAAAATTATAATTAGTCTAAATATCTGATAAAATCAATATTTAGTATATTTATACATTTTTATCTGGGTAGTGCTGAATTACTTTAATTTGATTCGATTGTTAGTATTTTTAGTAGGCAGAGCGGCGGCTCGTTGTCGCGCCGGTTCGTTGTCCGATTACGTGAATGGTGAATGATAGTCAGTTAGTTGTCAGACCAAGAAAGAAAAATAAATATTTCCCCCGAACCAGAATCGAACTGGTGACTTTTCGGTTACAATTATATCCATTACAGCCGAACGCCATGAACCAACTAGACCATCGGGGGCTTGTTGACTTTATTTGTCATATTTTACACTTATAGAGGCCGTGCAAACGCTGACTATCAAGACAAGAAAAAGGTTTTAATATCCCCCGAACCAGAATCGAACAGGTAACTAACTAGACTATCGGGGGCATGTTGATGTAAGCTAAGTAGATTCAGTTTATGGATGCACAGAGTGTGAGGACCCGGAAAGTCCTCACATTATTCACTGCAAGCTTATAAGTGATGCGCGTTCTGAGCTGTTGGACACAGAATTCTAGTCATTTACCGGATGGCCTAGTGGTTTTAGACCCAGAGGATTCACTGCCTGAAGCGCACCAGGTTCGATCTTTGACACGGAGCTGGCTGTCAAGGCAGGGGGAAAAAAAAGATTTCATGTCCCCCGAACCAGAATCGAACTGGTGACTTTTCGGTTACAATTACACCATTACAGCCGAACGCCATGAACCAACTAGACCATCGGGGGATACGATGGCAAAGCAGCCAAAGTTTTGACTATATATTCCAACATTGTACCTATAGCAACGCGATAGTGACGAGTCGCACTCCCCGGTTGTAGCCAGAAAGCTACGAAGGGGATATGCTGTGTTTCGAGGGCAGACCGAAGATAACTACCATAGTAATACCAGTCTGCTTAGTATGGACATATGCCCGTCGCCTTTTTCATCCAGTCAAAAAGAGTGCTCTGTAGTACAGTGTCGCTGCTATTGGTTGAATGATATATATCCTACAGCGCGGAAAACGAAATGGAACGCTACCCGTTACTTACTACTAACTAGTAGTAGTATTGCTAGTAAGATCCCGTGAAAACGAGTACTAATGCTGGCATCCGATGATTGTTTACCTCCAAATACTGAAACGAACGCAACATTTGAGTTGATGATACATAATCCTGCTAGCTAAAGATCAAGAGAATGAAGCTCATTTTGCAAGCGTAGGCGTGTACTAGATTACCTGGTCTTCGTGGGATGTCCCTTATCTGGTGTAGCAAGATCCGCGAGTTATCTCTAGCAGATCGATATCCTCCTGCGTAGAGGAGCTACTTCAACACACTATGTAGGCGTTCGTAATCCCAATTCTCCTTCTTGAAGGCCTCCAAAAGCTTGCTAGCCTGCTGACAAGAGAGGTGAGGATGAAGTCGCAGAAGTACTATCACATTGCGTACCTTGACTATCGCCACTGCTAGACTAACTAATAATGTGGTAAAACCGATAGTTAGCATGGATACTTACCTCAGTGAAGCCTTCATTTTCGTGACTGTACGTTTGTCGAACAGGGGAGCACTGGCCTAGCCACATCAGTGATAAGCTTGGCTTCATACAGATTATGTTGAATCATTGACTCTAGCCAGGCATCACCTGAGCCTCCGCCACGTCTGACACCAACCTATAACCATCATCTTGAGATCTATTTAGACCAAATACATACATTCAACCCCTGCGCCTTGAGAGAATATATTGATTACACAGTAGACGATGCATATGACAGATAGTGGACAAAGCGAGGGCAAAGGTAAGGAGGGTAAAAGAAAAGGGTAACTGATTCCCTTCTAAGAATGCAGTAGAGCTATCTCGACGCATGATCCAATACGGTCTGCCATGGAGTTATTGCTTGTGATCGATTTCTGGCAGCCGCTATTGATCGGTTCCTCCGGGTTAAACTTGTCGTTTGGCCGCATCAAATCCGGTTACGGTGCCATCGCAGCTGCACCGCACATTTCGCACGAATGACCCGGAATAGCCTGGAACTTCTAGTCTGGACTTGACTTCACCTGCCAATCTTCCTTTTAATTAATTCATTATTTTTATTACTTTTCTTTTTTTTTTTTTTTCTTTTTTTTTTTTTTTTTTTTTTTTTTTTTTTTTTTTTTTTTTTTTTTGTGATACCTGCATGATTTGATGGTCATTCATCGTCCGAGCACAACAGGAACCGGAATGACCTCATGGCGGTGGTTTCGGTACGGTCGGAGGCATCCGTGGCAAACCATGGATTTGTACAGCAGTCATCTAAGCCAGTCACAGCAGAGGAAGAGAGCTGGGCAGGGCCTTGAAGTGCCCTTATTGATGGATCCAAACTGTCAGGCCCCGTCAACTTGATTGGGGAAATTAGGGGGGAGGGAGGGAATACAGTATGCAGGGCATGAACTCGCTGTGAACAGGGCGATGACGTCCTTCTCACATCAGAGTCCCGGGGGCTGTCAGAACCCTTTCGCGCCCAGCTATTATAAACCACCGATCAAATGGCACCTCGGCAGTCTTCAAGGTCCATTCATGTTCGCGTAGCCTTAGAATTTTAATCAACTGCATCGCTTTGACACGTTTGAAGATGCATGAGCACACACGAAAGCACAAGGTGGCCGTGGTCGGCTCCGGTAATTGGTATGCACCAACCCTTTCTTGCCGCTGCCGCGCATTTGGCTAATACCGTTGTAATCTAGGGGATCCACCATCTCCAAGATTGTTGCGGAGAACGCCAGAGAGCATTCGGACCTTTTCGAGCCAGAAGTGCGCATGTGGGTGTTTGAGGAGGAAATCGAAATCCCTGAATCCTCCAAGCACCACTCCAAACTAGGCGGCCAGAAGCACAAATTGACCGAGGTCATCAACGGAGTCCACGAGAATGTCAAATACCTGCCGGATATTGCACTCCCTGAAAACGTCGTAGCCGATCCAGATCTCAAATCGGCCGTCAAGGATGCTACATTACTCGTCTTCAACCTCCCCCATCAGTTTATCGGCAAGACCCTCGATGGTGTTGTCGGGCACCATCTACCCTATGCGCGAGGTATCTCTTGCATCAAGGGCGTCGATGTGTCCGACGGAACCGTGACCCTTCACTCGGAACTTATCATGGAACGACTGGGCATCTACTGCGGCGCCTTGTCCGGCGCCAACATCGCCCCAGAGGTGGCCGCGGAGAAGTTTTGTGAGACGACCATTGGTTACGACACCCCTCCAATGGATGTGGAGGAGCGTGATGGGTCGCCGAAGGAAAACTTAATCAAGATTGATGAGCAGCGGCAACATAAGACTAAACCCACGCATGTCAAATTACACCCAGTGCCAAAAGATCTCCCCCCTGTCGACGCTGAGCTGTGGGAGACTCTGTTTGCCCGCCCATATTTCCATGTTAATCACGTTCGCGATGTTGCCGGGGTGGCTCTAGGGGGTGCACTCAAAAACATTGTAGCTTTAGCATCGGGGTTTGTTGCAGGAAAGGGCTGGGGAGAAAATGCCAAGGCTGCAATTATGCGTGTCGGCATCTTGGAGATGATCAAGTTTGGTCGGACGTGGTTTCCCAAGTCTGTGGACGAGAGAACCTTTACCGAGGAGAGCGCGGGTCTAGCGGACGTGATCTCCTCGTGTAGCGGTGGGCGGAACTTCCGGTCAGCTTGTCACGCAGTCGAGCAGGGGGTCAGCGTCAATGAAATCGAACAGAAGGAGCTCAACGGTCAGAAACTGCAGGGGACTTCGACAGCCTACGCTGTTTATGACTTTCTCTCGAAGCACGACCAGTTGAAGGAATTTCCGTTGTTTGTTGCTGTTCATGGTAAGCATTCTCTTCGGTTTTCTGTTCCTCACAATCTCTCACTAACTTTCTGTCAGATATCCTCGAAGGAAAGTCTACTGTTGATGACCTCCCAGCACTGCTAGATGGGAAAAAGAAGAAGAAGAAGAGCGCCTGAGGGTGCGTGATCACATTCAATGGTGCTGGGAATTAGATAATGAGATATGACACGTAGCTAGAATGTTAAAATTTAGTTAATTGATGAGTCACAAGGATATACACATGCAGGAACTAGCTCGTTTAATCACAAATCTATCATCAACCACAGCTATACTTCAAGTCCTAATCAGTGACTCCGTCATTGTTTTGGAAACACATGCAAACAATCTTAGTACCTGGTTCAATGGTCAGCGTTTTAGACGAGATACATGGCTTGCCAAATGGAGTCACATCACTAATGATCAGGTATTTGCTTACTTTGGGCTTACCGTATGTTCTCGGACTATTAGCTCGATATAATTTTATAATGGCTACTTGCTTACCTGAAGTTTGGGGCTGTATCACAACAATTTGATTTTAATTACTTAGTGGCCTGGAAACAGCTTTCGACGGGGACTAGGGGATGTACCAGAGTTGGCCCTGATGATAGCCCAGTCATATGAGGCATTCGACTTGTGTCACCTTGTGTCCACGATGTGTAAATGTAAATGGCAGTTGCCTATTTCTGGGGCAATTTTTAGGTATTCAATCCCTGTAGAGTCTTCAAGATTCACGGGGTGTCTCATCTCGTTGCACTCATAGTAGCGGGATGTTCCTTTGTAGTGTATCTGGTTGTCGCTCTGTGAAGTTCCGGCGAGTGAAAGTTAAAACTGCAATCGTTTCATTAACTGCTAAATTCACCCACTCTGGTATAAAGAGATCTCCTAATCCCACACCACAGCCACACAGGAAACCATTCGCATGGTACTCTACTTCTACCTATAGTAGAGCTCACACTGGCTCGGAACCATGTCCTATATATAACTCGGAACGAGCGTGTCTTTACTGCAAGTATTTGGCGCACATCGACAAATACTGCCCTGAACATAAGGCTTGCATCTACTGCAAAGGGGGCCATAACATCATCGAGTGTACGAGGGTTACGTGCAGGAGATGCAAAACGAAAGGGCATCATCAACTTGTCTGTCCAAATACGCCAGAGTGTACGTTGTCGCGCAGAAAGGAAGCACTTGCACACCATACATATTTACTGACTCTGTCGGGAAGCTTTAGGCGTTGGCTTGAGCCCGATTCCGAACAGATCCAAGCAGCATGAATGTTCTCCACCACTTCCAAGAGACCGACCTCAACATCAGAATCAGTCTTTCTTGAAAGATGGAGAATATCGGATCTTCGGGTGGGCGACCAGGTGCAATTACAGTTTCATCTCACTGAAGCTCCAACCCCGTACGCCTATGTCAAAAAGGCTCAACCAAAAGACCCAGCAAGCTGGCTGGCTGTCTTTATCAAGAAAATCAGAAAGAATGGCTCTTTTCATACTTGGTTATCAAGCCACGGAGAGCTTTTAGTGAAAAGATGGACAGCCTTGTGGACGCTTTGGAAGGGTACACACTGGAGGAATCAAAATCATTCAGTCGCCGATGGTACGTACAGGGGAGGACCGGGACCTCTGTGAGAGACATATTTTATACCTGATATGATCCTGCAAGCCAGAGATATACTGCCCTAGTTGACCAGCTTTTACCCTTTCTTGCCGACACATTCGAACTTGGCATCAGTCCAAATCTTTTACCCGATCGGGCTGAGAACGAGACCATTGAGGAAGAACGTTTACTCGATGAAATCGCCCAGGATATAGAAGAGGATGTGCATGAAGCCGACATATTATATTTGCGGAAAACTATCCATTTATTATCAAAGTGATCTATTGGTATCTCAACAAAATGCCGCGTTCGCTATTATATCATGACAGATATAGCAGCGCCACTTCACGGATTAAGGCGGGTGTCAAGAGACGTCATTCATATAATGAGTACTTTAAGACGCTGTTAGAAAGCCCGTGCGAAGTGATACAAAGCCGAATTTCTCTTGCCTGCTCAATCTCCAGGAAAGGTGGATGGCATGTAAGATGAATCTGCGTTTGATTGGAGGTCCGGAGTGACTTGCCCGTCCCCAATTTTCTTAATTTCGGGCAAATTCACAACTCCTCCGCCAGAAACCTCCTATTTCAGATAACCACAGACAATGCGGAGTATGACTGGTCGTCTTAGAAAGGAATACTCACGCTTTATAGCCACGAAGAGCGTTAAGTCTCTATTAGAGTGACTTCAAGATGCCTTTTGTGGTAATGGTTATTGTACACAACTCGAATAGAACTGCTCACCCCATTACTTATATATCCATTGCCTGGTTGTTCTAGCCTCACTCGTCATTCTTTCATCTTAATCTCTTGGTGTGGAGTTGAGATCTTTTGACTTCATGCTGTCAGGGATGACGCCCGGGTTGAGTGAATTGCGTTGGCCTAGACCTTCTTGAAAATACGATCTACTGTGTTTGATTCATTGGATTTAAAGTTAGACCACGAGCTACAGGACTTGAATCTAGAATGGCGGTGCTAGCCAGCGGCTTGGTGTATTCTCGGCCGTTGTTCCACGAGTTCCACGCGATGACACTTAAGAACGAGACATGTTAGAGGTTTCGGGACTACAAGGGCCCATCCCGGAAGGCTGGTTCATTACACCTGTATGTCCTCAGTTGCGGAAGACAGTCAAGTGCCTTATCCCAGATAATCCTATGTTGTCAGGCCAAGGCCTGTATAGGAGCGGCATCAATGGAACCTATTGCCGACTGCACGGGATCACGGAGCATGAGTACATGCTGGCAACTATAGCAGTGATTATAACGCAACTATCGTTGGTTTTGTAGCCATCAGAAGCATTTCCTGTTCCTATCCAATGGCACCTTGGCTACGATTGATTTCGATGAAGACCGGTCAATGGCCTCAGCTTGTGTTACTGCCTCACACCGCCCACAGGCGGTTGCATTACGATAAAGCTAATAGTATGAAGAAGCACGACGAAGTATGCCCCACTGATGCATATGCGGTTCTCAGCGATCATTTGCAAGTCAGTTTCTGTTTGAACGCGGTATGCATAATAGCAAGATGATGAATGGCTCATACTGCTGGCCTTGTCATATGAGTCCGCGACATAAAAGGTAGGCGGTGATGATCCCCGGACAAGGGGGTGCTTTCCCGTTGTGGATCCCACCAGTTTCTCCATCCTTCGCTTAACTGTGAAGAATTCAAGGTTCTCGCTCATTCCCTTACCCAGATTCGAGAATGTCGGTTCTACATTGAACTTGGCCGCGGGTCTATCTGGTTTGTTTATTGACAAGGCAGATATAATTTCCCTTGTGTCACGATGCCAGGAGTCTATCTAGGCACGAGAACAAGGCAGCCGAGCATTCTGTCTCTCAACCTTTAAACTTGCCCGGCTGCATTCTTACTATCCCTTTCAATTTACAGGCTCGTTAAGGGGCATTAAAGCTCGGACTAAATTCTGATGCGGTGAAGAATCGTTCGAACTTTGGCGACTTTGAGCAATCACGTATCTCCAAGTTTCCGCTATCCAGGGACACAAATGTGTATGCCAACTCCATCTTAGAGAGCCAATCGCGTCCGCCTTCAGCACCCTCAATGAACTGTATAAACAGAAACAGTATAGTGGCCGATGCTGCAGGCCTCCAAGGATAAAGAATCCGGGGATGTAGATCCCTGACCCTCACTCGTGCCGGAACCGGCCATGCTTGTGGGGCTGGAGCAAGGGGTGACGCCAGTGGATCCAGCGGCTTGCATCCCATCGATCCTTGCCATAACATGCAGTCTCTACTATGGAAACTTTGGCTGTGCCTCAGGTAGACGCGTTGCAGCCAACTCAGATTATTCAACGAATGTGGACTTGACAATAATAGGATTCTCTTCTGGCTTCCAATCAGTGATATCTTGTGACAACGTTGGGCCCATTAGTTGGTCGAAACTGTTCATCCCTTGCATTACCCGCCTGTGGTAGGGTGATACCGTGTGGGGAATTCATCTTGGTCAATTTGACAAGACCAGTAGATACTACACTGGCTCATCCCTTTCTTCATGAAAGTTATCATTCCGTACGTGATCCTACTATAAACACAAGCAGACGCCGAAGGAGCCATCTCAGGTATAAATACGAGGTGTTGACCTGCTGTTTTTCATCTTCATTAACCAGAGCACAACAGCCATCAACCACCAAATCCAATCACTCTTTTACTAACCTATCCACAGGAAACCGTGAGTTAGACACCATTCCTGATTCATCCATCCCACAACTAACCAGTTCCAGACATCCACCCAAAATGCGCTTCACCTACCAGGCTCTTGCTGTCTTCATCAGCTCCCTCCTCGTCAACAGCGCTGCGGCCCACGCCTGCGAGAGCAGCGCTGTCTGGCCCGATCCCGCCGACTGCCACCATTTCTACCAGTGCAACCCGGGCACTGAGCCCGCCCACAAGGTGTGCGGTGCTGGCACTGCCTTCAACCCCAAGATTAGCGCATGCGACTACGAGCAGAACGTTCCTTCTTGCTTCAAGGACCCCCACCACCCTCGCCCTTTCCACGCCTAGATGGCAAACTTACTTTCCGACCAAAGTCACTCTTTCACGGATATGTTTGAGTATAAGTGTACAGGCTTATACTGGAACGTTTAATTTCTAATGTATCTCTAATTTGGGGGTCGACTATAAAATACCTTGAGAAGAGTGGATGAATTTTTGTCGGATCTGTTTTATCTTGTATCATCAGTATCATGTACTATGACCGTCCATATAATACTGCGAAATGTGTCATTCATATTTTGAATCATTTGTTCAATTAATAATCAATATGATCGTTACAAACGGTATCATATCCTGTATGAATGGTCTATCAAATCTACATAAAATGGTATCATAAACAATAAGGGTATGCATCCGCTTTACAAATGGTATTGAGGGGCGCCGCTTTCCTCAAATCCCATACGCTGCCACCAGCGATCAACACCCATGTCTTCTTGCGAGCTGCCAAATTGTTAGCTTGCATTCCACAACAATCTAAAACAGTTGCAGAATTTGAGGAACTTACTCCCAAGACTCCTTAACAACAGGCTCATTCTGACCCTCGGCTGGGTTAGGATTCCGGAAAACAATGTTATATTTCTGTACAACCGGACCGTTAGCATCCCTCCATATCGCGAAGACAATAAAACAAAACAGAAAAAACTTACCAATCCCAACGTAATATGAATCGCCGTCGGGAACGGCGGGAACGCCTCCTCCGGCTTCTTCCCCTCAATCATCGCCTGGATATTCTTCGCCACGGTCGCGGCCTGGGGACCGCCAGGTCTTGCGGCCTTGCGCAAGCCAGTATCGGCAATATCGCCCAGCGCAAAGAGGTTCGGGTACTTCGGGTCCTGGAATTGCATGGTGGGACGGATACGAATGAAGCCGTTATCAGGGTTGATGAGAGAATCGGGAGAAGAAGCGGGGAGAGTCTTGATCAGGTCGTTGTTGGGTTTCTGGCCAGTGGCAAGGATGACGAACTCGGTTGTGAGTTCGGTGCCGTTGTTCAGTTGGACGGTGAAGGGCGTGCCGTTGTTGGGGAAGCCGGTTTCGGGGACGACGATGCGGGCGCCGGTGACCAGGCTGAAGTAGATTAGTTGAGATGATCAGATAGATAAGGGGGAGAAATGAAACTAACTTGATACCGAGCTCTTCGAAGCGCTTCTTAACGATTTCATGCAGACCACGGTGGAATTGGGGCATCAATTGGTCGCGCGACTGCACCACGGTAATTTCCTTCTCTGGGTATAGCTCCTTCATGTCGGTGGCCATCTGCACGCCGACGGCTCCACCGCCCACGATTACTACAGACTTGGCTTTCTTGACGTCTGCTTGGTGTTTCTGGAGGTAGACAACGGAGGACGGCTTGTCGTCGTCTGTCATGGCTGCAGGCTGGGCGAGACGCGTGCCTGTCGCAACAACGAGGTACTCGAATGGAATCTGCTTCAGGCCCTGCCAGTCACGATCGAGATTGACGTGTTGGGGCTGTACGGAGAGAACGCGCGCCTGGACGACTGCATGTTGTGTGGCGTTGGGGGTGGAGGAGTAGAGGCGGGAGTAGGGAATGAAGGCTTTTTGTTCGTGGCCAGGGACGACGGCGAATCGGGGCTAGGGTGCGGATTAGTTTGTGTCTATAGCGATATATCGGCCAGTAGGACGGTGTTGTCACATACAAATGCGAAGAGGTGGTGGAAGTGACTGTGTGGTTCGATCAGGAGGACCTGCGGACGTAGGTTAGTCTGGTAACCAGGATAGCTGGGCAGTGGGTAGGACATACTCTATGTGTGTTGGGCACAACCCGCGCAAGCTCTTGTGCGACTCCCTGCATTTGCTGTCAGTCATGCTTCTGCATTTACAACTGAGAGTTGCACATGGAATTACCTTTCCGACATAGGAACCGCCCACGACGATGACATTCTTCAGCGAAGATGCGGCCATTCTGTTGGAGTTTTCGGTGCGATATTCAGAAAATCTTGGAGCAATGGACGAGATAATCAATGCTATGGTTGCAGTGATAACAATCAATGAAATCAATGAAGGTAGAGGTCTGTCTGAAGGTAGAAACATGATAAAGGCGCGACCGAGCGAGCAAGAGCACGACTATATAAGGGCGGCAGAAGGCTTAGCCCCGGAGGCAAAGTGGGGGATTGTCGCCAGGGGGGTTCGGCATATTCCTTATCTGATCTCCCGGTTTCCTGATAGAGTATCTCCGAGAGGGCATCCACCACGGATTGGGTCCGGGTGGTAGTGGCGTCACTCCGATATTTCCGGTGGTCCACATTGCCGCGTACTTGAATCTATCTTGCCGTTGGGCAGTTCTTTCGGATATGGATCTTGATGTTGTGAGTCAGTTTATGTAAAGGTTTGAGAGAGCAAGGGCGCCATAAGAGCGGATGGCGTGTATGGCTTCGAAACTAAGGGCCATCTCGACCGTGGGGGTAGTCTCAGCAAGAGCCATTTTTTGTGAAATATCTGAATTGGCTGGAAAGCAGAGGATTCTAAGAATCAGAATCCTCCGTACGAACCACCAGCCTTAAGAAGATCAGATAAGAGAAGATCAGCCTGACGCAGGCACCGAGGCACCACCGCCGAGCCCCACGGCAGTTGATCGCGGATGAAGTCCTCGGATATGCGGGGTTCGGATATACGGCCGGGGATCGATGACATGTTCCACGGACTCGGTTCCAGAGAGTGGTTCTGTGGTTGGACTTGCCAGTCTGGGGTAATTGATAGGTCCTCGAGTATTAGGAGCGTCACGCGAACCGATACTTCCTATTAGGATGTCATCACGTCTCTTATCCCGCGCCCATAGTTACCGGATGCGCAGTTCCAACAACACCCACTAAAGACTCTCATGGATAAAGCCGCAATAGTCTGAGGAAGGCCAGAAGTAAATCTTTGCTATACTACTGCCTACTCTTCAACATGTTGCTGCCTATCAAACTGGAGAAACCCTCAGTTGGAAGGATGACGCTGCTGCCTCGTATCTCAGGCGCCAGCCACGTGGGCTTCCACGCTTAAGCCCCGTGATCTCGTGCTTATCGCGTCTCACGGCAGCACACACGCAACTAATCTAATTTCTTTTGTTTTCAGGCTAATCTTCTTCAATTCTACTGGCAGCTCGACCTATGCTCCTCGACACTCCGGGATCATCCGATATCACCACACCCCCAGCATCCACCCGCAAGAGAGCTGGGGGAAGGAGGTCCAAGACTGGATGTCGTACCTGTCGGTGAGTTCAGCCTGCACGACACTACCATAGATACTCTGCTAACAAAACCGCGCTCTTAGTGCCCGTCATAAGAAATGCGATGAAACCCCAGGCGCCTGCATCAATTGTACATCTACGGGTCGAACCTGCGATGGATATGAGCTCCACCGCTTACCCCGCGAGGTGAGGAGACCCGGAAAAGCAGTGGTGGGGATAACAGTGCCCGCCTCACTCGCGAATGGGATCCACTGGGTGATGAATTCCGACGAGCAACGAGCATTCGCCTATTTCCAGCATCGATCCATGCCCGCGTTTCTAGGATGGTTTGACTCGTCGCTATGGCAGAAATTGGTCCTCCAGTTGAGTCATGCAGAGCCCGCTGTATACCATGCAGCTGTCGCATTGAGCGCCATCCACCAGGATGCCGAGAAGAAAGGCATGCCGCTTGCTAGGGAAGACTTGGACAATACTTGGCATCGCTTCGCTTTGGAACAGGCGGGACGCTCCATGGTCTTGCTCAATGCGCGACGGACATCGCAGGATCCCCGTCTGAGAGAGGTCACTCTGCTGTGCTGCTTGCTTTTCACCTTGTCTGAATTGCTGCGCGGTCGGTACGATAACGCCTTTAAACATCTGCATGGTGGTATACACATCTTGAAAAATCTAGGCGCCCATAGACAGCTTGATTCGGTGGCAATGTCTAAGCCTCCGGTCGAGTGGTGTCTTGTCGAGGCATTTGCGCACTTGGACGTCCAGTCTACCCAGTTCGGCGTAGGAGGTCCGATCTGGTTTACCGATAAGCAGGACCATATCCAGCTAGGTAATGGGAAGTCCTCCGTTTTTCATTTTCATACTCTTGCAGAGGCGCGTCGAGCTTTCGATCGCGTGATGGGCACTGTCCTTGAGTTCACAGCAAAGGCATGGGGCTCAACCCACAGTCAGATCGCATCGGACTACGAAACACTATACAAGGAGCAGCTCGAACTTTGTCTACAGATAGACACATTTGCACGAGCATTCGATACATTTCGAGCCGACACATACCCTCAGATGAGCCCGAAAGAGCGACGAGGAGCCGACGTTGTCCACCTACACCAGCGAGCCGCAACCCTCACCCTCCAAACCTGCCTTTTAGACGGAAACGAGCCGGTACTTGATCAGTACACGCCCGAATTCGAAAATATCCTATCTTTAGCGGCTGTAATCATGCACACATTCCCAGAGCGCCCGAGTGTTTGCTTTGACATGGGCGTCATTCCACCTCTGACTCTCGTGGCGACAGGCTGTCGTGATTACAATGTTCGGTGGCGCGCAATCGAGATGCTTCGTTCTTGGCCTCATCGCGAGGGGACCTGGGATTCCAACTTGTGTGCGCAGCTGGCGGTTCATACTATGAAAGTGGAGGCAATGAATAATTTCAATGTGGATGCGAATGGAACACCGGCCGATGTTCACAACGAGCCATCCTTGCGAGGTATATTCATGACAGTCGAAGAAGATCAGCGCCAGGCGCGTATTTCGTACTTTCTTGGAGATGTAAAGCACGAACTTCGGGTTATGCTGGAGGAGGATATACATCCCTTTTAGTGGATCTGCTACACCAGGGCCGCCTATCCTGTGGTCGTCGGTCCCTAATACAATGCGCGAAAAGAAGAATAATTGATGTTGCGAGACGACAGATGTTGACGCTACTACGGTGTAGTTCTAGGGGTTTAAAAATACCTGGGGGCTGCCAATAAGAGTCTCTATTGCACCGAGCTCAGGCTACACAGAGTGATGGCAACTAATGAATCACAAATGGCGCCTCCTGAACCGGCGCAAACAGTTCGTCAACCGGAACCACCCTTTCGATCATCCCCTGTTCATACAGGTACTGCACCAGCGCCTCCAAAGTCTTACGGTTCTTCTCAATCCCATACGGCCAGCAATCTTCCCCGAACACCTCGACAGTTTCTTCCAGTGCCTCCCGCAGCCACGGCAACATACATCGGATCATACCAGGCATGTAGGTTCTCTTGCGGACCAACTCCTTCGACTCATTCAGCGCCTGGAACAAGCTAGTAGCGATCCACTTGTGCTGGTCGTACACTTCCCTTCGGATAGCGACTAGGTGCATGATCGGGAAGATACCCGTCTTCCGGTAGTATTCCTTTTCGGCCTCCTTATAATTAGGGAACAGGCGCTGGATATGAGGTGCTTTCTCGTTGTCCCACAGACAGGATGGGACCTCCGCGCCGATGGTCGCATCGATCTCGCCGTCTACCAGCAGCTGGTTTAAAGACTTTCCGCTGTTGTTCTTTTCAATGTTGGCCAGAGGCTTGCCCCCTTCTCTCCGAATCAGGACAGATGGCTTGCCATGAGCCCCGGGCGCGTCCATCCGCCCCTCTATCCAGGTGATGCTCGACAGATCCACGCCATACTCGTGCATAAGTAGACCGCGAATCCATACAGCAGCGGTCATAGTATATAATTGCACACCGATGCGCTTCCCCGACAAGTCTGCGGGGGACTTGATGCGGTCAGTGTTGACGACGATGTATCCATGACGAAAGGTACGGAGCGGAAAGGCGGGGACAGCTGTAAAGGTGCGATCGCCGGCGACGTGGCGGGTGATAAATTCGCTACTGGAGAGTTCGGAGGCGTCGAACTCGCCGTTGCGGACCATACGGTCAAACACGTCGCGGGGATGCTGGACTTCGACAAAGTTCAGATCAAGTCCCGCGGGGCGAACTTCGCCGGTCGCGAGCGGGACCATGCGGTCGTAGCAAGGGGCAGCAAAGGAGAATGAAATGGGCATTGTGACTGTGTTTGCAGTGAGGAGTGATGAGAAGAAAAGAGATCAGTATGTGTTGGGTGGAGGGCGGCTTGATGAGCTTAAGAAATGCCCAGAAACCTAATCGCAGACAAGGTGACCCACTGCAGACTCGGCCGTGAGTGATAGTGGGGATAATTTTCGGGCTTAGCATCGTTGCAACTAGCTCCGAGCGGAGCTAGACAGCGTACCAGATGATTTTTCTGTCGAGAGAGATTTATCCGCCAGGGCGGATAGGGCTGCGCTTTCATGAGGGGCATGATACTGAAGGTGTAGGTGTCAGACACTGGGGAGGTCATCTCGTGTACCGGGTCCATTCAAGTCAGTTGTGAAGGGCTCGGCAGCAGATCTGCAACTCGGGCTTATGGAGAAGACCCTCGGGTTCCCTCGGACTTCTCGGGATTAACCTATGGCAGGATCCAAGCGCGTCAGATTAGCCCCGGCTTATTCCTGTTCTCGGGATCATTCTGTGCTACAAATATGCTCCAGACGTGTGGTGATGGACAACGTCGGCTTTGACTGGAGTGGAAGCTACGAATGCCTATCCGCAGTCCACGCTTATCGCTCACTACATGGTCATGGGCGTGACGGCAGCTCAGACATCCTGAAAAGCGGAATTGTAGGTTCTCCCACGCCATTCTTGATAGACTCCAAGGAGTCGACGAGAAATTCATTCTCCGCTTCAGTCGTCTGCAACATCGACAAGGCCTTGTCTTCATTGGGAAAGTCCCTTTTGAGCGCACCCAACGCCATGAGAGCAGTGACATTGGAGCTGTGAAGGCCCTCGTAATGTGGCCATGACCGCAAAAGACGAATAGCGCGTATGCGAATCCCCACGTCTGGGCATTGTGTGGCCACAAGGTACATGTGGGCAATCATGACGTGGTCCATTACAAGGCCCGAGACGGACTTGAGCTTCTCAATCATGTCTTCATGGGCCTGAAGTAGCGCAAGGAACTCCGGAACCAGAGACTCTGGCACTGGTCCACGAATTAACACAGTTTTGAGTGTGAGAGTGTGACCAAGGTAAAGCAAGTGGGTGATATCTGCTCCCAATTGCTCCTTCTCACTTAACTGATGATATTTTGTCATGCGGAAAGACGTGAAATGTAGGTCAAACTCAGCGAAAGCATCTAGCAATCGCCGTTGACTTTGGTAGAGTGACTCGTAGTTGGTCTCCATGTTGGGACCGTTCAGGCTCCAGCTCCTTGCAACCAAGGGTATACCCGCTGTGAATAGAACTGTGATTTTCTCTCGTACCTGGCTAAGGCTAGTAAAGCCGCCTGTTGGTGCTTCGAACAACTTAAGCGGGGATTGATTCCCATACTCCAGGCTTAGGATCGGAAACCGAGTATCATAGAGAGAGGCCTGTGTATCCAGGCGGCGAAATGCGGCAACTATTGATGGCTCAACCTCCGACTCCAGCTTCCCTTGGATTTCGAGTTCTTTTAGAATACGGAGACCGCCGTGTAAATGCGTGAACGCACTGTCATACTGCGCGACAAGCACATCGAATAGAACAAAGAGCAGACAGCACAGGAGGATGGTTTGGCGCAGCTGGGGATCCTGGGAGTTCCGGCGCTGGTTCAGGAGCGCGATGGCCCGCGTGGACTGCTGAAGAGAAAAGTAATACTGCTGGCTCCCAATGCGTGACCGTGCAGAGATCTGCATATTATGCAATTCCGACTCCTGGTGCGCAGCACTCAACATATTCACCGCATGAAATACAGCCGGATCAGTGCGAGACATCTGTAGGGCCAACTGCTGCCAGAGTGGGGAGTCGAAGAACCCGGCCAGATTCGTAACGGAACGATATTGAAAATAGGAATAACAACGGTGTTCATCCGACGTCATCATCCAACCCAGCCGAGTGCCTATATCCTGTAGACCTCGGCGCTGCGGCAACCGGTACGCATCGTATCCGTCGCACGTCCAGTTAGCAGAGACACAGTTGTTGCATTGTCCTGGCGATTCATCGCATTTGATCCGTCGGATTCTGGGCATGGAAAGTCCTCGGTTAGTGCTAGTGTCTCGTGCCATCAGTTTCCATGTACTGCTTCCCCTCCTTACCGGCAGGTACGACAACCTGTCCTAGATCTCTTCCCGGTGCTCTTCCGGTGTTTGCTGGATAAGATGAGCTGCACCTGGGCCATTGTTGAACAACGACTAGGGTGGGATTTTCTGGAATTGCTTTCGAATAGTACGCAGGAAAGAAGGGGCGGGAGCCAGAGGGGGCCTAAATACCACTAGCGGGTGTCGATTAATCTGTTTGGCTAGAGGGTAACCGGGTGCTTAGTAGCACTAGTGACCGGGCCATGCAGACCGACAGGGAACAGGATTTATCGAGATGGTAATTCAGCCACTGCATAGGCCGCGCAGGAACTGTCATGAAATCCGACGATAATAGATGGACATAATATAGGTTTCCAGGGGTGCGAATCGTCTATTTAGATCTCCCCGCAATTCGCCTCCTCTCAGCCGATGTCATGTTTTTATTACACGAGGTGGGGGAAAAAGTCTCACGGGATCTGGACAAAGCAAGGCTGCTTTAGCGTGAAGGTAATCACTAACTAGTTAGTTAATTAATGAGTCGTAGTATCACGTCAGCACATGATTATTTTTTGTGGTAGTTGGAAGTTACGCACGTTTTCTGGTAGAAGACATGTTGTGAACATCCTGCATGGTCTTCGTAATGGTATTACCTGCACTAGTACTTAAGAGTACTAGTGGTAGCCTGCTTGAGAGGACTTGATGATCCAGTTGTGTTCAGTGATAACTGTTGGGCGGTTACCAGCTGTAGGCGGAGATATATAATCCAGAGCCCGCTGGTTTGTTGAACGCAGGACTGGAGCCAGATACTACTTAATTCTGCTGCGAGACACAAGTTGAATGCCAGAGGTAAATTAAGCAGATATGGGCCCCAGATCTCGAAATAATGTTGAGAAGATCTGATGACATCGAGACGTGGCCCAAAGTCTTGATGCTTGCGGAGTTCTTCCGAAGGCCACCCAGGTAGATAACAAAACACGTGCCGCGACCGTGACCAGAGGCTGGACTGTAAGCTGGTCTGCAGACTAAGTAAGTAGTACTGAGAATCAGTACAGCGCATGAGGGAGCGGGAAGCGCAAGTGGATATAGATTAAGGTTGAGCTTGTGCTTGTAAGCTTTGAAAGGAAGGGACGATCCACATATATGACCTGAAGATTTACTTTAGAATCACAATGCCATTGTCAAACGTTATTTTAGGTATATAATCTCAAATAAGCTCGACTCATTCAAGCAATGGCTGGTTGGTGTAGTTGGTTATCACGTATCGTTAACACCGATAAGGTCCTGGGATCGAGCCCCAGACTGGTCATTCTTTTTTGCTATCTTTTTAGTCTATCCCCACCCCACTCCTTCTGCTGCACGACGGGGCTCCTTTTCAGAGGTTTAACCTCTCTTTGGATTGAACCATCATCTGTCGTATTATTCTACATTTGGGATCTATACATTATGGTGACTATCTGGATCAAGACACCTGAGCTGCGCCCAATATATGCTTTCAAAGTAGGCAGCTCAGGATAAATCGTCGGGCCTACTGGTGCTATGGCGAGCATTTATCATCAAAACCTCACCCATTCCTCAAGAACTGCATTAACCCCTCTCGTCAAAATCATCAAAAGGGAAATGATCTCGGATAGCAATAACCTCATCAGGAGTCTCTGCCGCCTCAAACATTTGAGCCCTCATGTCACATGCCAGTCTTCTCGCAGCCTCATAACCTTTATTTGGAACCCAGCCCAAAACATCGACACCTAAAGCATGTCGCATCTGTTCCATTGCCACATCGGCTTCTTTTTGCTGCATGTCCAAGTCAAAGGTCTCCCGGACAACATCTTCTGGATACTCTACCGGAGGAGCAACATCAGTAGTCTGGACGATGGCTGACCAGTTCGATATCGAGCGAATGAGCTCAGCTCGCAATGAGACCGAGTCCCCTTCCCAGGGTGTACCGGCACTCTTGAAAAGGCGTTGGCGGAGTATAACAGACTGGTCGAAGATAGCATCATAATGATCTTGATTTAGTCTTTTAGTCAATGCGGCGTACAGGAAATGAACCACTCTTCTGCGATGAATCTCTTTGATCGAAGTCTGCTCGGACGGTGACATGGAATCGTAATCAGAGGGCAGGTTAAGCTGAGGTTGTTTGAGCATTTCTGACTCCGGATCGCCATAGTTCTGGAAATGAGCAGGAATTCCGGCAACAATGCCCAGAGGAAGAATTGAGCAGTGCTGCTAATCTACGAGTCCAATTATGTCGTTCTTGTCAGACACGAGAATATTATTCGGCTGTAGGTCGGGGTGGCGCATCGCTGGTCGATCCAAGGATAACTTGTTGGTATGGTCTAGACTGGGTACCACCTTAAGGTAATTGACAAGATCTGCGATGTGACTATCGGGCGAGACACATTTGAATCTGTAGATTTCCCTATACAGCCGCTCATAGGGCAAGCGAGGCTTTGCATAGGCTTTAGCCCAGGTCAGTTCACGTTCTCCAGCTGCTCGGAAAAGGTCGATTGATGATGGCCCTTTTTCTCCCGTTGAAGTTAGTGTTGTGAGTCGTATGATACTTGGTATATTCACCCACAGGGTCCGCGGTCAATATCCATAATGCCCCTCTCGTCATGCCACCAACTATAATGGGCTATTGGCCCTATGCAGAACTCCATGCTGTTCGGATCGTCTAGCCTTGTCCTCTTTTCGGATGGAAGATCCTTCAAATAGTAGAGACTCCCTGAGGCAGGAAACTTCAACGACATCAAGCGCGTCTCCAATTCAACTATTTGTGTCATTATCTTATACTGGTCCTTTGGGGCCAATGAAAACCATCTATTGCCGAGAGGAGTACCATCCAGCTTCTCCATAACAATATACTCAGCTCCAACTGGATTGGCTTTCGTTGAGCACCAGGCATATACCTATGGTGTGTGAAGCCCATGCAGGCGCAAGTAGCCCAGAGTCGCTGCTTCGCTTGCTACAGTGTAATGCTCTGGCGCTGTACTTGGTTAGGGTAATCTCGCGAGAACACACTTTCCATCGCTGAAGGTAGCCTCAAACACACGGTTGAAACCACCTTCTGATAATTTGGTAAAGGATACGAGTTCGGATACTGAATGACCAGATGCAGTGGAAACGATGTTTTGAAGCGCAAGCACATCAAATTCGAGGAAGCATTCCGATAAACGCAGGTGTTCATTAACGCTTCATAATGTTCAGCCTGACCAATGCTACCTGAGCGGATATGTCAAAGCACTTACAGCCATCTTCCGGAAGTGTAGCGGAAAAGATCCCCATGGGAGGCGACTGTTGACTGTCGTGCACATTCCGTCGTCGTCAAGGCTCTCACGGGCTGGGGGTGTCCAAGGCTGCGAGGGTGAAGGATCCGAGGTCGTCGCGAAGAGCAGAAAGACTTTCGAATTCTTGAGGAACAACTGCTGATCATTCTGCTGAATATACCGAGCAGAGCAGAACACCCTGCGAACTTACTACGGAGGGAGAATTGATCGACCGAGCCCCTGCGGGAACAGAGTCCTCCGTGGCTCCCCCCCTTCCCTTTAGCCGCCCGTATCTTACAGTCACTTACTACGCATGCCGTCTCGCTACGGTATGAGATTCCCAGCCGACGATAATTGTATAAAAGATCGCCCTCTAAGACCATAATTCTAGTCGAATGCTTGGAACCACGCAGACTCTGCCGGGGATTCTTTCCATAATAATATAGTTTTTCCACGTAGCAGGGTCCGAATAAAGCGCAAAGACACGAGGGACCCGGATGCTGGTGTTTTTTCTTGAACAAATAACATGTTCTCTCCTTCGATAAGGTTCACGCCTTTTCCAAACTTCACTACCGAATGTTCTCCAATTTCAACGATTCTTCGTCCTCCATATGCTAGGGATATGTTGGGTGCTGCTGCATCGATCTCTGAAGTTGTGGGTAGCGGGCAAGGTATGTCAGACGCATAGTATGGTAGTGTGACGGTGGGAACCATTGAGGTGGCTTAAAAGTGACAGTGGATGTAAGATTTAGGGAAGGAAACGTGGATTACATACAAAAACTTCTACTAAGTATTGAACAGCCGCCGTCACAGTTAACTGACTAGTCAATTAACTATAAGCTACCGTCATACCCCGCACAACTATGGCCTGTATCCAAGAAGGTTCGAAAAAAGCTGGATTGGAGACTTAGGGATACTGTATCAAGGTATCAGAAGAAGCAATATTATTACATTACTAGAACACTATAAACACCCTAACACCTAATTACAAAAATTGGCAATCTGGTTCTCAATCTGATACTTCACCCCCTTACAGAGCAGTAATCGAAAGCCGCTTGGCTCCCGCATTGCCCGTCAGCAACGCAGACCCGCTGGATTGACGCAGATGGTTCGAGTGCTTTTCTGCCTCTCCAACATCCAAGCTGAACCGCCGGGGACGCTCCCACATGCCCAGTGAATCGTCCGCCGTGGAAGGCTGCTCCAGCTTGGCCGATGACAGGCCAAACTTGGTTGCGATCTGCTGCACGCGTTCCTGCGCCGCCGTCGCGTCGATCGCCGCACTCTGTCCTTCCTTGGCCAGACGAGACTGTGCCCGCTGCAAGAGCTCCAGGTGTTGAGTGACTGCGTTGACAGCGGCTGACTGGTCCTCGGTCTCGTCGTTCAGCAGCTCTGCCAGGGCTGTCTCATGCAGAGCAGCCGCAGCAAGGTTGTTTCCGGACGCCGTGTACAGTCCGGAGAGCAGCTTGTTCATTTCGAGAGTGACGGGGTCGGAGTTGCCCCAGACCTGGCGCAGGTTGTAGCAAATGTCCTTGCCCAGCGTCGTGGCGGCCGTGACATGGCCTCGGCAGAACCGAGTCTCTACCAGACGCCGGCCAATCCAGACAACTGCGGGCAGCGTCCAGGTCTTTTGAACAATCCGAGAGGTCCAGAGATCGGTGAGAATAGCCTGTTTCGTTAGAGTGGATACCGTATGAGTTAAGAGGATGATAACTTACCTCGAGGTCTTCGAACATCTCGTGTTCTCCCAGCACTGTCACCAGATCGTTGAGCTCCTCAAATGGAAGTTCCGAGAACTCCATCGGGACATCCCTTGCATTGTTCATGACCTCCTGGAGAAGTGTCTTCGACTCCAGGGACATTGCGTTCGCCGTGGTAGTCTCAGTGCACTTGTTCACCTGGTAGCCGCAGAGGTACAAGCACAGCTTGATCGCGGTGAAGATGCTCTCCGTCGAGCGGAGTCCATCGGTCAGATGGACGAAGGAATGGAAGACACCCGTCACATCAGTGGCTTCCTGGAATCTCGACTGGTTGCATAGATCCCGGACAATGCTGGTGGTTTGGGTGATAATATTGAGATTGTAGTCATCATGTAATGACTCGCGCCGGCACAAGGAATAGAACTGATACACGGCATCCTTCTTCCGGGCTTGCTGAGAAACAGAAAGCGTGTTGCAAAAGAAATCGTACAGCTTATTTTGTGTGCCCTGCGCGGCTGCGCTGCGCTTCTGGTCCGTCTGCAAGCGATGCAATCTCTCGCCGGCTGCAAGGGTGGGCATGAGATCATGCCCAGCCAGGCTCTGCTGGAAGACGCTGTACACCTCGCCTTCGCTAGACAGGTCGTCCAGGATCTGGCGCGAGGTGCGTGTTCGGCCAAAGACCTCTTCGAAAGATGCCACGAATAAAGCCGGTCGGTACTCCTCGAGATTCTTCCGCTGTGCCGCGGGGGTGTCGTGAATGACCTGCTGGTGCAAACTGTCGATAAGCGCCCAGCCCTCGGTGTTGTATCCACACTCCAGGTAAATCTCTGCCAGACGGCGGGCACGATACACCAGAGCGTCATGGTTGGCAGTAACGTGGACGACCTCGTCGACGTGTTCATTCAGCAGATCGGCACCTCTCCGACGAGATTCGATGTTATCTTGTAGAGAGTACATGCGAGCAATCTCACGTAACCACATGAGCGTGGTGGGCGCGGAAAGGCCTTGTTGCTGCTTGGAGAGTGCCAGCTCTTCGAGATACAACGCACGAGCTTGTTGCGACGTATCCTTGTTGCGCAAATGAAGCTGGGCCATGCGATGCTTGATGTCCATGGGCAGCGGCTGTGTCATGTCAGGCAGAGAGCGTGACGCCTCCGTGGAAGACACCCAGTCGCTGGTCTTGAGCACCTGTCGGTACAAGTCAATAGCCTCGCTACTATGCCGGTCGCTGCTAGCGCAGAGCGCTGCGAGATACATGGTTGCGTCCCGAGTACGGTGACTGGTCGGTCCATACAGCTTACGACACAGCTGCTGGTGCTGGGATGCGACTTGGTAACGCTCCTCATAGCCCGCTTGACCAGATGTGCTCTCAAGAATTGCCATGTACCCAGAATAAGTCTTGGGAAGCAATCCTTCCTGCAAAGCACGGTCATAGCCGTCCTTTTCATCAAAGTGCACCAGTGTGGGCCACAAGTGTCGATAGACATCGAGTGCAGCATCCCATTTCTTGTCCTGCTCGTAAAGGTTTGCTAGAGCCACAGCCGCGCGAACACCGGAAGAAGAGATCCTGCCTTCACGGACACAAGCCTTGTAGATATGACGATAGCTCTCTTCTGCCTCGGTACGCCGGTCCAGACGCAAAGCGAGGTCGGCCTCATAATAGCGGCTGTCCAGCGTGTGCTTGTCATGCGCACCTAAACGCGAGGCAAAGAACTCGCTCACTTGTCGCAGGAGGATCAACGCCTTGTCAAACTGGAATGTGGTCTCGTAGAACTCGACCACTGTCTTCGTCACTGTAGTGACGGCTGGCACAGCAACTTGGTCCGCGGTGATCGAAGCCTTAAACGCATTGCCGTAGACAATGGTGGCTCTCTTAACATCCAAGCGACGGAAGATACAGTAGGCGTAGTCGAGGGCAAGACTGGACATCAGTGGGGAAAGATCTGACGAGAATTTGGCCCTCGTTTGGGCATCCTCGACATCAGGCCAGGCATGCTTAAGCACAGCCCAGGGATAGTCTGAGCCCTTGCGCCACTCCTCCTCCCGGATACAACGAGTAGACAACTGGTGACAAAGCATCATTATGGACTTCATGTTGCGGGTATCACCTGCAGAGGCCAGGCTGTCTATCCAGCCGGGTAGAAGCTCCTGGTCTTCGGGAGATAATCCCGACATAATGTATTCGGTTTCAGTCGTGGTGGCATCCTGACTGGGAATCATACCCTCGGTAAGTGACTCGGCCAATGACACTGCCTGAGAAGAGTACACTTGACCAGATGACTGGTAGTACTTCCACATCTCCAACGCGAGTGCGCGGTCCATATCGGTCAGATTCATTTCGCGCGCTTCGCCCCGCAGCTCCTCCGCCCGCTTTAGCATTTCCGGAGATTTGACGCCGCCCTCTGCTTCCAAGTCGGCCGAGAGTTCACGGAGGATGGACGTGGCCCGGTCGGATTGACCCTGACGACGCAGGAACTGCGAGTAGTAGAAAGCAACCTTGGTCTTCTGATCCCAGGAAGTTTTAGAATCAGCCTCGCGAGCCGACAGTCCTGTCCAGAGTCGGGACAGCACGGTCTCGGATTTGGACACTTGACCATTTTGCTCATACAGTTGAGCCAGATAGAGTGAGTAAGCCACCCGGCGCGGGTCGGTTGCATCCATGGAGCGAAGCATGTTCTCATACTTGTTGCTGGCCAATTCCAAAGCTAGCTCGTCGGGAGGTGCGATGTCGAAGTGTTTCGTAAGGAATTCAGCGGCTTGCATGGTCTCCGACGAGTGAGCACCGTAGGTCTTCACAGTCTGGCGGTAAAAGTCCTTGGAAACTTTATATGCCTCATCATTCTGGTTATTCTCTTGATACATGTTGACAAGTCGATCAAGATACTGAAGCCGCTGGGGGAAGCTAATGTCGGACTTGCCCCAACCGGTCATTGTCATTTCCCTCAATGTGACAGACTTGCTTCCTCCACCAGTCAGGCGACCGGCGGCCGGCGAGGACACAAGCATCTGCTCCAGCTCCTGGGTAATTTTGCTGCTAGTTCCAAGCTGACTTCGGCTCACCGTCCAAGCCTGGTAGAGGTGATCATTGGCCCAGGATGTACGCGCCTTCTCAGACGCCCGAGCACTAAGGATCAGGCTTTGTAGGACTGCCGGAGAGTCACTTCCTAGCACGACACGGCGGACCCCAACTGACAGTCGATACAATTCAACAATGCTTGACCGACTGAATTGCGACTCACGATTGGTGAGCTCCAGCTGTGCGAATAACACAGTGTCAGGTAGAGAGCGCCGGAAGGCGGTTGGGAATGAGAGCTCGCGGTCGGAGGAGGCCATCGGAGAAGATAGCATGTGGGCAAGCCAGTACCGGGCAGTATATTCAAGAAGCACATAGGCGTCCAGGTAGCGGTCACGGACCTCAACACTCATTTTGTCCCAAGAGACAGAGATCTCGTCGGATACCGAGCGACGCACCCAGGCCAGGCAGCGGATCAAAAGATCGTAGTGTGCGTCTGCCAAAGAGAATGGAAGTTCCTGGCGCATCTGGGCTCTAGCCTGGAGGTGCTCACGGACCATGGGATGGCGGAAAGAAACGAAGCCATCACGCACGGAGATCAGCCGCCCAAGAGGCTGGAAGACATCACGCTCCACATTCGGTGGACGAGCTGAAACCTTGAGCGTCTTCAGGTCAACAGACAACAGCTGCTCAACCTCTGGAATGCGCAATGGCCGCTCACTGGCGACTAACCAAGCAAGTAGGCTTTGCGTACCAAGACGGTTGAGGTTTATATTGCGCAGGTGGTAGTCAATAAGGTCACCTAACGTGTTGGGCATTCTGTGAACAGCTGTTGTCATTTCATTGTATGTGGTCTGGTGGCGCACTGCCTCAGCGGCAAGCTGTGCCCACACGAAACATCCTTGGGAGCGGTTGACGATAGACGTAGTCAGGGATTCCCGCTGGGATGGCTCTAGCCCCGAGAAAGAGGAGTCTGACAACATAATATCTGTCACAGCTTCTTGGAGATCCTGGTGAGTCGTGGCTGTGTTCATTGCAATCTGGTGCGTATTAATTGTCTCCCGAATAGGGAGCAGGTCAGTCGACATTGGTCGGCTGAAGATGATCAGTTTCGATGGGGTATTCGCGACAGTATCCTGAAGCAAGCCGAGGAACGCGCTGACAGTGGTCTCCGCATGTTTCATTTGATCGAACCCATCGACCACTAGCATGAAGTGGAGGTTGGACTGGATTGCGGTCCTGATGGCTGCCCACAGCTGACCTTCCACCTGGGGATCGGAAGCGCCGGATGTGGCCATTTCCATAGCACCGGTGACAGCCGCGAGGATGGCGTCCTGGGTCTTACGGCTGCTCACGCAATGATCAAGCATCTGGATCAGAATTCCTTTGAGGATACTGAGCGTCAATGTCGAGATTGGGACGTCCGACCGAATGACGATAGGTATGACATTCCAGATATCATACTCCGAGGACGCTTGCAGTCTTTCAACGGTCCACTGAGCCAAGGCACTCTTTCCACAGCCCGGATTACCCCGGATCATCATCATGCTGCGCCGTCCCATGGCAAAAGTGGTCAAATGGGGCTCGAACCAGGTGAATGAGCCGTCAGCCAAGGAATGGCTATGACCTTCGAGCAACATCTGGAGCGGACGGTCCTGAAGCTCCAAGAACTGATAGATAGCGGGGAGGTCCACGGTAGTGTGCTGCTTGGCTGTGCCAGACTCGAGGACATGAGCAAAAATTTGCCGCCAGTGGGTTATGAACCGATTCGTATAGCGGAAGAAGGCGGCGTCCACAGCAGTACTCATCGTCTGCCATTGCTGGGTCCGTGTAGCCTGACGATACTCCGAGGTGATGTGAACAACTAGCTCCAACAGGTGGGCATAGATTTCCGCGACCTGCTGCTGGAGGGGCCGTGAAACCGGGAAGAAAGTCTCCTGCTGAAGCAACAAGGAAATGCCCAAAGTGACACGACCGTAGCGGCCGTACAGGCTCTCAAGGATATCGATATGATCAATCCCCATCTACCCGATTATGTCAGTCACCTGCATGGCAATACTTTCAGACCATAGTTCAAAAGACGTACCTCGAGAAAGAGGAGGTTGGTTCCCCAAATCAGTTTGGTGGCCTCCTCAGCCCCGTCCATGAAGCTGTAGACCGAGTCCCGCAGGGAGCCGACGGCAACGGCCAGCCGAGAGGCGCGCCGCAAAGCCCCATCAAGGCGACTCCCATCGGGGGGCATGCGCCGAAGCCGTTCGGCAGCAATAGTGTCGAAAAAGACATCCAGTGTGGGTGATTTAGCCTGGATTTCATTTGCCGTAAGCCCGAGACGAGTCGGGCACTCCTGAGAGACGGTGTTCACCGTCTCCCGCAGGATTGGGAGAGATGCTGTACCCCCATTGATAGCAAGGGATCCCTTAGCACGAGTGGAAGCCATTGCTGTATCATTTCAGTGGAGGTGAATGGTTAGGAAGCATAGCATTGAGCAATTGGCCTCTCGACGAACGTGGTTGCTGGACGGTATATGAGTTTCCGATTCCTCCGCAAGGGTCGATGATGCGAGGACCAACGTTGAAGTCCGAACCCTGAGCAATCCTGACATCATGGCCTTCGTCCCCTCCGGATAGCTTGCCTGCCTCTTATCCGTGAGGTCGAACTCGAGGAATTGACTACGACGCGACCGTGGTTCGGGACGATGAGCGAGTCTGCTGCAGGCGGTTGATCGTGCAGGGGGAGAAGCCATTCTGGCGCGCTGCCAATAGTCATCGAACTGCCCACGTGAAATTGGCGTAGTCGTGGTGTCATGGGCCTCATTGTTGACTCGAAAGTGTGGTTAGGATGCGTCATGAGGAAAGGTGAAAGTCAATGACATCATGAAAGTTAAGGGGATTGTTTGCATGCGGACTCAACAATGACTCGCAGTGTGAGGTTACGATGTCTTCGAAGATTCGAAGTTATATAAACCGGAACAGACCGATCATGGCAATGTTTGTGAAACGTGCCCGTAGCTGCTGCTGCTGTTACGACGGGGATGCCGATAGGGAAGACGGAAGTGTGTCGCCGTTGTGGTTACAGTCGTTGGTGGGCGGGCAGAAGCGCGATGAGACGAAAGCGGCCCGGAGTCACGGGCTCTCCGTTCCCCCCACCAGTTGGCCAGCCATAGAGTCATGCCTAATGAAATCTGTTGACAGATCGATGGTTTCAGATGGTGGTTGTGAATTGTTTCACAGCAACTCAATTGTGCATCTAAGATGGTCCAAATCCATTCTATATCTTGGTGCCATTCCTCGTGCTGCAAAAAATGTCCACTACTATCGCAATTCTTGCAGAAACCACCAAATTCATCCTCATTCCCAGTCAGTGTCGCGGATTCCACTGGCAATGAACTCTTAGAATGACCTGGCCCAAGATGATGACCCCATCTGTGCCTCGGAAATGTCCGGCAGTCTGAGCCGGCCATTAACAGGTGTGGTTCCACGGTAGACCCCAGCCGAGTAGTGAAGACAGCCCTTGGATCGCCTATTCACCACAGGCCCTAGCAAGTATGGACTGGGACGGACGGTGATCAAGTCCGAATATCTTGTTGGAAGTTTGTCTGGAACGGTGCATGATTTGTCGGAACAGGTGCCATGGCTATCCACGTCGCAGATCATCTACCCTACTACAGAAAACTATAGCTATCAAACAATTGAACCCACAAGTGGTTATGTCACTATCATTACCACATTGAGTGCATCATCGTCCTAGGCAATGCAGCCGGTCCCTCCAGCCACTCCAGTAACGCTCATTGAATCCTATTATTTCCACTTCCGATCAGCACTGCCTGGGGAGACTGCCTGTATCACTCACCGTAGATAATGGCATCAACCAAGCCCTGTGACATGATGCAAATCTATACCTCTGTCAATAGAGTTTATGGGAAGCCGTGACTTGTTTCGATCACCTTTTCTAGAATCTCCAATGCCAGTGGAGCTCGCTTTCCCGTCATCCCTTGATAGACGCGCACGGAAGTGGGGATGATCCAAACCAGTGCATAGACGGTCGGATATACCATCATCTGAAGTGACACCTAGTCATCCGGTCATCAGGATGAGACCGAAAACTCGGATACTAAATTGACTAACCTTCCTCAGCGGGATCGACGAATGAGTACTTTGGCTAGGCCCATCACTAATATCCAGAAGCTGCCATTGGTGCGGATGCGGCGTCTGTAGAGTAAGTTCGTGGTCGCTGGAGATGGCCTTATGTGACCGGTAGAGGAGAAGGCATAGTCGGGTGTAGATACCCATGATGACAAGGATGATAGTCCATCGTGGGATGAAGTTCACAAAAAGGCGGACACGATCACTGGTGAACCAGCACCCTGATCTCTATCAATCGTGCGTCTCAAGACCATATAACCAAAGGGGGACATACAGCCACCGGCATACCCGTATCCGACGACGACAAGGCCAAGCACTCCCCATAGGATCGAGAGGCCCCAAGCCATGCACCAGATGACGGCTCTGTGGTTCTGGACCCACGAGGCAGCATGGGCATAGTCCATCAGTATGAGGTACGTGCAGATTGCAATCGATAGGATCCAGTAGTCGGCTAGCATTACTTAACGGTTAGTATGGTACCGCCAGCAATCAATATATTGGTCCTTACCCTGCACCACAAAAGTCTGAACCATGAGTCCATTGAAGCTGCAGAATGCCTTGAGGGATGGATCCCATATCTCAATGCCCACGGTATTCACACTAGCCAAGATGACAACATTGCCTGCGGCTAGAAATTCGCTTATTCCAAGACCTGAACTCATCAGTGGCAGCCATATTGCATTATCGGGATGAAGAACAGCACCTAGAATCAACTGATGACGGAAAGTACGTAGACTTGGTACAAACTGATTCGTGTCACAAATAGAACAGACAGGTAGATACACTGTTTCCATACTTACAAGGAAGCTGATAATAATCCATCCCGACCCTATCATGGAAGCCACCGAAACAACGAGGATAATTCGCGAGAGAATCTCCTCTGATTCCATCTCCACGGGCGCAGAGAGAGCAGCGTGCTCCATAAGTGATGAAAAGATTAAATCACTGTTACATACTGCACCATCTGTTTGAAGAGAAGATAGATAACCGCAGACTTCGATGTGGGAGGTGGACATTGCGAGATAGATATCAGGACAACGATCGGGTACCTCCTGTCGTGAACTTCAAGCACCCGCGGAGTTGGCCATCCCACCCCAGAAATGCCGTGGAGATCAGCCATGCTTCCCAAACAGGTGGCCAGGAAAAGCAATTCTGGATTGCGTGCTTGGGAAGGGTGGTCCTTGCGTATACTTAGTGCGAAGATCGCGGACCAGCATTCCAGATATAAGATCAACTATATCTTGTGACTTGAGGTAAAAGAATCTAACATAAAATTCCCACGGGACTGAATCACGATGAAGCCACAGCAAGTCCCTGTTGCTCGAATCAGTACGGCGCATTGGCTTGGTTGATTGTCATGCACAAGAAGGTGCTGCCTCAAACTGTGTTGTATGGCTTAACTCAAGGCTTCCTGCCGAGGTCAATGCCGCGAGATACGGCAACCAAGTGAATATCTAATCCAGGGGTAGCCTAAAGCACGGATGCTCCCTTATCGTAGCCTGTCTACACGATCGCCCAATTCAGATGCAAGATTGCGGATATTGCTTTGGCTTTGTGTATTTGCTTTTTCTCGAATGATCACCCTCGTCGACTATCGCGTTGAGGCTGAGCAGCCGCCCAAATTTGAGGTCTTTATTCTACCCAATGACATTCTCAATGATTTATTGTCACATTGTGAGAATACGATAGAGGTTGGGCTGAAACCCCCATGCGATGTTGCCTATTGATGACAAAAAGTAACATTCTTTGAGAGTGTAATTATCCACTCAATCAGAAGAAATACTAATAGTACGAAATGCTACACAGCCATTCGAAGCTGGCCCCGCGAAACTGCACTAGGGAATTATATTTAGCCATTTATCTATGTCCCATTGAATTCCAAGCTTAGGGATCTGCACGATGCATCTTATCCAACCCCTCTTGGTCCCAGCGCAATGGTCCTAGTTCCCTTGGGTCGGCGGCTCTGGTTCGTATCCAACATAGGCCGTAGTCAATTGGTGGTGCACCCACTATGACGTACCAGAATTAGCCTGTTCCTTGAGAAGGAAGAACTTGAAGCATGCAATTCGTCTTACCTCCCCCGCTTTGAACGGCTTCTTACACGCAGGTTTGTCCTCGGTAATGCAGCTCGGTAGCACCGCCACAGTGGTGTCATAGTCCACACCAAAGAAGAAGGGAACGGTATATCGCTCCTGTCCAGTCAGGTTGGTCACACGATGGATTGTCGATTTGAACTTTTTGTTTGTCCTGTACACATTGTTATTACGTTCTAGACATCGAAACTTACGAAAGAAAGTACTCCATACCAGATGGACAGGCAATCCGAAATGTTCACAACCAACGTGCCCGGAATTGGCGGTGCCAGAATCCATTCCTGCCGAGCGTTGAGGACCTGCAGAGCCGGAATTTGATCTTGTGACAGAATAGTGAAGCACTCATAGTCCTAGAAATAGTTATTTCTCGTTTCAGCATGCGCATTTCTTTTGTCTTTAAGATACCTGCTTACCGTGTGTTCTCCAAGTCCGACTCTCACCTCGTCCGCAACCGGCTGCGGTGGATAGTGCAACATCCTCGACGTGGCCCCGGGGTTCTTGACCATCGTGTCGAAGAAGTCCTCGGGTAGATCCAGTGCTAGCGCAAAGATTCGTATCAGCGCCCGAGATAAGGTCAGCGCCTCAGCAAAGTACCGAAGATAGACTTCGCGGAAGCCAGGGAGGACATCCTCCTCAGGCCATTGATTATCTCCGTACAGATCGTACGTGTCCAGAGGAAGATCGTCATGTTGGCTTTTAAGAGGGTCTGCTGCGACTTCATATCCGATATCGAAGGATTCGGAAAATGCCCCGGGTGAGGTAGGGTCTGCCTTGGGAGCGGCCCCGAGATCCGTGTCGGTGGGCTGCTCTGAGTAAAGAGGCATGAAACCGCGGAATTTCTACTCTCGTATCAGTAATCTGTCGTTCGTCGATAAAATGTATATTCACACCCTAGACCTTCCAATATAATAATCCATCTTTTGCTTCTGCGAGAGGGTAAAGAACTGACGCGCCATGTCATGGAGAGAAGCGATGAGATCTTCAGCTATCCCATGGTTCTATGTAACAGTCAGCTACCTTCCTCCACAAGGTTAGTGAGAAAGAATTATACCTTGATGTAGAAGAATCCGACCTGAGTACAGGCAGTGAAGATCTCCTTTGCCAGCCGTTGGCGCTCCTTCAGCACAGGGCTCCTCAATGCCGAGAGGTCGATAACGGGGATCTGATGGCATTCCCCAGGCTCTGAGTTGTTGGCTGACATTATATTTTCATTAAAATATGGCAGTGGCTTATATTCAGATGATATTGAATTATCAAAATGTGTCTGTCCCTCATGTTAAGTGAACAGCAGTATTTCTATCTCAAGAGGGGTCGTCTTATCACCCTGCACGGGATGCCTTATCGGGGAGGAGAAGATAAGATAGCTTCTAGATCTGATAATCACAGCAGAATTTAATACTGTAAGACCATGTACTAGCATTAGCTCTATCTATACATTCATTAAACTGTGATGTGGCGTTATAGTGGTTGGGCCGGATTGTTAGCCTGGCTATAATGAAGTGTGCCGATATGTTTATACACGAAAGGATTTGCAAGACCATTAGATAGTCCTTCCTACACATCCTCCTATGACACTATCTCAACAATACTACTACCTTCCAATCTTCTTTGCCCTTTTAGTAGGAATTACCCGAGGACTTTATTGGCATGCATCTGGCCCCACTAGCGAGTGGATCCATTCCCAATACAACCGGAGTTCCCCAAAATTCTGCCGCGTCCTGAATCACCCAAAGACTAACCCTGTGCTAAGGTGTAGGAATACCTGTACTTGGACTCCTTCAGCTATATGCATTCCGATATCCCCATCATGGTCCATTCAACAGAATTATGACGGCTATTCTCCTTCCAGTTGAGCTCATCGAACAGATTGTGGGCCACCTTGAATATGCAAGTGATATCAATGCCCTCGCTCAGACTGATGGAACCTTCTACCGCGTCGTGAATCCCATGCTCTATCGACATAACGTGTACCATGACAACAGCACTGCATTATCCTGGGGAATCAAGCACGGATCCTTTGCGACCGTGCAGAGGTCTCTGGAGGCCGGTGCGTCGGCCAACGAGTGTGATCCCCAAGTTCTCTGGCGACCCATGCCGTTGGCGGTGATAGAGGGCCATGAAGCTATTGTCCGGTATCTCTACGAGCAAGGAGGAGTCGACATCCGACACACCCATGGCTGGCTCAATCCCCGCCATGAGGATTATCACAACGCCCCCGGAAGCCTGCTGTCACTGGCCGCCGTACATGGTCATGAAGCCCTGGTCCGCTTCTTCATGGATCACCTCCCGCGGCCATATCATGTCGATTACCCTGCCACTTCTGACGGACAAACACCCCTTATGAAAGCTGCCGCAGAGGGCCATCTCACCATTGTGCAGCTTTTGGTCGAAGCTGGAGCAGACATCCATGCCAGGGATCGCCAACAAATGATTCCCCTCGTGCTATCTGCGCGCGGGGGCCACCTTGAGGTCATGCAGTTCCTGCTTCAACGGGGAGCCGACCTCACCATCACCACGTTACCGAACGGATGCTCCGCCTTGTGTTGGGCAGCAAGTCTGGGTCACTTGGAGTGTGTCCGGTGTCTGCTTGATGCGGGCGTGATGGCAGAGTTGACCCGCTGTCAAGCCCCAGATTCGTCGTCGTCCCATAATGCTACGATCTGTCCCCTCGCATCGAGTACACAATGGGAGTGTGATGACATCGTCGATCTTCTCTTCGAACGATGGGATTATCTGGCTAGCACCGTTGAGCCTGCAGACAAGGCTGCGCTGCTGTGTGTAGCTTCGGCGCGCGGGAATACGGCCCTGGTTCGGCAGCTTCTCGAGTCCCATGGATATGATCCAAGTTCCCGATATATTTTGGGTCAATCGTTTTCGTGGGATCATCTTCCGACTGCCCTTTGCTGGGCTGTGGTTCGGGGTCATGCAGAAGTAGTCAAGGTGCTTCTCGCTCACGGTGCAGAAGCATCTCCATCGCCGGGACGAATGCGTCTGCGGAAGCCCTTAATCGAGGCCATTCTCCAGGGCTCGGAATCCATTGTCTCCATGTTACTTAGCGCCGGGGCATATTGCAATGATCAGGATGAACATATTGGTGTGGCGGCATTGAAACATGCCATTCCATTCGAGGGCATCTTTCGTCGCTTGCTCGCCACAGGGGCTGATCCTACTGCTGTTCCCGGTCAGGGTAACACTTTAGTAGCCACCGTTCTGGCGTCTGGCTGTACGGCAGTAGTCCAGATGCTGATCGATCAGGGACTTGATCTGTCACGCCATATGGGTCGCGCCAATTTCCTTCACCAAGCCATCCGTGGGGGGGCGGCAGTTCTCAATATGCTTGTTCGGGAGGGGAAATGGAATAGCTACCTCTCCCCGGAACACCTGGACAGGACCGCGCGCGAGCAGGCCCTTGGAATTGCGGCTTCGACGGGGCAGGTTGAGACACTGGAGTGGCTGCTAGACCGAGATTTTCCGATAAACCAGTCGTCATCCACTGTCAACTTACTCGCTCAAGCAGCATGTACAGAAGCATCAGATGCGCACGCCTCCAGGACCATTGATCTATTGCTTCGGCACGGCCTGAACATAAACCAAGTTATTGGACGCGAGACAGCATTGACACGCGTGGCAATCCACTACAGAATGCTTATGGATTGCGACACCGGCCGTGCCCGCATGCGAATGCTGCTCGATCGTGGCGCCTATCTCCTGCCACCGCGCAGCCTTCCACAGGCTACGCGATATAATCCTTATGGATCCTCTAGCGTCACTGGCGTTGGTAGGAGCCCTTGTCTGGATGAAATGATCTTCCAGGAGCTGGAGGTCCGGCGTGAGCCGTGGCTAGTGGTGGAGCGACTCTTCCGATGCGCTGAGCGCTGTGCGCGCGAACGCCTAGATTGGCAGTGGGTGAAGATGGTGAGACAGTATTCGTGGAGGGTGCGATATCCTGTACCTAAATAATTTGATACTAGGACAATAAATTGGTGGCAATTTCACCCGTTCCTTCTATATATAGGACTACCATTACATACGTTCAACGGGCGTTTGGAATGGGTATAGAGCCTGTATAGACAGGATGTGTTAGCCGGAGCTTACACAATAGTGCTCACTATATTCCTCGCTATCTGCTGGTTAGTAATATTAGGAAATAGAAGTCATCATGAAGGTCATGACTCGACTAGTAGCTCAAGGGGGCGTAACTATGCTTTGCGGGACACAATCCGTGCTGAGCTTTTCACTATCTCAGAGGGGAAATATTCATGCTACTAATTCCGTTCTACCAGTGTGTCGTCATTGAAGGTAACATTCGCGGAGACTTCAAATATAACAGGGGATAAAATTAGATCGAAAAGGTAACAATATAGTATACTAATCGAATATGGTCACAGATGGCAGGAATGAAGAGTATTTGCGACCATTCTTAAGATTATGTGTTATGCCCATTATGAACTCGACATTGTCACCATATCTAGTTTCTTGGACATAATCGATCCTAGACAATACTAATAGAATTGGCTTATTCTAAGCACTTTAGAAATCCAAGAAGCTAAGAACTTAGTTGACTGAAACTACTATGACAATGACGGGATGGTTTTCCTTGACCAGCCCACTGTAAGCTAATTACACAAACTAAGGCGTAACGATATTGAAGTTAGGATCCCCCGGATCCAGCAACGACGCAAGCGTATCCAGTGCAGTAGTATCCCCATCGATTACAATACCGGCATTCGCCAAAGCACCAGGATCTGGCCCATACACAGCCAGCGCAGTCAACTGCTTAGCCGTACCAGTCAGAGTGACCTGAGCAGCGTCCGACTGGTCTGCGGTGCTGTAGACAAGCGCCCCATTAGACAGCCAAGAATGGAAAGTTTTATTATCTTGATCCGAAACAACAAGGTCCATAAGCACCTTCTTATCCCACGCCTCGGGCCCATTGATCTGGATAGCAAGAGTATCAAGGACCATATCCGGGGTGAGCTGACCTACCACATCGGCCGAAGCCGTCTGTGTAGGCGTGCCAAAGTTACCATTGCGCAGCTCGGTCGTTCCGGAGATGTAAAAGTTCCTCCAGGTGCCGTTTTCAGCTCCGTATCCGAGCTGCTCGTACACGTCGGCCAGTCTTTTGCAGGCATCCTCGTTGTCTGGGTTGCTGAAGACAGCGTGACTCAGAAGCTCAGCTGCCCAGCGGTAGTCTCCTTCTAAATATGCCTTGGTACCCTCTTGGATGACCTTGTCCTCGCCGATGAGGGCCACGTATTTCTTGGCCTTGTCGACGGGGATGTGTTCCCACAGGTGGGCTGGGTTGCCGTCGAACCAGCCGACGTAACGCTGGTAAATGGCCTTGACGTTGTGGCTCAGAGAGCCGTAGTAGCCGCGGCAATACCAAGATTGATCGAGTGCCGGGGGCAAGGTGAGCATTTCGGCGATCTCGGGGCCGTTGTATCCCTTGTTCAGGAGGCGAAGGGTTTGGTCGTGTACATATGCGTACAGATCACGCTGGTAGGTGAGGAACTTCAGGATGTTATCGTTGCCCCAGGTCGGCCAGTGGTGCTGAGCAAAGACCACTTCGGCTTGGCTGCCGTATCGGTCAATGGTCTCTGTCAGGTATTTGGCCCAAGAGTGCGGGTCGCGGACCACAGCTCCACGCAGGGTCAAGATGTTGTGGAACGTATGAGTGGCATCCTCGGCAGCACAGAGTGCGTTGAGATCGGGAAACCAGATGAGCATTTCGGAAGGCGCCTCGGTGTCCGGTGCCATCTGGAACTCCATCTTAATGCCATCGATGGTTCTCTTTTCGCCGGTGCGTTTGATGATCATGTTGGGTGCGATAAGGGTGACGGTGCCGGTGGGAGTAGTCTGTCCTAGTCCAGCGCCGATCTGGCCTCTCGGTCCCTGCTCGAGGGCAGCACCGTACATGTACGCGGCGCGGCGGCTCATTGAAGTGCCAGTGTAGACGTTCTCGGAGACCGCGTGCTCCAGGAAGCCCTCGGGGGCAATGATCTTCACATCCTTTTCCTCGACATCCTTTTCGCTGACGAAGCCTTTGACCCCGCCAAAGTGGTCAACGTGGGAGTGCGTGTAAATGACAGCCTTTACATCTCTGTTGCTGCCACGGTGTTCCTGATAAAGGGCGAGTGCAGCAGCACCGGTCTCCAGCGAAGTGAGGGGATCGATGACAATGATACCCTCGTCGCCCTCAATGATGATCGTGTTCGAGAGGTCGAGTCCACGCACTTGGTAGATGGGCCCGGCGACATGATACAGTCCATTCATGCGGGTAAGCTGCGACTGGCGCCACAGACTTGGATTGGCTGAGAATGGAGCGTCCTCCTTCAGAAAATCGTAGGCAACGTTGTCCCATACCACGCCTTGATCATTGGTGACCTGGTTGGGATTGAGATGGCCTCTCCAGCCCCGTTTAGCGTTCACATAGTCTTGCTGGTCATCGAAGGGCAGGCTTTCTTTGACCGCCTTCCACTGCTTGATGATGTGGAGGCTTGGGGGATTCGAATCCTCAATATTGATGGTTGACTGGGTCATGATCAAGACTAAATCCTCAATTTTGAAGAAATTGTGTTGTTTGAGTTCAGACTCGAAATGAATTGATATTGGTGTTCTGAGAATGTTGTTGTTGCTGATGGAGAGGTTGATTCCATGGTCCGTCGACCCTTATTTATCTCTCATGGAGGCGAATTTCCCCCTCATTTCGTATTGCTAAAACGGCGCACATACAGACATTGACGACAACGACTTTGGAGTTCTGAATCCTTGCGCGACGCGGGTTTCCCGTAGATGTAACCATTGCTCGTATACCAAGAAGTAGAATGGGTTGAGTATAGATTGAGGGATGAAGATGGAACAGGGTTCCCTGGGATCTGACTGGTCAATAGCAACTGGCCACTTGGGTCAGGACCCAACGCCGCCATCTAATTAGCCTGCATTAGCTTCGCCCAGCTATTCAGCTTGGACTTCAGCTGAGGTGGGGATGCACTTGGAGATGTAACCATTTTATGCATGCCAAGAACACCCCCTCTTTGACAGGCGAATCAACGAAGCCATGGTGATCAGGGTCCTGCAGCAGCTCAATTCGGCTGCGCTCAGCCGTGTGACTTTGCACCCATCCGAGGTGGCAGGTTCTTCCTGAATAACATCACTTCTCACTCATCATTGAGAAAAGACAGCAAGGGTGCCCCCCACCTCCAGTTAGCCAATTGGCTGCATCTCATGTGTCATCGCTGAGTCCTGCTAGATGAAGTTCTGCATCATCTCTGAAGAAGCAATTAGGGTCATTCCGATGAGATGACGAATTCTAGTAAGTGATAGATACTGATCCATTTGCTAATTGGGACTCCAGTCTCGCCACTGGCTGGGAAACCCTAAGCCATGATCCCCAAGACGCCGAACCTTGCACACACTGAATGCCCGTTACTCTATCGTATTTCGTGATTGCATCGTTTAATCGCCGCGCCGGTCAGCTGGGTCTTTAGCTTACTTTTTCTTCTGATCACGTAGGGTATATCAGTGGAATCTGGGTGGCGAGGAAGCCTGAATCCTCCGACATAAATAGGGCCGCTCCCTCTCCCTCTTTTTCTGTAAACAAACACACACTAGACACCGACTACACTTTTCTCTCCAAGTCAAATCCTCTCACAGATCTTTCTCGCTAAAAAGGCGATAAAAGAAGAACTCATCGCTTCTTGAACCATGGACCAGCTCAACAGGTAAACACTCCCCTCCCCCTCCCCCTCCACCAAGCCCCATACACCCTGGAACTCTTTTCCGAAGAGCAACACCCAGATGCAGAGGAGAATTCTGACATCCCGTCCAGCAAGCAAGAAATCAACGACGCCATCGCAAACCACGCGTCCTTCATCCTGATGTTCACGGCCGTGTGGAGTGACGTCGGCAATATCACCAAGGGCAAGTTCGAGAGGTAAAGCAGCCAGCCTGATTTCCTACTCTGTGATGTTTCGAACGATGATGCATTTACCTCGTCTCACCTCTTTCATTGCTTGATACTAACCCAAGAATACTAGCATCGGTGCCAATTACCCTACCGTGTACATGGCCTGGGTTAGCACCGACGACCATCCCGATCTTGCCAAGGAATGGGGATTCACTGCTATTCCGGCTACCGTTGGTTATAAGAATGGCACCAAGGTGGAAACTTATGTCGGGCCTCAATACTTGGACCAGCAGGTCGAGGCGTTTATCAAGAAGGTGGTCTAACTTGGTGAGGGAAGGTTTGATCTTCTATTTGGTGGTTGTCATTTATTAACTAGACGATGGGTGCCACGAGTATTTGTAGCTAGACTATACTATCAGAGAGAAATCTATTAGTCACGACGTGTAACGCACTCCTACCATGTTCACAGCCGTCTAGTCTCCTTGGTCCGCAGCTGTACATCGCGTACAGCCGGCCACTGCGTCCCATTCTGCGTGCTTCTGATCATTTCCCAAAAGCTTACATCAGGTTCCTGATCCATTGAAGATACTCGCACCGCATCTTCCTGCTGCATCTTGTGCAGATCCAACTTGATCGCCTCCACCGCTATCCCCGCTCCGGCGTTGGAATTAATCATGCCCTCGTAATGCGGCCACCTGCGCAAGGCATCAACAGCTCGAAGCCGGATGCCCATGTCTGGGCACTTCGAGGCCACCGCGAATAGCCCAAAGCTCAGTCCGTAGTCGAGTGTAATAGTAGGACGGCAGGGAAATTTTTCCATAAATTCTTCGTATTCCGATAACAGGTTACCGTATTCAAGTGTGAGCAGTCTGTCATCATACTCATCAAGCAGACACGTTTTCAGTACGATCGTCTTCGCAACCAATTGAAGCCGCACGATATCCGCTCCGGTTTGCTCTTTCATGCTAAGACTGAAATACTTTTGTTGGTAAAACGACTCGAACCGCTCTGCAAGGGATTCCAGCGAGAATAGAAGCTTCTGTCGCTTCCTCCATAGGGTTTCGTAATTCGCCAATATCTCTGTTTCTGAAAGCCTCCAAGCCGTAGCAATGAATGGAATCACGCTATACATAATTCTCTGATAGCCTCGACGTGCCTCTTTCAGATTATCAAAGTCCTCCAACGATTCGATAACAAAATCATTGTCCTTTTCGCTTTGAATGCTAGGGTCTGACTCGAAGTCTCCGACATGCGACGACTGGGACTTCAAGATGCGGAGAGTCTCAGACAGACAAGGAATCACGGGTATCCCAAGGCGCAGCGACTCCTCCAGGATTTGCGTGCCACTACGTAGGTGTATAAAGGCTCTGGAAAATTCTCCCAACAATAGCTCTGCCATAACAAAAAGCAAGCAGCACACCAGCACGACCTCGCGCAACTGTGGGTCGGGAGAGGCCCTGCGTTTCTGCAAATGTGAAAAAGATCGGGCGGCCTGCTCAAGTGCGAACCGATGTTTTGGATTCTGCAAATCCTCTCCTGCCAGTCGCATGCCTCTTTCCTCGGCATCTTGATGGATGGCGCTTACCATGTTGACAGCATGGCATACCGCTGGATCTGCATGACACATCTGCAAGACCAGCTTCTGCCAGAGCCAGGAGTCGAAAAACCCAACAAGGTCAGGAACCAGGCGGTGTTGAAAGTAAGAAAATCCCCGCTTCTCATCTGATGTCATGATACCTTCAGACCTTGGTCCTAGGGTTGGAAGACATAATGCTCGCTTGATGGGAAATCGGTGCATATCGTATCCGTCGCACACTCGGCCCGTAGAAGTACAATTCTTACAAGACCCCGGTGCCTCGTCGCATTTTACGCGCCGTACCCTGAACTCGTGATCAGACATGGACAATCCATGGAGCGACTCATCAGACTAACCGGCAGGTTCGACATCCCGTTTTGGATCTCTTCCCAGGCTTCCTGCGTCGCCGTCTACTTTCACTTTGCACGATCAGCTCTCCAGGCATTGTGAACAGAATACTCGAGTGGATGCAAAACGTGCTAAGTTATGGTGTGGCATATTTGTAATGAGGGAGCCGCCACGCTAATGCGAGGAAAGACGCGACTAGTAGCGTTTGGCTGAGACATTGGGCCAATGACGCCGCATGGTCAGGTGCACCAAACTGGCCAGCCGTCGGATGCTTTAGCGGGTCACTCGCTAGGCCGCTACAAGGAGCAACGAGAGAGGTGCAAGTTTCCGCCCCCAACAAACCCCGCCACCGCGTTCCGAGGCCTCGATGAACTGGCACCGAGTTGCCAAACATCGTTGTTAGAGTTGAGTGTCACTCGGAGTGCATGAGTGATCTGACTGATATGTCTGAGCCATTGAAGATCGACCTGTATGGATCTAAACGAACTTGCAAGCAAGGTCCACAGGCCATCGGCGATCCGGCAAGAGTCCGAAAACGTGCTACATCTGCGGGGATGCGCTTTCAGATCCTCATTCATCTTCTTGATAGCCATCGAGTCTAGGTCAGGTCCAATACTAAACTTGCACTAGAGAAGTTTATGCTAATAACAAAGCTATCCGGTTGTAAACAAACCTAGGAACAACCTGCCAAGATGTTAAAGAAGGACATGAGAAATCATTAGCCAGAGGCAACGCAACGATCGGTGATATTGATGACGTCAAGGCTACTGACGTCCCGCACAGAACGGAAGGATGGAGAGAGGAAAAGAGGCGAAGTCGAGTATATAGGCGCAACGACAAGGATACCGTCATCATCACCTGACCGGCCCGGTTAAGTCTAGTATGAAGCACAAGGCACGCGGCGAAACGGCATTGTACGCTAATCAGAAAGCTATCGCATATCAAGAATATCGGAGTATGTCCAAACAATTGCACATGATCAAACTGATGAACCACCACCAAGGCAGAAAAGTCTAGTAGCTTATCGCATTCTAACTTGTCCTGAATAACAGATCGCGTAATCCGGAGGTGTCGAGACTACACAGTCGTCTGCTGGGTACAACTGGTAAGCACAAAGTAGTACTGGATGTCTGTTCCACAAAGATGCGATATATGCACATTGTGTAATATAGGTGGTCTCTATAACGGTCATGCCGCCGAGGACTCGATCAGATTGTTGCACGCGCACGGTTGCGCAGTAGAAATTATCCCAGCCCCACCCACCATTGCTGGCCCAGAGAACCTGAGCGTCTGGTTCAGGGACAAAGGGCGGAGGAGGATTTACCCAGCCAAGCAGAGGCTGGCAGACCAGACTAACCCACGGAAGTCAACTGTACCATCGCCCAAAAATAACAGAAGATATCCAATGATTGCATGAGTGGCTGAGGGGGGTGCTCGAAACTTCTTTGGAGGGAAACCCCCTTCGATGGAGGAAGTAAGGGATGGCATTGCCCGAGTGTGAGAGACGGTATTGCGGTATTTGCAATACACAAGGCAACACCATTTGGCGGTTTCGGATTGGCCGCCCAGCTCAGCCCTACGGAGGAAATCCACCCGCCCGGGGGAGCAAGCGACCCAATCAGGGACCCTTCACTAGACGACTCTATTTATGACCTGCACAATTATTGCGTCTTATCCTGCGCCCAAATCTTGGGCGGATGCAACTAGTTCACAGCATGCCACCACCACGTCATTACCCGGAATAGCCACCGCTCTCCCAGTGTGAAAGGTAGCGCTAGCGGTCGGTGGAATGCCCAACCCAACCCCTCCCGCAACTGCAGTTCCACCACCCGCCTCCAGTCCACATGATGTGCAAAATGAAGCGGAAAGTGATGTTGGCTGATCGACTTGATGGTGCAGTCCATGTTTGGGTGCTCCTGAAGGTCAACCTGGGGCTGTAGCAGAGCGGGATGGTCACCCTCCAGGTCTAGCTCCATTTTCAGGGATCCCGTACTCTTGAACTGCCGCACCTGCACCGCCAAATCATGATTTCGATGGTGAGAATCCCCTGAACTTTTATCATGAACAATCGTAAGATCGATAAGAGGGTGTCCGGAACTTTCGATAAGGTGATGATGGGTGGGATGCGCTGCCAGGTTCACCTGAAACTGTCCCTCAACGATCAGGTTCGGCGATGAAGGTTTCTGGTGTACAAGGACCCGTGTAAACCGAAGCGGAAGGTCGATCAAAGCCAAAGATTGAATCACTACTTTCTGCGGGGTGGTTCCGTTCTCAGTAATGGCTCGTCGTGCCAGCCCGTTATTCACGTAGCGGACAATATGATCGCAAATCTGAGTCTGGTACATGTGCCAAAAACGTTGTAAAACACCGTTTACCCATTCCACAGTCTCCCCGCGAGAGAGGATTTTATGTGCGTGGTATCGCCTACACTCATCGCGGACGATACGCTGGACTCGGGTCAGATTAACCACTGCATAAGTCCGACACACCGCAAGGACGAAGAACAACCAAGTTAAGCCCAGGTCGAGACGGCCAACGATCCAAGATATGAGGCAAACGAAGACGATAATGCGCGAGTCATCGTAGGTTTGTTGTAGAAGTTCGACAAGGTCGAAGGGTTCCGGCGTCAGCTTCGGCTTACCCATAGCGGCAAGAAGCAGAACGCGACGGTGTTGGTAGTAGTAGTTTGAGCGCAAGGAAAGTTTGAAGTAATGTTGTGTTGTTCAGGGTAGAGTAAATAATGAGGCTAAGCAGGAGTTCTCCATGGTCAGCCCAACTAGCATGATGAAAGGGTGTGGATGAAGAGCGGTGATGATGACGGAGAGGACTGAGCCCTTTAAACCGACCGCGCAGGGCTGCTGCCTCTGTTCATGCAGGCAAAGCCACCGCTCAGGACGGACAGGATTGACGATTCGGGGCCTGTCGCAAAAAGTGATGCGGGAAATGCAAAAACCGGACGGGAGTGGAACTTTTGTAACACTGTCACACTAATATTACGCAGTAATTTACGTTAAGACTATACAGTCAGTCTTCTTGGCTCCCCCGGCTCTCTTCCCCTCAACTACCACCACCACCATTATTCGCTTTCTCCTCTCCTATTCATCAGTTATCTTCATTCTCATGCCCACTTCCCAATAAGTGCCATGATGCCGGCTCCCAGCAATACGCAGAAGATCATTCCCAGCAGATGCGACCGCCGCTTAGCCCGGTCTGGGTCGAACAGAAAGTCGCGAGCCAGCAATTCCACTAATCCACTGTAGATCAGAATGCCGGCCGAGACAGCATCCAATACACCCTGGACAATGTTTGCTGTCCTAGATCCCGAGTTATACGTTGTGCGTACCGCTATGCCGATAGCAATCGAAATTGGCGTAGTGAGGCCGTATGCCATGCAGAGAACCCACGGCAGCCACCAATGTCGGCCAAAGCGAAGCGCAGACATTCGGGCGCCGATTCCAAGACCTTCAAATGCTTGATGGAAGACCAACACGGGGTACAGAGTCGTGAACTCGTCGCCAGTCACTCCCAGGTTAAGTCCGATGATTACCGAATGGAAGATAATGCCGAACTCCAGAATAAGAAAGGCAGCGATATCTTTGCGGAATGAGCGCTCGGATTCGACTGAGCAAATGTCATCTTGAATCCCAGGCTGCTTAATTCCACCAGCATCATCATTGACTGTACTCTCGTCGTCGCTCTGGATTAAGTTTGCTTGGGCCAGAAACCGGTCGGTCGCGTCGTGCTCTTTTTCCACGCCATATACGCGCTCGACGTATACTTCGGAAGCCACGTCCATCAGGAACACCATGAGCACAGACACGAGAACAATGGCAGGACACCAGGGATAATCTGCCCAATGCTCCGATACGCCCACGCAGGTTGTGCTGCCGATGCTTCCATACGCTGGATCCAATAGGTGGATGAATGCGGTTGCGACAATAACACCCGTACCGAAGTATCGAGCGAAGAGATAGACAGGGTATGGGATATTCCAGCGTGGTATTCGCTTGGCTACCACTGGAAAAAGCGTACATGCTGATGATGTTATCAGGATCACAAATATCGCAGAGATGCGTGCACCCAGGTGTCCATTGTAATCATTTCCAGACAACTGCAGGTAACAGTATATGTCCTCCACGCTGGCAGTGTCTAAGTTTACATTTGTGGGATCAAACGATGGCATGATGTCTGAATGTCATAGTGTCTTCTACTTCATGCGTGGGGAAATCGTCATTAAATCATAACTGGATAACAGGGTACCTTGGGGGATGGTCAGAAGATCTTGGCCTAACCACAGGGTCCCTAGCCCTGCACTATGTTCTGACCGTGATGGCAGACCCTTGCATGTGGCACACCTTTACCCCAAGGTTGGAGCTGACAGCAATAAGGCCTCTATCCTTTGCAGCTTTCTGCTGTGAATTTTCTAATACGTTGTACAAATACGCCTGCTCAAGATGCAAACGACTCGGATCAACTTACCAAGGCGGCTGCCTTATGAGGCCACAGAAATTGTCCAGGAAGAGTGTTAGATGGTTAGCACTCTCCTTATTGTGCCGGAGCCATCGCAAATAGTCACGACAATGACATTTCCTGTGGGATAAGCCCACAGGGACGGGGCTGGGAAGCTAGTGACGCCATTAGTAGGTTCGAACGCACAAAACCTTGGATACCTACGACGTCGAAGGACTTGCTCTGAGCTTCATCAGATTTCAGCTCTTCAAACCAGTCTCATCTGAGTACTTCCTGTGCCTTTGGACGAACCATTCGGTCTTCTCGCCCATTCAGTTGCCCACAGGTATCCTTTTGTCCCGCACTCACACCTTTCAGCAATACGCAAAGGGTCTATCTTCATTGTATGGGTCAATTCAACTGACCCAGTGCTGCCATAGTAGCTTTTCCATGAAATTTTCCGCCAATGAAAAGGAGGACAATAAAACACCTGTCCATTGACTGCAAGTTTAGCAAAGAATGACCATTGCATCACATATATCCGTCAACAGATAAGTTGCGTGATCATCAGGGTATTGGTCCCAAGGCAGATGCTTTCGCTCGTATAGACTGGGCCTAGATCAGTGGCTCCTTTGCCTCTGCTTTTTCTTTGAGCAGGTCTTGAGCTCCAAAATACCCACTTCTCACTGCATCAAGTAGCAGCGGCAAATATGTTGAGTGAGAGTGAGACACGGCTGAATTTCTCCGGAGTGCCCAAGGCGGCCTCCCACCAATGCCATTGCACAATAGTACCACAATCTATGTCCTCGCGCTATCAACTTCCATGAGTTAATTTGAAATGCGGGTTGGATATGAAGAGTGGACGGAGGCCACCTGGTCTTGCTCTCTGTGGAGCAGAGGTTAATAACACTTTTCGACCGACAAGCTTATTTCGCCTTTTAGAGCCGGTTGTGCCGTTTGATTCCAGAAGCCGGTTTGCTTCACAGTATGGTATGATTGATCACTGTTTCAAGCACTATCTCCATTAAGCAGGGTCGAGAACCGGAATGTGGATATGGTACTCGTCATCCCGCGTTGGTTAATCTGGCCGATGCAGGAAGAAGCGAAGCGCACTTTACTCCCCGCAGCACGCGGCACATTAAAGATATAGAACTGCGTCTTGGGGGGCATTGAGCCAGTAGTAAACTGGATAAGCTTGAATAGGAGTTCATGACGATCTGCTGGGGTCAATTAAGTGTGGGGAATGAGTCCTGGCACAGTGGATCCTCCCATCCTGACGATCACTAGGTTATCTTCTCATCCGCCACCCAGCGTGCCAATCATGATCCCCTCTGCGACGCATGGAATTGGAGATCGTCAGTGTCTCAGACGAGCTGGAGACTGTGCGCGGGTCATAAAGTGCCGGGTCAGACTTAACAGACTTGACTCGCGGGACAAGGGCTCAAACCGTTGCACGATCGGCGGGCGGGAGAAAAGCAACCAGAAGATGACCGCGGATTTTTCCCGTCCGAGAGTTTCACCATGCGATCCATGATCAATCTGCGACAGGCTCCGCCATGATTGACATGGCTGTTTCCATGTTCGCGTCAACTTCCCGTGCACATATGGCAGATAGGCCCAAACCCTCTATGGCAGGTTCTTCGAGTCTTCAACTATTAAACTACCTCTCGACTCAGCTTTGATTCAGTTTCCATCACCAAGCTAACTCACACATTCACGTTCTTTTCATTCGTTTTCTTCAGAACTGCTGGTTCAGTCCTTCCTTTCATATCCCCAACCTTGATTTCTGAGGCTCGTTGCAATGACCCTCCTTCGTCATCTCTTAACGGCAACTGCCTTGCTCGGAGCTTCAGTCCAAGCAGCGCAGGGTGTCACTGGCTCCCCCTTCGGTTTCGCTAGCGGCACGACCGGTGGCGGTGATGCCACTCCCGCTGCGCCCAGCGACATCAGCCAGCTGAAGACCTGGTTGTCTGACAGCACCCCCCGTGTCATCCTTATCGACAAGGAGTTCAACTTCCTTGGCAGCGAGGGCAAGTGCACCAACTGCGAGTGCTGCAAACCCGCCTCGAACACCTGCGGTAGCTCTGGCCAGAATGCCGTCAAGCAGAATGGCTCCGACTGGTGCGGTAGCTATCCCACCCTGACCTGCACGTACGACAACGCCGGTATTGAGGGCCTGGAAGTCGCCTCCAACAAGTCTATTGTTGGCGTGGGTAGCTCTGGTGTCCTGCGTGGAAAGGGTCTGCGCCTGGTGAACGGTGTCAGCAACATCATTATCCAGAACATCCACATCACGGAGCTCAACCCCGAGTTCATCTGGGGTGGTGACGCTATCACCCTCGACGGCACCAACAACGTCTGGATCGACCACGTCAAGATCAACCTCATTGGTCGTCAGATGTTCGTTGCCGGATACGAAGCCAGTATGTTTCCAAAAAAGATGTACATTGTTTGGATTCAAAACTGACAGTGCGCAGGTCACAGCGTTACCATCTCGAACAGCGAGTTTGATGGTGAGACCAGCTGGTCTGCGACTTGCGACGGCCACCACTACTGGACTGTGTAAGTTCCATGTCGTCCCACGCGCTCCTCCTTCATTACAACATCCTAACACTATCTAGTCTCGGATACGGCCACAACGACAAGATCACCTTCGCCAACAACTACATCCACCACACTTCGGGCCGTTCCCCCAAGCTTGAGTTCAACAGCTTCTGGCACGCGTACAACAACTACTGGTACAACAACACCGGTCATGCCTTCGATGTTGGCAAGAACACCCGTGCTCTGATCGAGGGTAATGTGATGGTCCAGGTCGACACTCCTCTCTTGGCCGACAGCAACCCCGGTGCAGTATTCGCCGTGAACACCAGCGATGTTTCCACCTGCACCAGCACCCTCGGACGCACCTGTGTCCCCAACACTTTGATCAGCTCCGGTACTCTCTCCGGTAGTGACAGCTCTGTGATCAGCAGCTGGCCCTCTGGTGAGTCCGACGTCACCGTCATGGCTGCTAGCAAAGTTGCTTCCTACGTCAAGGCCAACGCCGGTATTGGTAAGCTCGGCAACGGATCTGGCTCCTCCAGCACCGTCGGCGCGGCCGCCACCTCCGCTGTCGCCAAGCGTGCCGACTCTGACGATGCTCCTTTTGTTCCGGCCTACTCTGAGGCTGGCCCCGGCGCTTCCGCTGTCCCCACCCAGCCCTCCTGGTCTTGGAGGACGGTCACCAACGGCCCTGCTCCCACTGGAGCTCCCTCTGATAGCCCCTCGGCCCCCCAGGGTCTTGGTGCTCCTGTCCAGGCTTCGAACAAGCACCACCACCAGGGACACGGCCGTGGCTACTAAAGGGAATTTGTGGGTTCGCTTCTGCGCTGCCAAGCTGACAATGAAGCAAGCTGAGATAATTCCCGTTTTCAACGGTCTGTGAGACAACATTTGTGTACATTTCCGAACATTCATCTTCTTTGTACATGATCAGGCTCTAGCCAGATATTCCCTAGCTAGTGTCTTATTTATCATATTTAGTCAATCTATCAATCCTTCCACATGGGTCTATCTCGCTCCATACCTCTGTAGCAGGCAATATAACCTATGTAGCAATCGTAGGCTGACATAGAGTGGTATGATAAGCAGGCTGCAATCCGAGTCTTGTAGCTTACGTATTCGTATCTACCATCATTTTCCTGATTGAAATCGTTTGTGTAGAGATCAGTAAGGAACTTGTTCTAAGAACGATTCTGTTAAATCTCTATGTCTGGCCGTGAAATGGCTGGCGAGCCTTTTCCGCTTACATTGTTCGTCTAGTAATGTCGTCAAGAGCATGGTTACCAACATTATCTTCAAGGGGTACTTTGAATGGGTAAAATTATGAAGTCAAAGACCTGGTACTTTGAATTACAGTTAGCAATATCCTTTTCTTAAGTTCTTTTCGTTTCTTTCTTTTTCTTCCCGTCTAGTAGTTACTTACTACTGTATACTAGTATTAACCATTGACAACCAGTCAAAGTTGAACCTGATTTCAGGGTGGAGCGATATATATAAATTGGACATCAATAGATGCCACCAAAAGTAATACTAGTGCTGGTTTTTCTGCCGATACCCCTACAGCAAAAAGCAACATATGACAGCCTGATAGTAAGGCCTCTATGGCTGATAACCAGTCTACGAAAAGATCGTATATCAGTACTTAATCTATGGCATATTCAATAGACAGATTGCGAAGCAATCTGCATGACGTCATATACTGAGTGACACGAAGATAGGGGGCGAAAAAGTCCGCTGGACGGAGCAGAGGATGGCTAGAACAAAAGAGAACTTCTTGAATAAGTTTTCGAATCACTGTCCGCTAGCTGATTATTTGAGAAACAATAACAATCGGTGCCCAGGGCCCCCACGCAGCAGTGGATCGTCTGAAGTCTCGCCGTCGATACGGGGCGGCCCATCACGTGAGACACTCAACGCGTGAAGGCGTCACGTCCGGCGCGAACGAGACACGAACTTGCAGCAACACCGGGGGAGCGCAGTTTCCCGCGACGACCATCATTCCTCGTGACAATACTACCAATTGTCAAACCTGCTTCTTTTTCTCATATTAATCCCGATACCCTAATTATTGGAGAAAGAAACGCGCCTGCTTAGTTTTCTATGACCCTTCATCATGCCTGAAGCCGTCGCCATGCCCCAGAAGCGGGTTCTGGGCGATGCATCAAATAACCCTCGTGGTGTCGTAACAGATCCCAGTGCGCTCAAGAAGCGCAGGATAGAGAATGGCCCTGCTGCCGCTATGAAACCGCCGACAAATGGCCAGCGCCGAGTTCCGGGCTCCAGCCAGCCCCAGAAGAGTCAATTCGAGGAGGAGGTTCTGGAGAAACTGACCCAGGACATCAACGGGTTGAAGGACAGCAATTCGGAAAAAGATCAGCAATGGGAGCGACCGCCACTGGGTGAATTTGACCCGTCCACGGAGAATATCTGTTTCCAACAGATCGATGCTGAAGAGGGGACAATCATGGGCGGCAAGACTGCCGTTCGACTGTTTGGTGTCACTGAGGTAGGCTCTGCGTACTCTTTTGGCATCCGATCATGCTCTAATGTCCGCGTCTAGGCCGGTCAATCGGTCCTCCTCCACGTTACCGGGTTCCAACACTATCTCTACATCGCTGCGCCAGTGAACTTCACCAAAGACGACTGCGAGCCCTACCGAGCTTTCCTGGAGAGCAGAGTCGGACAGTTTCAACCTACGATCCAGTCAGTGCAAATAACGATGCGAGAGAACATCTACGGATTTCAAGGCAACCAGAAAAGCTATTATCTCAAGATCACAGTTACGGATCCCAAATTCATCAGCAAAGTCCGGTCAGCGTTGGAACAAGGCGGGGCCCAAAGCTTGAACTATAAAGGTCTCTGGAACAACTCTGATGGCGGGATTCTCACATTCGACAGCATCCAATACCTCCTCAGATTCATGATCGACACGGATATTTCGGGCATGTCTTGGGTTGAAGCAAAGGCGGGGAAATACCGCTTATTCCAGCAACATGAGAAGGTGTCGAATTGTCAGATCGAGGCTAGTGTCGACTACCGAGATCTTATCTCTCATCCACCCAACGGCGAGTGGGCCAAGATGGCCCCGTTGCGCATTTTGTCTTTTGATATTGAGTGCGCTGGACGGAAGGGTATCTTCCCTGAACCGAATCAAGACCCAGTCATTCAGATCGCCAATGTCGTGACGCGCTACGGAGAGTCTAAACCGTTCATTCGTAATGTGTTTGTTTTAGACACATGCAGTTTGATCGTCAACACTCAAATCCTCGAATTCAAAGACGAGGGGAAAATGCTTATGGCCTGGCGCGATTTCGTGCAAAAGGTGGACCCGGATGTGATCATCGGCTACAACATTGCCAATTTCGATTTTCCGTATCTGTTGGATCGTGCCAAGCATCTGAAATGCACTGGCTTCCCCTACTGGACCAGATTGAACGGCGTGCAGTCGCAGAGCAAGGAAACCAACTTCTCCAGCAAGCAGATGGGTAACCGTGACACGAAGTCAACGAACACTAATGGTCGCATCCAGCTCGATATGCTTCAATTAGTACAGCGAGACTACCACTTGCGAAGTTATACCCTGAACTCGGTGTCTTATGAATTCTTGGGCGAACAGAAGGAGGATGTCCATCACACAATGATCACTGAGCTGTATAATGGAACTCCCGATTCAAGACGGCGTTTAGCTGTCTACTGCTTGAAGGATGCGTATCTGCCGCAAAGGCTGATGGACAAGTTGATGTGCCTGGTCAACTACACCGAAATGGCGAGAGTGACGGGTGTGCCCTTCAACTTTTTGCTGTCACGAGGTCAGCAAGTCAAGTTCATCAGTCAGCTTTTCCGCAAGGCTTTGGAACAGCAGCTCGTCATCCCGAATACGAAATCCAATGACGAACAAGACTACGAAGGTGCTACTGTCATCGAGCCTGTCAGGGGCTACTACGGTGTGCCTATCGCAACCCTCGATTTCGCATCCCTATACCCGTCCATCATTCAAGCCCATAATCTCTGCTACACAACGCTCTTGAATAAGAGTAGCGTTGAAAGGCTGAAGCTTGTAAAAGATGAGGACTACATCGTGACACCTAACGGTGACATGTTCTGTACCGCCAAAGTTCGCAAAGGCCTGTTGTCACAGATTTTGGAAGAACTGCTGTCTGCACGTAAACGTGCTAAGAAAGAGCTGGCCGTTGAGACAGACCCATTCAAGAAGGCTGTTCTGAACGGACGACAGCTCGCTCTGAAGATCAGCGCCAACAGTGTTTACGGTCTCACAGGTGCAACTGTTGGAAAGCTGCCCTGCTTGCCCATCGCGAGTAGTACAACCAGTTATGGACGACAGATGATCGAGAAGACCAAACAGGAGGTGGAAGCCCGGTACACAATCGCGAATGGTTATTCTCATGATGCCAAGGTCATCTATGGTGATACTGATTCGGTCATGGTTAAGTTTGGCGTTGACAACTTGGAGGAAGCTATGAAGCTAGGACAAGAGGCATCTGAATATGTCTCGTCCAAGTTCCTGAAGCCGATCAAACTGGAGTTCGAAAAGGTCTATTTCCCATATCTCCTAATCAACAAGAAGCGGTACGCCGGATTATACTGGACGAACCCCAACAAGTACGACAAGATGGATACGAAAGGTATCGAAACCGTTCGTCGCGACAACTGCCTGCTGGTTCAGAATGTTATCGAGACGGTCCTACAAAAGATTCTGGTTGAGCGAGACATTGATGGGGCACAAGAGTAAGATCACTTGCGAATACTCCTTTGGCTTGTTACTAACTGTATTGCAGCTACGTGAAGGACACCATTTCCGACCTCCTGCAAAATAAGATCGATATGTCCAAACTCGTGATCACCAAGGCCTTGTCCAAGGATGCGTATACCGCCAAGCAGGCACACGTGGAGCTCGCTGAGCGCATGAGAAAGCGTGATGCAGGTTCAGCACCAACGCTTGGCGACCGTGTGGCCTATGTCATTATCAAAGGTGCTGGCGGGTCAAAGAACTATGAAAGGTCTGAAGATCCAATTTACGTTCTTGAGAACAACATCCCCATCGACACGAAATACTATCTCGACAACCAACTAGCCAATCCGCTAGGCCGTATTTTCGAGCCCATTCTCGGAGAAAAGAAAGCCAGTCAGCTCCTCACAGGCGAACATACCCGTGCCATCTCTGTGGCTGCGCCAACCATGGGCGGACTGATGAAGTTCGCTAAGAAGACGCAAACCTGCCTTGGATGCAAGAAGCCTTTATCCGGCAAAGAAGAAGCGGAGGGCGCAGTGTGCGCTTACTGCCGTCCTCGCCTCGGCGAGCTCTACACCAAGTCATTGACCAAAGTATCAGACCTGGAAGTCCGGTTCGGACGACTCTGGACCCAATGTCAGCGTTGTCAGGGCAGTTTGCACTGTGAAGTCATCTGCTCCTCCAGGGATTGCCCTATTTTCTATATGCGCATGAAGGCAAAGAAGGACGTGGAGGATGCACAAAAAGAACTGTCTCGGTTTGATAATGATGCAGGTGCATGGTAATGATACAGTGATATCTTGGGTATGGTATAGCAGCTTGTATGACTAGTCTTGGGTTTCAGATATGGCGCATTGGGAAATAGCATGGGGGACTCATATGTTGTGATTGAATATTAACAAGCTTGTATGGAATACTTGATGTGCTTCATGCATTTGGCTTAATCCATAAAACTAAGAGTACCATCTTCCTACTTAACGAGCAAAAATAGAGATGTAGGGGCTATTCTACCGCTGCAAAGGCAGTGCAAAGCAGTGCTACAAGGCTGGAAGAAGTTCCAACCAACCAACTAACTAGTTGTGTACCCGGCAATATTGTGGCTGGCTGAACAACTCAATGTACAAAGCTCAATTGAATCCTGATAATGAGCTAGAGCTGGGAAGAATGTAACGCTGCCAACACAACGATATCTCCAATGGCTTCGGAAGGGGGCTAACCGGGTCCTCTCTTATCCAGCTAGTATCTAGACAGCTGAGTGGAGACTAAGTACGGCTGAACTTCTTTATTAAAGTAATGTTGGGGTTATGCCAGGTCAGACGGTAATGACCGTTCGCTTCGTTAGTGCTTACGGACAAATCTTGATTGGACATATCGGTTAAACACAGATGCTTTGTATCCAGTAAGCAGAATTTAGTTTGTATGTGGCTGAGTTAGTATGGGATCGCTTCTATAGTACCGCAATAGTGGTCTTGGGGGCGAAAAGACATTGACAGGGCGGCTCCCCAATGTTAGGGATGCATGCGGCTCCAGACGAAGTCCCTGGAAAGAAAATCGTAAGATAGGACTCTAAGAGAAACTATTTAAGCCTCAATTAACCCAGTCTCGAATGAATGACTCCATCAAATCCGAAAAAAAACTATCAATTGAGATTCATTAGCACCCGTCCCCAATAATTGCCCTCACAATGACTGCCACTACACTTCCCCGGCGGGTTTTCCTCATTAGCGTCCCGCGCTCAGCATCCCATCTTCTTCTGAAGATCGTGGACATCCACAACCAGCCCAAGTTCTTAACCAACGAACAAGGAGGCTACTTCTTCTTCCCAGCCTTTGCGCCCGCCATCCACGGCGGGTATGCCGACAAGCCACTGAACGAGTGGACAAGCGCCCAAAAGGAAGAAATCAAGGCATCATTTCATGGTTGCGTCTCAAGTTTGGAAGAGTACTCCGAACGGGCGCAGAAAGAGGACAAAGCCATGTTCATCAAGGAACATGCATACTGGTTCATGAACCCGGCAGTCATGTATGAAATGATGACGGGAAATGAAGACCCGGAGCTCTTCAAAACGTTTCAGCTGCGCTTATCCGAGAGCTATGACCCACAGAGCTTCTCGCCCTCGAACAAGACTGTTCTGCCGGATGAGTACCTCCGCAGCTGGCAAGTGGCATTTATCATCCGTCACCCGGCATTAGCATGGGCGTCGATGTATCGCGCCATGACCAAGATCAAGGGATTCGGAGGCATGGGCGATAAGGAGTTCATGGGGGTGTGGAAGACGAACACGACGCTGCGGTGGACCCGCATGGTGTATGACTGGTGCTTGGAACAGGGTACTCAGCCTGTTCTGGTGGATGCGGATGATGTTACTCATAATCCGGCCGCGGTGAAGCGCTTTTGTGAGCTCACGGGATTAGATCCTGAGAAGATGCAGTACGAGTGGAGTGAGGAGACGGTCAAGGGAACTGGTCCGGGTATGCATGACACTGAAAATGAGCACTATGAGATGCAGATCAAGATCAACTGTGTCATGCGCTCTACAGTTGATGCGTCGTCGGGGATTGTTAAGGATAAGACGCCGACGGGTCCTATTGATATTGCTGTGGAAATGGAGAAGTGGAAGGCGGAGCTTGGGGATGAAGCTGCGCAGCTTTTGCACGAGGCTGTTTTGGAGTCCATGCCGGACTACGAGTATCTCAAGGAGCGGCGGATTATTGTATAAATTTAATCACCTATGATAAGACGACTGTTTTTGGTACATCCAATTGAAATTATTTGAATTTCCTAACTAAGAACAGCAATTGAGCTGGATACCTACCTTACCAGTTGTAGCCATGAAAGACTGCATCAACCTTCAAGGCTCGACTTCATATAGTCTCCTATTTCCCGAGAATTAGACCATACGACTGTCTCCCTGGCTTGAAATATGAACATCGATCATTGCCTGATGCAGGTGTGATTCTAGTAGGGACTATCCTATCAGGATATAGTACTGGAGATGAGCGGAGGTAGAATGTTTAGTCAACAACTTGCAGGTGTCTTCCTCTCTTGGCCCTTTTCACCTGCAGTGTCACTCCTCCCATCATCTCGACCACACCTGCAACACCCCGAGTCTCCGGATACCATGACGGACATTGCGACGGCCATTTTCGAGACTTCCTGGACGGGCTACAAAGGAGCAAGTTGATGGAAAATCCACCAACACACAAGAACAGTTAATCATTGCCCCGGTAGATAATTCTCAATATCCACTGGGGGCCGTTTTGGGAAATCTATTATTTCTACTAGTAAGAGTGTCAACATTGTTCAACGATACTGTGGACACTTTCACCATCCGAGACGCAGTCAGTTGAGGTGTAAAGATAATAGATAGGGTTGGAGAGATAAGTCGAGGACCAGAATAAATTGACTATTTTCGGGAAAAGCTCTCCATAGACAGCTCTGCTGCTAGGAAAACTAATCTGCGATTCAAGAAGCATCCCTCATGATGACATCCCCATCAGCATCGTGTGAACGAGCGTTGCTATCTGGCCGGCCTCTGATAGGCTTCCGAAAGTTGCTGGAAATGGGTCGTTTCGCTCTTCTTTGACCGAAAGGTTTATAAGGGGGGCGGGTCGACGTGGAAGTGTCACCACCTTTGTCAAACTGGAGGTCTCCGATGTGATTCGTCTGGGCATGACCCTCCTGAACTTGGACTGAAGACCCGAAAGCGATGGCCCAAGAACTCACGATATTAGTATCGATAGATTGCTGATGCTGATGTTGCTGCCCGCAATTCGGTGACGCGCCTTCGTCTGCCCTGTTTCCTGAGGACGAGTGGAACGCGTTGGACGGGCGTGTGTCCCTGGCGAGATCGCTGACATGATGCTGATCTTGAGTCTGGGATGGCTGTTTTCTCAAAATAGGTGGCACGAAGATGTCCTTGTCGCTGTCGCTGGAGGTATCGGGTTCGGTGTCACCTCTGTCTACGGACGACATGGTTTCTGTGTCTTTCTGGCTGCTTAGCCAACCAGTACCACCTGAGAAGGAGTTTGAGGAACTTGTCATGCTGATGTCTTTAGTTGAGACTATTGCCAGTTAAGTCGGATTAGCGAGAGTCATACGGTTCGAAGTATCAGTCACCTTACAAATCATTACCGAACCATCTTCAGGAGCAATACTATGGCCTAGAAGAAGTCATGAATTGAATTCAAAACCGAAAATCTATAGGGTAGCCCTGTGAGCGCCAGGATTGAGAGCTCTCTGATAGTATGGCAAACATATCGCATTCACTGCTGTTACTTCACTGAATTCCATCCAGATTGAACTGTGGATTTAACCTGCCATAATCTGGCAACTAGAGTGCACTCAATCTACCATCTTATATTCTCTCACCAAAATGTGTGTATACAGCCATTGCGGAACTATTCACAGGCTGGGTTCTCAAATTCCACGCTAGAGGTGAGCTTCGCCTTAGTGGTTACTAGCTATGGATAGCAGATTATTCGATATTCGCGGCTCGGAATCTTTCTCCACTCGCTAACTTTTGCGTCATGGATAAGGTTTGTGGAGGCGTGTCGCCCAAACCCACCGGCTGCCCTTGGGAACTTGGGATATCGACAGTCTTGAGAATGTCCTCATATGATGCGAAGCTGCAGTTACCTATTCATCATCACCGAAGACGGAATTGTGACAGTCATACATATGACTAAGCGAAATTATGCGGAGACTAGGCCCGAAACAGACCCGACGAGGGCTACTCCTACTCAGTCTGGTGGAACAGACATCACGTGCTCACACAGATCCGGGATGAGGTTCCTCCCGTCATTCCAGAAAAACTTTGAACGATCGACAAAGTCAATTGTCGGTTCGCCACGCAGGGGAGATTGAGACACGGGGAAGTTTACCGCTCAGAACTTCAGCGGTCACCATGTCTTTCCCTTCCCCAGGACAGCCAAGACATGTCTGCCAGAGCCCCAGATGCCCAGCAATTGACTCCCCTCAAGCCGTGCGGAGGCGCTGCCAGTATCACAGCATTCTGTGACTAATTACCATCTCCAACTTCGACTCAATCACACCGTGCAAGTGGGGTTCGTTGCCGCGTGTCCAACCAAAGAAATGGCTCGAGACGGGTGGAGAAGCACGAGCAAGTGGTGCGAACGTGGTTCCCGATGTCGCGATGCAGGTACCCAGCGGCGAATAAAACATTTTTCTCCGCGCGTGGCCGGAGTGTGGCGAGCTGTCGTTGTCGCCTACAAGAACTCTGGGGGAACCTCTCTTCTCTGGTGTGTCACCACTTCTACAACTTCGCATCTTCCCCGCCAAGATGCACCAGTCCACCACTGTCACCATGGAGGACGAGAAGATCCGCGAGTACGGATACGGTGGTCCTGAGGTGGTCAACTACGACGATGAAGCTCCCCCGCTCAAAGGTGAGCTGGAGCTCAACGTCGGTGGCCGTGGTGCTACCCAACGGCGGCTGAAGAACTACCAGGTCAGCATGATCGGGTTCTGTGGTGGAATTGGAACCGGTCTCTTCGTGGGAGCAGGCTCTGCATATGCAGAAGCAGGTCCCGCTGGTTTGCTGCTGGCCTACATTGTTATTGGATTCGTGCTGTGGTGTGTCATGCAGAGTATTGCGGAACTGGCTACCTTGCTGCCCACAGCGGGATCGTTCCCTCACTGGGCCACTCGCTTCATCGATCCGGCTGTCGGCTTTTCCCTCGCTATCACATACGGTTACTGTTATACAATTGCGATTGCTTCAGAGGTGTCCGCTTCTGCGGTCATTGTTGGCTATTGGACAGACTTGACACCGGCGGTGGTTATTACGGTCGGGCTGGTGCTGATCTTGGCTATCAACCTGATGAGCGTACGCTTTTATGGTGAAAGTGAGGTCATCGCAGGCGCTATTAAGGTGTTGTGCTTTGTCGGATTGGTCATTGTCGCTATCGTCATCACCTCAGGTGGCGGTCCCAATCACCAAACCATCGGATTCCGCTACTGGCACAATCCCGGAGCCTGGACGAACTACAATGGCATCACTGGCCCGACTGGACACTTCCTTGGATTTTTGTCTGCCTTCGTCAATGCGTCCTTCAGTTTCGTTGGTGTCGAAACAGTCGTCATCACTGCCGCCGAATCGGTCGACCCGCACTACTCCATCCCCAAAGCTGCCCGTCGCGTGACATACCGAATTGCCTTTTTCTACATTCTCGGTGCACTGCTCATTGGAATCATTGTCAGCCCTACAAACCCAGATCTTGTTTCTGGTTCCGACAACGCCAACAGCTCCCCTTGGGTCATTGCTATCAAGCAGGCCGGAATTAGCGCCTTACCGTCTGTGGTCAACGCTTGTATCCTTATATCGGCCTGGTCTGCAGGCAATTCGTATTGCTGGGTGGGATCGCGCATGATTGTGGCCATGACGACCGACCGTCAGTTACCGCAGGTGTTTGGCCGGGTCAACAAGATGGGCGTGCCGTACGTTGCCGTCATCACCTCCTGGCTTTTTGGGCCATTGGCATATCTGAGTTAGTAATCATCGATTTCCTAATGTGTTTCCATCTCGATTAACGGAGTTTCTAGGTCTTGGATCCGGTGGTCCGGCACAGGCTTTCAGCTGGCTTCTTAATCTGAGCACCATTGCTGGACTGATCGCGTGGGCGACGCTGTCCTTCTGCTACATTCGCTTCTATTCGGCCATGAAAGCGCAGGGCGTCAGTCGGGACACTTTGCCCTGGCAGTCGCCTTTCCAGCCATACACGGCGTGGGTGGGTTTCATTGGCTCAACTATCATCACCCTGGTGGCGGGTTTCCCTGTGTTCCTCAAGGGTAACTGGTCCACTTCGGACTTCTTTGCCTCATATGTGGGCATTCCTATCTTCATTGTGCCGATTATCCTCTGGAAGGTCTTCAAGCGCACGAAGGTGAGCAGCCTTATCTTCACCCTGGTATCGAATGATGTTGCTAACTGATGATGCAGTTTGTTCGCAGCTCCAACATCGACCTCTGGTCCGGTCGGCTGCAGGAGGGCGAGATTGTTATCCGAGAGGGCGGGCCCAAGACCCGTGTGAGACGCTTCGTGGACTGGTTCTTCTAAGTGTGGACTGGTTCCAAATTCAACTTTCTTTCTGTACATTTGTGCATCTTTCGGCGGAGATACCCATTATGTTTTCCATGCAATTTCAACAATTTGCAACCCGTCAAAAAAGTCTTATACTTTCTATATACATATAATACAAGTTTAATTTATTGCGGGCGGAGCTGTTCGCGAAGCCTCTTGATATCATTGAACGAAGCCTTGCAGCAACCGCCAACGAGGATAGAGCTGAACTGGCCAGTCGCGCTAGCGTCATTGACCACCTGTGCCAATTGCACCTCCCAGGGTCGCTAATCAGTCAGCACATATATCCCTTCAATATCACAACCAACATCCAAAAGGTTCACTTACCGAATCAGCCGCACCACTCTTATCTTGAACCTTTTCCCACGTCTGCGTAGCAGTATTATAAACCTCCCCCTGCGTGCCATCCGGATACAGCACCAACGCAGGCCTCTCCTGAATACGCCCATCCCTCAACAACCTCTCCACAGCATCCCCAAACAATTTCACCAACCGGGGCAACTTATGAAGCTTCGTACAATTAATCCCAATTCCCCACGGCGTAGCACCCCCCTCAATCGGCAACAACGCCGCCTCCACCACCTCATCAACGGTACTTCCATCCGGCAGGGTATCCTTATCCTCAATTGGGAAAACACAAGCCACCCAAAACGGGATCCCCTCACAAAACCTAGAAGATCCCACAGCCCTCACAGCCCTCACCTCATCAATCCTCGGCACCGTCTCCATAGCAATATACTTCACCCTTTCCCCCAACCTCGTCCCCTCCATCGCCTCATCCTTAAAAAGTCCCAACCGGTCCGTATGCCACCTCCACAACTTCTCCTCGGTATCATGCTCCCCGTCATACTTCCCACTATACTCCTGTCCCGGGATCATGCACGCGCCATAGGGACCTAGACTCAGCGCCACGGAGGCGGAAGTATTCTGCACAGCTTGTCCGGCGACGTCGAGCGCGGTGCGAAGGTAACCGGCGATACTCTCGCGGGGGATTCCCGTCGGGTGGGAGGGGGTTTTTGTGCGCTGGAAGCCCTCCGGAGAGACTTGGTAGGTGGCAGTTAGGAGGACGTCGACGGCGGCGGTGGTGGTGAAGTCGCGTTGGCAGGAGAGGAGGGTCGAGGGGTCGGAGATCATTAGGTGCGAGGACCAGAGGGGGGTGGTGCTGCTGCTGAAGGTAATGTTGTAGTGGTCTTGGAGGGAGGTGCCGAGACCGCCGTCGAGAATGAGGATGGGGGTTTTTGCCATTTTGAGGTGTATTGATGAGGTGGATTGAGTGGGAAACTGAAGATGAAAAAGGGGAGTGATGTGAAGAAGAAGAGGGAATATTTCTTCAGTTTCTGGTGGTATTGCGACAACGGAATGGCTTTCTGCCCCGCAATGTGGGGTTGTTTGCGTAGGTTGCAATTCGCGATCGGGCTGGGATGGGATGGGATGGGCTTATCAGACTACCATCATCATTTACATATCTATTTCGCAGTACATCTGAGTGAAATAATCATCCAATGTCTACGGATACTGGTGCCGTGGATTGGTCGGCATTGTTCATGGATCTCTTTCTGGTGGTGATTGAAATCACGGGACGTCATCGACTGTCTACTTCACGGCACGCATTCCAGCCAAGCCATTCATTCCTCTCTGTTTCAGAAGCTCAGTCAGCTATTTGACAGGCGGTATAGCTGCCCTCATAAGCCTCAGGCAGAGAGTATGTACAGACAATCAACCTTTATTCTCCTCATGTTCAAAAGGCTTCCTTGTTGGTGTTCTGATGCTAATAATGTCTCAGACCATCACAGTCTCCCTCGTGAAACCTTTGCGACCATCATCCACTAATGTCGCAATGGAAGTACCAATCGTCCTCCAGTTGACCGCATAGGCTAGGCAGCTACCTCCTACTGTATCCAGCACAATGACCCCAAGACATTGCATCGACAAGAAAGATCTCCATAATAGAATGCTGCACATCGCCGATCACAAAAAACTATGATGTGAGCGGTGTGCCATTGCTGTGACAGGCACCAGCATCACCACAGCTAAGCCATCATTCTATTTATGCATTCTAAGTTATTGAACCGCAGTAAATACCTCGGCAAACCCACGAGTGGATAACAGGAAAGGAACAGGCACCTTCATACTCCAGATACCCACGCAGGATGATCTTTTGAGGCTTATTCCGAGCACCAATCAAGCTGTCACCACTGAAATTGATTGATAGGCAGAGCAGTTCTCTCAACGACAGCAGCCCCATACGCTAGGGAATAGAATACTGTCTGTAATTCTCTGTAAGTACAACATCCATGTCAAATCTGCGACCGTCCCTGTCTGGAGTGTGGCTTTGATCATTAGTCCATCCGCCGGCCATATTACTCATGTCGCACCCTGATACACAGCCCCAGCCACATTGTTCCACCTAGAGTGATCTATTAGATTAGATGCATGGGATGGCATTATCCCACGAAGCTAATAACAAACCACTTCAACGACTAGCACTGTCACGGCGGCTAATTCCTCCATTGAGATGAGACTGTATCCAGTTTCTACCAGGAACAGCTAACCAATGACAATGAATGGAAAAGCGAAACTCCCTCATACAGTAGTAGTGATAGACCCTGCAGAGTTTTACAATGATAGACAGACAGACAATACTCGCAATTCGATGCAAGGGACCATGGAACAGTCGGTCGGCCCAACGGTCTACAGAACCGGACCCTCATCCTCCATATCCTGTCAGTGAGTAACTGCCGCAGTATCTTTATCCCGGCCCAATCTGACTCGGTAATAGTGTCCGGTAACCGGGGAATCGGTAAGCAAAAAAACGAAAATGAGGTTGCCTAGGACCCTTTAGGCGATAGTGCTAAGAATAGATCAGCATTGGCACAGCCCCATTGGCCCAGCATCCAAGCAAAGCTTAGGTAAAGCTTGGAGACTGCCCTGTTGTATTGTAATGTATGTGTAATTGGATTGATGGTATTCGGATTGACGAAGAGCACAGAAGCAACGCGGCGTTTCGACTGACCAAAATTGAGTCGGGCGACAGAGCGAAAGCAGTATGGTTAGCTGCCGATCCCTGGTATTTGGGCGGATTCAAGGTTTGCGACAGACATGAAAGTTACGGGACTATTGAAGTTGGATGATAACTACTATACCAAATGTGCTTACTACGTATCAGATGGAGAGTACAGAGTTACAAAGTTCACGGTAAGCGAAGCAAAATAAGCAAGTAAGCATCATAGCTCATTAACCACCGCGAAAGAGAAAGAGAAAGAGAGAGGAACCAGACTGACACCGTCATCCGAGCTCCTCACCTGGTTCTCTGCATGAACCGCGCGTCTATAACACCCCCCAATTATGGACAAGCAAGCAAGCACAACTCAGCCCAAGTTTCATCAACCACACAGCCCAGCCACGGAAAACCCGGCACAACACCTCCCCAAGACAGCGGAGAATCAGTCAACAACCATCCCAACATGGAATCCGGCGAATCCCATGACAAACAAGTCGGCCGTGCCAAGAGTACTAGCCGGCAGGGCTGAGCGGGTTGACGTGGACCATCTCGTGGCTGTGAGTGGCTGACTCTTGCACTTTCAACCAACCTCCCCGCTTTCTCAGCATGAAAAAAGACGGATTCTTTCGAGGATTTTCTGTTTTGGTGTCTCTCGCGGCCCCCACCCGTATCATTACACCACTGATACGCGCTTACACCCTGACCCACACGGAATGAATCGCCTGGCCGGGCTGGGTCGTGGACCCCTGATCCAGAGACTTGTAATGGGATGGGATGGATCGATCATCTTTAAAACATAAATAGCGGGTTGTCCTTCTCTTTTTTTTTGTTCGCTCATCTCCATTACACTACAGTCAGACTTATCTGCTTATACTTAGATATCTATCTCTATTTCTATCTCTACTCTTACCTATTTACAAACACAACACTTCTTACACTACATCAATCAAAATGGTCTTCAACTGGTTCAAGTCTTCCAAGGAGGAATCCTCCGCTACCCAGCAGCCCTCCTGGGACGCCAACACCATGACCATGCAGCAGCCTTCTAGCCCCGAGGCTCCTTCCACTGAGCGCGTTGTTACGCAGCAGCCTGTATGATTCCTATCTTCACCATATATGTATCTCATATTCTATGGAATAAAAGCTAATGATTTATTTTCTGCAGAACTCCCAGGAAGAAATGAAGATGGGCCTGCGTGGTGGTGGTGCCGGTGATGTGTGCTGCGGAGTGTATGTTCTTCCTCCCCTCTTTCCTTTCTCTATCCATCATAATAGTCAAGCTAATTGTTATTCTCTAGTTGCGCCGGTCTCCTTTGCTTCGAGTGCTGCGAAGAGTGCTGCTAAACACCTTCCCTTCCCTCTCATACATACGTTCGACTACTGTCTCCGTATCTTGACGAACAACAAAGATAAAAGAAGAATACCCTCTTAAAGAAAACGGACATGTGCCATCTACGAGACGAGCTATGAAATGTGGACCCGGATGAAGTGGATCAGATTTTTGGGTCGATGATTCCATGGATGGAATGATGGATGGTGTTTCAGTTAATTTTGGATTTGCCTTGCGAGATCGCTTATACCCGGTGTATTTATCCCATCTACGTTTTCTCTAATTTCGCTTGGTTCTTTGAATGAATTGAGTTAAGATGATTGCTTATTTCTCGGTTGGCCAGTGCGCTGTAGATCAAACTTGCATTAATACTATTCATCAGGTGGCAGTCTTGTTGCGCGCTAACTCTCCTCTGCGAATATTGTAAACTAGATCTTTGTGATTTATCAGTCCATCAGATTAGGACCCTCCTCGTCTTTCTTATAAGTCACCTTCTTCGGACCCATCGTGCCAGCACCATACTCAACGCTTCCATCCTCGAAATGACCAACTGACTTGACCAGCCCTCCACTGATGTCATTGATCACCTGGCTGAAATGGAGCCCTTTGTTCACCTTGCACCGAGTACTGACCGACTCGCAATGAGCCACCAGGGCAGCCGCCGTTTTGAAGACGCGAAGGCATCCAGGGCACCTAATAAGCCGTGAGTCAGACCATAGACAAAACAGTCATTCAAGCATGCAGCAGCTTACTGAATGCTCCTGTTCTGGTTGGTCTTCGTTACCACATGCTCCTCAAAGTCCTTCATGCTGGAGAATTCAGCCTTACAGGGACAGATAAACTTTCCGGAAAAGGAACTGAAGTATACGGTAGGGTCCCAGTTCTGGTCCAACATGCGCAGAGTGTGTCCTGCATCGAAGCGGATATTGCCAAATGAATTGCTCGGGCTTGGGCTTGGGCTCGATGGCCTGGCACCCAATGCAGGCATCTTCCCCGCCGATGCTGATCGTCCTCTCATCTCACTCGTCGTAGACGGAGAGGCCATAGACGACTTGCTCTTCCATTCTGGGACGTTGGTGTTAAGAGATAGACCGCTCACCCCGTCCACAACAGATCGAGTGGCCTCGTCGTTGTCAAAGTCCATCTCCAAAAGGTTCTGCTCAATTTGGACTCCGCCGTTGTCATCTGGACAATCGGGGTCAGCGCTCTCATTCTCATTGCCTGTCTTGAGCGTCTCCCGGTAGAGGAGTCTCTTTGACTGTTCCTGTAGGAGACTAGACAAGGGGATGTTTGGGCAATCGCCGCTCTCAACGTGATTTACCATGGCACCTGCCTGTCTGAACCTCTGCCCGCAGCCGTAACAGGTCAGGCTCTGCGGAGTTCGGTGTTGCTGTATAGACACCAAAAGTATTAGCTTGAATATAATGTGGATGGTAAATATTTGTGGTAATGAATGATACTAACCTGGCGAGTGTGGAGGTCTCTACCACCCTCGCTGCGGAAATCGATCCCACACACCACACACACGATATGCTTGTCACTCTTGATCTTGTGGAGCAGTAGATACTCATCATCCTGGAAGTCTTCGTCGCAACGCTTGCAGTAGTCGTGTTCGTTCACCTTGTGCCTCTTCATGTCCCACTCCGAACCAAAGACACCGCTGCAGTCCTTGTAGGTGCAGGGCACCCTGGTGGAGGATCCGTGAGCGGACATCTTGGACTCGTCCAGAAACTCGTCAAGTAGATGTAGAGCGAGTGTCTGAATGATTGAGAGAAGCGAGATGAGGTCTCAACAGAAAGTTAAGAAGAGTAGAAGGTTCAAGGACTGCGAAATTCACCGTAGTGTCGATGAATTAGTGTCACCCTACATGATACCTGCCAAACTAGGAAGGTATGCACTCGAAGCGAGACGGAGTAAGAGTTGCTGGAAGGCTTTCTAAATTACCTATGAATATCACATCGGTCCATATATTGCATGGAATGAGGTGGCATTGAAGTGAGATTTGAATTAACGGAATCCCATCACTTTCCTCTCACTTCGTACCCACAGCTGGTCAATACGAAGACACTGGCCACATACTACAAAAAGATCATTCATAAAAAACATTCATTAGCAAATCATTTACATAAGCCTATATATGCAGTCATTAAGCCCGACCTAGAACCGCGAGAACGGCAGCCTACCGACGTCAGTATATCACCAGCGACCATCGATCATCCAAGACAACTTACCACTTTCCGCGCAGGGTAATCACAGCCCAGTTATTTCCATCCGCATCCGTCTCCTTCTCAACCTTGGTAGAGAAAGAGATAGCGCTCATGATACCATCTCCGAACTTCTCGTTCAGCACCGCCTTGTACGCGTATCCATAGTTCTGCACAATCTCGTACAACCGATAAATCAACGGCTCCTTGGGAGGCATCTCAACGCTGCGACCACGGTCGGGGAAGCCACTAAGCCTTTCTTCCAGAGCATCGTATGGAATGGTCAGGAGTCCTGAGAGTTTCTCAATGTCTTCGGGGGAAGCCTTGGCCTGGCCATAGAAGATGGCGGCGGTAGCCACTTCATTGCGGCCAATGTGCTGGGCAATTTGCTCGAAGCTCAGTTTCTTGGCGGCTTTGGCCTTGAACAGGGTCTCCGACGCGGATGGGAGGCTGGGATGCTGGGCAGTCTGTTATTTGACGGTGATGAGCTCATCGTTTCTGTTTTTGGCACAACGTATTGGAAGGAGGACTTACGTCAAGGGTGGCGAGAGACATTGTGCCGGTAGGATGCTCGGGCAGAGACGGCAACGGAAAGAGTTCAAGGGGACTAAGACTGCGGAAGATTGGATTCTAAAGCTAGCTGCCAAAGTCAAGCAGAAGGATGGGTGTCATTCTTAAATAATTGGCGGTGATCCGCTTTCTCCAACTATGGTGCGGGGTACTTGCCGTCTCGCTGCAACGGTGGGGGCTCATGCTATGAGGGGGTGCATCAACAAAACGTTCGCCTCTCTATAGACGTTTGTGTCATCTTTCAGGCTCTTGGTGAAGTAGCACTATTATAGGCTCGCTGGTAGGTGTCAGCGCTGGCAGCACCCTCAATAAAGCCATGGAGTTCGCCTTATCTTCGTGTAGCCGTGAAAACGTCAGGTGCATCTCAGATAAGATACTGCGGGGTTCCGCCGAGGTCGGATCCGCAAGCAACCGCCTGCCAACAACTATGACATCTGGCATCTGTATATAGTATCGAGAGGAGACATACTGTAACAGAACACCAAAAGAATAGAGATTTGTGTACTCTATTGGAAATAATCAGGAATATGTATGCTCACTTCCTGCAGCGTAGTCAGACTCAACTTGGATTTGGTTCGTCATAGCTAGTACCTACCAACAGGAATTGTCTGCAACTTACGAGAAACTGGCATCAATGGATGTTATCTTAAGATTTTGGTCTCTCCCGAACTGAAGAAGTGTATATCATAACTGTAGTTGCCAATCGGTATGGTGCTACTAGTAGCAGATTCGTCGTGATCAATTGTTATACAACATGTACTACCGGTGATAGTCTTCTCATTCCACCCTAGTACCAAATACTACAAAATATAGTATTATCATGCTCAGCAGGTTCCGCACCAAACTTATAGTACTAGTAACTACTCAACTAGCAGATATGAGCCCAGGTAACCCTATTTCAACCCTTTGGCTACGAATAAAATTACTAGTAGTTTGACTGTCGATTACTTTTATCGTGAATCAATGAGTCACGTGCCCACTGCAAATGTGGGGTTTGTTCATTCTCCACAACTCCGCAACTCCGCCTCTTCTACACCGGTTAAGAATCCTCGTGTATAAGTATACTTGAGAGCATCATGGAGAGTCGGCCTGCAATGAAGCGCGCCTCGGACTCAGAGGCGGATCCCCCACGTACGCGTCCTTGTCCTGCTTGCAACAAGACATTCTCGAAAGCCGAACATCTCACGCGGCATCTCCGCAGCCACACCAAAGAGAGACCGTATGCGTGTACCACCTGCGGAAAGGTGTACTCAAGAAGGTGTGCACACCGAGCCTGAACTATTAGAGTTTATGCTGACAATTGCTAGCGATGTGCTACGACGGCATTTGAAAAGCCACGAAAAAAATCCTCACAGTGCTTCTCCACAGCCCCGAGCTTCGAGTTCAGGAACGCCATCTCATTCAGTGGAGGAAGAATCTACTATAATCACTACCCCATCGCATGGGGCACCAAAGATACATGAGCTACTCAATGATGCTTCGTTAATAGTACCAACCGTACCTCATCAACTGATTGGCGGGACTGAACCATCTCAACCCCAATCAGCGGTAGGGATGAGTCTTCACGATCCCATGCTACAAACAGATACCGATTCTTGGTTCCTGGGGGCAGACTTTGATGTCAATGCTTTGGACTTCTCCATCTCATCGGCAATATCGGAATGGGCGCAACTGCCTTCCACACCACACATGTTAGGCTCTGTTGGCTCAGGAGAAGAGCCGCTACATTCCGTACCAACGCCCTACGCAAAGGGGAACGGCAATGATCCTCGTCCAGCAGACATTGTAAGGAAGAGATGGTTTACCTGCTTGTCTCCACCAGAGGTAAATCAGTTCGTCTACAGAGGACCTAATCGTCCCAGTGACTCCTTCCCTCAAGGGAGGATTGATGCCGATGACAACTATAGAGCTGGTCTCTCCCAGAGGCTAAAGCCCCGCATGCATGATGAAGCACTGCCCTCTGCGGAGCAATTGAACCTCTTTGCAAAACTCTTCTTCAGTCGATTCCACTCTCTATTTCCGGTCATACATGCGCCCACATTTCGTCCGACCGCGGAAAATTCGTTGCTATTCTTATCAATCTGCTCAATAGGCAGTCTCTTTGTGGGTTCATCCCATGCAGTGGCACAAGGCCTGAGGATTTTTGAAAGACTGAACAAAGCAATTCTGGCCTCGTGGGAGGCCATCCTGGCCCATAGCCGACCGGATGCCTTGTCGATGGTGCAAGCTGCCATTCTGGGCCAGACTTATGGAATTTTGTCCGGAAGGCCCAAGGACTTGGTCCTGGCCGATGTTCTGCATGGTACTGTGATGGGATGGGCTCGCGAGTCCAACAAATACGCCACTCTTGGCCATGGCCAGATTCTCGATGACTGTTCGACCGAACAAGAGCTGATCGAGCAGTGGCACCGATGGGCCGAGGCGGAACAGAGAAGACGGGTCGAAATCGCCCTGAATATACACGACGCAGAGCTTGCTAGTCTGATGCACCATGAACCTATTCGCAAACATCGATTCTCACAATATCCGCTGCTAGCCTCTGAACCTATGTTCATGGCCCCGACAGCCGCCCGATGGGCCGATATATTCAAACAGTCACCGTCATATACCAAATTAAGCCTCAGCCCCGACCTTCACTTTCACTCCGCCGGGCATGATTCCAGGTTTGCTATCTACAGTGTGTTGGAGAGTATAAACGCCCATGTTATCGAGGCTCGCCTCTCAGGTACCCTAGATAGAGGTAGATCACAGGATCTATCTGGCCTACTAATGCATTGGTGGAGTAAATATAGCCTACAATACATCCAGAATGAGGAAGAGGACCCCTTCAGTCTTCCAGTCCTGTGGCACTCGATCTACATGTCTCTTTACAGCGACATGGACCTGCTTGAACGAGCAGTGGGTCGTAATGGGCATGCAGCTGCCACTGGATCTCAGGACCCAGTCCAAACGTGGGCAGGCTCCCTGGATGCCAGTAAGTGCTTGGTACATGCGCTGTTGATACAGCGTTACCTCGAGAGGATGCGGATTTCCTCTGAACCCGCAATACACGTTCCCGGGGCTCTATTTTCTGCTGCTCTCGCATGGCTCTGCTTCACGAGAATTGGGCAACAGCAATCCATCAATCTGAAAGCTTTTGATGCCCCAGAAATCCAGCTCCTGGGCAGTGAGACCGCTTTGCAGGAGGCTCAAGGGCAGGCATTTGGAGACTCTGCATTTGCAGATGTTAATCATTTACATCGACTGATTGACCTTCTGCACCGTTTTGGGCGCTGGACGATCTCCAAAACATTCGCCACTGTGCTGTGCACCGCTTTGGAAGAGGTTAGGGAAGAATGACGTACCTTTCATTGCGGTTGCTATAGCAATACATTTATGCACGACCGCTGGAGAAAAGAAAGTATCAATGAAACACTTTGTGGCAACAAGGCGTTGACACTATGTAAAAATGGTTCATGCCGAGGTCAGCGGGGAGTTTCCCCGCAGGAATGTGGGATGTGTTGCGGGGTGGCGGGGTGACCCCGTGGATCGACACTCGGAAGGGGATTGCAGACTGCTTACCTGAGATGATGAGAGCACTTACGAAATGAACTGCATATACATCCCATCTGGTTGGACGCTTTGCATAGTGAACCCGCCAATCATACTAATGATCATAACATAACCGGCAGGGTCGCTGGAGACCCCATACGTGCGCAATAACGCGGCTGGACATGGCGCACTTCGGGTCATCCGTCGCTCGCTGAGAGTTCTTCCCACCTGTGGGGTATCGATGTGTGGGGTTTCTCCAGACGATGCCGCATTCAACAACCGAGTGAATATTCACCCATGAGAGATGATATATAGATCTACAAGCCCACCGAATATGTTGTTCTAAGAGAAGTGAACGAACTAAGCATTACATCGAAATGCCGGTCTTTACAGAATATGCATCCAAATCGCGGGACCTCCGCGTCCTTCCTTCCTTTTCTCTCCCGGTACCTCGTCTTACTCCGCCATTCGAACCCACCGTAAACGATGGGGTCGAGCGGTATGAGGTTGTCATCGTCGGGGTAAGTCCCTTTGAACAGCGGGTGAAACCAGCCAACACGCACGAGCAAGAAAAATAACGTCATGCAGGCTGGGCCCTCGGGGCTGATGCTGGAACTCTTGCTGGCCAGATACGGATTGAGTGACGAGTCTCTGCTTTGTATTGATTCGAAGCCAAGCACCTTGAAATCTGGACAGGCTGATGGCGTCCAACCTCGGACGTTGGAGGTGCTCAAGACATTGGGAATTTCGGACGAAATTGAGAATGAGGCATGCCAAATGTGGCAGTTTGCCTTCTGGAATACCTCATCGGACCCATCCAAGATTATTGAGCGAAAGTCCGTGGTCCCTGAAGTGATACCTCCAGCTCGGTTCCGCTACGAGGCTACTATACATCAGGGACGTATTGAACGGATCATGGAGACTGACCTCCTACGGTATTCCAAAAGAGGGGTGCAAAGGGACACCAAGTTAGTCCATGTTCAGCTGAACGAAGATGACAAGGAGTTTCCCGTCCTGGCGGAGATTGAGACCCGCGGAGTAAGAAGATTGATCCGCACAAAGCACCTTGTCGGAGCAGACGGAGCACATTCTATGGTGCGTCAGTGTATGGGGTTAAGGTTAGAGGGTCAATCGCTTGACCATATCTGGGGCGTTATAGACTTGGTAGTGGACACTGATTTTCCTGACATTCGTCGGCGATGTGCCATTCATTCTCCGGCTGGCTCAGTCATGGTCATTCCACGAGAACGGATCGTGACGGGGGAGTATCTTACCCGACTTTATGTACAGGTGCCTGGAATGGCAAACCCCGATAGCGATATAGCGGTGGGCGCTACCCCAGTATCAGAATTGGATGATGCCAGGGCACGCAGACAGAAGGTGACCAAGGAGGGTATCCTGAAGCAAGCATCGGACGCATTCAAGCCATATTACCTGAGGCCGAAGAGTGACGAATCTATCGACTGGTGGGCAGCGTATCAAATTGGACAGCGGGTTTCGCCAGAGTTCACCGTCAAGGACTCTGCTGGAGTCCCTAGAGTATTCATTGTGGGAGACGGTATGTGCACCTGTACTCAGGACTGAAACCG